CCTCCCAATCCCAATCCAAACCCTCCCAACCCTCAACCTGAACCGGAACCGGAACCTAAGCCTAACCCCGAGCCAGCACCGGTCCCTGAAGGTGATCCGCCACCTCCACAATGCACCCCCCGTCCATCGGGAACTCCACGTCTCAAGAACCGACAGAATCAGCAGCAGAATCCTCCTGAATGTAAGGACGAAGGTGAAGACGAGGAGGAATCCAACGGAAGGCCGTACCTCATCAGCACCAAGCCCGGCACATCAAGAGCAGCATTTGAGGCATTCCTTTTGCTTCCACCGCTGGCTGGCAAGAAGGGCAGCATGATCGCATACGAGGGCGTCCCTTGGCAATCCTGGCAAACATTGGATCTCTCAGACACTGATGCCGCAATAGTGCGCGCAAATCCTATCATTGATTTCGCGGAGCCCATCCAAGAAGACGAGGATGGTGCGTTCCGTGCGATTCCCCGCGCCGACGACATCGGCTTCACCAAGCGCGCACTGCCGCAAGAGTTGCTCGTTCGCGACCCTAGTGATTGGCACTTGGGCCTGCTTACGGCGAGGAACCAGCGACGAAACCCTACGGTGCTGCCGAACTACGTCTTCCAGCCGTCGCTTGGCAAAGGGCAAACGATTTATGTTCTGGACAGTGGGCTCAAGACATCTCACGAGGTAAGCTGAGACCTAGCATCAGTAGCCCGCTCCCCATGAGACGATAAATGGCTAACTGATGCGCTAATAGGACTTTGCGGCCGACGACCGGGAAGTCGCAACTTTTGTTGTTCCTAACCTCTATACGCTCGGCGGGATTCGAGATACATTGCGGAACGCTCCGTTGAGAGACGAAGACATGGCTCCCGAAGACATAACCGATATAACCGGACACGGAACCGCCGTTGCTAGCGTAGCAGTCGGGAAGGTTCGAGGCGTGGCTTCCAAGGCCAACCTCGTTGCCGTGAAGTTCAGGAACAGCATCAAAAACCCACTGAATCCTGGCAGCAACCGCCTGGTACCGCGCGGCCTGACAGATTCTGCGATTGACGTGTCGCTACAGTTTGTGCTTAGCGACATCAAGAGGCGGAAGAGTGAAGCCAACGATCAGAGCGCCAAGTTCATCATCAATATCTCCGGAGGTAAGTGGGGTATTTTTCGCGGCCTTTGCCATGAGAACAGTATCTGATAGGAGTGCTAGGATGGCCACGTTTCAGGGAAGATGCAGGTGTGCGTCGACCCTCTGCAAAGGCAAAGACTTTCGAAAAGTTCATGGAAGAGCTCAAGAAGGTGGATGCTGTAGTTGTGCTCGCAGCCGGCAACGACGGACGAAGCCTCAGCCTGGACCAGATAGTGCCGCAGGCCTTGGGAACCGACGACAACCACATCATCACCGTGGGCGGTGTTGACAAGGAGGGGAAGTACTACTTGGACACCATTAATAAGAAGGGCAATCTAGCAGGCTCCCTTAGTCTCTACGCTGGTGCAGTTGACGTAACGGTGGCCAAACATGATGGTGACGACTCTGCCACAAAGACGGAGACGGGAACCTCCTTTGCCGCACCGGCTGTGGTAAGTACTGAGTTCTCGGTCTTCTTTCCCACAAGAACAGTGTTGCTGATCGCCTTCTAGGCTGGCCTCGCCGCCTACTTCTTTGCCATCCCTGAGCTGCGCGACAACTTCAAGGCCGGAAGCATTGGAAATGACGTTAAGCAATTCATGATCAAAAACTCAGAGCAGCGCAACGACGATCCGATCCCAGAGGGCTCGACATTCGGAGCCTCGCCTAAACCAGACCCTGCAAGTATCAAGGTGCCTTACAACCTGGCACTGAACGAGTAAGAAGCCCACAGTACCCTCTATACCTGCCCCTCCACTGACCGTGTCGCCCTTATAGCCTCTGCGACCTCCAAGCACCCGCAAAACGCGCCATGCTCTTCGCCAGAGCCGAGAAACCCGTTGTCCAGGAAGGAAAAGTCGTTGACGAGACCCTGAAAAAGGTAACTTCTCTCCTGTCACCGAATCACCTCTCTCAACATAATACTAACCCCCTCCACCAGCCCCTCTGCGACACGGCAGCATTCACACCCGGCGGCAACAACGACTCTCCCGGCGGCGACCAGCAAGGGAAACCAGACCCCAATCCAGACAGCCCCGACAACAACAACCCTCCGCCTCCCCCTCCCCCAGGCACCAAACCCCCACCCTCACCCCCGAACCTAACCTTCGAAGTCGGCACCTTCTCCAGCGACCCCAAGGGCCCCACCAAATGGGCCGTCTTCTCCCGCGCCCCTGACGCCTCACTAGACATGTGTTCCGACTCGACCCAACCCACAAAAGAAGGCGACGACGCACCTACAGGGTTAGCCTTCTTCAACATGAAGGACCCTGTCAAGGTGGGACCGTTCGACATCAACGACGACTACAAATTGTGTAACTTTATTGCGTATGACCCGAATGGCGGGGGGAATATTGAATGTATTGATAGGGATGCGATTCCTTGTCCGAGGGTCGAAGGGAGCAAGATCGAGTCTTGTTTGAAAGGCAGGGAAGCGAGTTTTTCGCCGATTTGGGTATGTGCGGCGGCGTGAGAGAGTGTGTCATGGGGGAGTTGAACGTTTGAATTGCTTTTCTTCTCGTTTTTGTTCGATTGCTTTGTAAGTTAGGTATACACTCGCGTTTGAAAGTGCTGGCACGATGGAACTAGGCAACATAGATCAACTTCTTGTCCTGCTTTCTTCTACGTACCAAGGGTGATGCTTGGATGCATAAGTTGTACATATGTCGCGCGGTAGAAGTTTTATTCTTTCTTTTTGTCTCCTCTTTCTTCGTCCTCGTCATCTCGACACGCTCGCAGATGAAGGAGGATGATAAGCTCAACCTACCTGGAAAAACTAGGGAATATATGTAGTAGCGAATAGTCACGAGCGGAAGGGTACAAAGAGAGAAAACTATTTACAAGTCCTTGAACGCCATGTACCTGTTATAAATCAAGACTCATACAAAAACAGTATACACAGCAGGGTGTAAAGCCCCAGCAATCTGATTGGCGAATTATTAGCGTAGCCCGCAAGGCCTAAGCTTACCGTATCTGGCTAGATTTCCACACACAAACACGCTTGCCAAAGAGCATAACGTGCAAGGCAAACGATGATTCCAGACTCGAGTTAAATATGCCGAGTACCACAGTAGATCTCCTAGCATTTCTCATACGCCGCAGCGTTATGTTCATACCCTTCCACTTCGAACCCAACCAGCACCAACCAACGTCTCGTCATATTACCTGCATCTCTGCATCATGATGCACAAATCTCCGGAACCCTCGCATCCCCACCATTTCATCAGGCGATCCCAACAGAAATGCGTAATGCCGACTGTTCGACGTCGAATATATAGATGCAGAGGTGCCGAGGCGAACCTTTAGATGAGGTGCATTCGGATGACAGGGGAGGGTGTACCCGGGACGGTGGTCGAAGGTGGAGTTTATATATTGCGTTGCTGTGCCGCAGTATCGGTGGGTTGGTGGTGACTTATAGACTGATACGGACTTGGTATAGAGAAGAAGGGATAAGATACAGGACAAACCTGAAGGCGTGGACGGGAGTCAGGAGAATCTGGCTGAGGGAACGAAGGAGGGAGCAGGATTAAAGGAGAGGAAATTCGATGGTCCTGTCGGATTATACCTTGGTACGGGAGAGTATATAAGTGAGAAAGGGCGAGGAGAGAAAGGGAAGAAAGGAAGGACGTCAAGATGAGGAAAGGGAGGCTAGGAAGATGTATTGAAATCGATGCACGGTTGGATTATGCCGACGAGGATGAGAGAGTGGTGACAAATGAGGAAGGGACAAAGCAGACGGTGACTGGATACCAGGCACCCAACGTGGAGAAAGGTTCTAAAGGAGATGGGCACGGAGTAGCGAGTTGGAGACTAAGAGACAAGCCGATCATACGGCCTCGCATAGTAGCAGTTATAAAGACCTCGAAGCATGGCCGGTGAGCCAGTCAGAACGGGACCAGCACGCTCTACCACCGCAATGCAGGCGAGGGAAAACCATGAGGACACACTGCAGGCATCCAGAGCGGCCTTCCCAGAAAGAGTCGGCGAGTGCAGTTGGGCGCTCGGTACCTGACTATATCGAGGGTCAGGCTGTTGAGGCGGTAGATGACGTGTGGACAGTGAAGTCGGGCCTAGTTCGGCGGCTCGCTGGAGAGCTGGAAGGGTACCCCCGGTGTGGCCGTATGTATTAATAACCCATCTTCGAGCTCGACACCAGCACGATGGTGGGTGGACGGCAGTGCGGTGATCGTAGGTATGGGTCGATCCGAATGTCAAGGTGCATTATTGGCTTCAACAGCTGTTACCAGGCGATGTAAGAACGAGGGCTGGATCTTCCCCAGTAGCGGCGATTATACACGAGTGGAGCAAGTGGTCGTCTGATCTATGATGCACATTGGGACTAGGTGAGACCAAAAGGTCAAAGGCGCAGCTCGACATCCCGGTCGACTTGTTCCGGCGGTTCCACGAGCCGGTTCCCCAGGTTTTGGATGGCGCATGCGGATTCGTCAGACCTGAGACTACTGTGTAGTAAGCTATGAGACGCACTCGGTATAAAACCCGGCTTTGAGGCGGTAGTCTTAGTAGAGGGCTAGATCTCCCCGTCTGAGACCCAGTGCAGCTGCGAGCGGGAAAAGCATCCGCGGCTTGGAAAGCGGTCGGAGGCACGAGAGCATAAGTTCCCTCGAGAGAACAGCCCCCTCAGCAACGGTAACGGCAATGCTGTAGTACGACGTGGTGCAGGCGTTTCGGCGCCATGGGGAGGCCGTGGTTCGACACTGGCTGAAGGGGGGGGGGGGCCTGCGTCGTTCCAAGAGGCTTCGAAGCAGCGATAGCCGTGAGTCGAGCGACAACAGGCCAGCAGCGGTGTGATGCGTGGGAGAGGGGGGAGAGAGCACTTGGGGTAAGCGGTGGTGTCTGGGTGGTGGGCGGAAGAATGCAGGTGCTTCAGCTGCAGCTCACGGGCTGGGGTGTGCTGGCGAAGAGGTGTTGGTCAACGAGGGGTTGCATCCCCAGTGGATGTCCAATCTAGGTTGATTGCAACGAGAGCTGCGAAACACACAGCTGAGGAAGGACAGGAGTCTGGGAGATATGAAACACGCGGCACACAGGAGAGGTTGTGTTCCTTTGTTTGGTTGAGGGTTCCATCCCGTCTTTCTTCGGATCTATGGGTGATCTGTCGACCCTGACGTCGTCGCCAAGCATCACGTTTTGCCAAGCTGGAAATCATGCGCCTTCCCTGATTTGGATTAGACCCGCTGGTTGTTTCCCTCCTCCAGCTCTCTTCTGTGTGTCACCTCTCTCTTTCTCTCACGGACGCGCTGTCGTGTCGCTCTCTTCCACTCCCCCCACCAGCGCACCGCTCCTTTTCTTTTCCCTTTTCTCTGCCCGACGAAACACATACGACGACTTTTCACACCCCTCACCAGCTCTTGCAGCGTGTCTGGGTCACGCAGCAGATCAAAATCCCGCTCCGTCGCTGCTCCGTCGCTTGCCATTGTCCCTCGGCCGTGCGCCAGGTGCGCCCAGGTGCGCTAGCGCGTCGGCCACCACCCGTCGTCTCGCGCCAGACGGCTTACTGTGTGGTACCCTAGCTATCCCGACCCCACCTCTCGTCGTCCACCGCCAACCTTAACTTAACCCCAGAGCCCTTCCCGTCACTTTGTTCCACCACACAAAGTCGCCTCAGACAACCTCCCCACGCCTCTCTAGAGACAACCTCGCGCTCGCTGTCGTGCTGCAACATCCCCGACCACTCCCCACGCTCCTTCAACTACCGCAATCGCTTCCTTCGCCGCGCAATGGTGCTTCGGTAGCCCAGGCCTCCACCCTCCCTTTGGCCTGCGCCTGCAACTGCACCGAGCACCCGCATTCCCATCCCGATTCCCCTTGACCCTCATCATGGTCCCTGGGACGCCTTTGATATAGCACTCCCGCCTTGGTCCCAGGTGGACTGCCATCCCCGCCAGCGAGCGCCCGTTTACCCTGCCCAAGGAACCCGCTTCGAACGCATCTCATGGCCGACGATACAAAGCCCGAGACGCTGGCCCCTCCGGCTGTGACCGCGCTGCGGGACGAGGCCGCCGGCTTCCTCCCCTCACGCGTGCCCATGGAGCGGTCCGTCAGTCAGGATATTCGAGAGGAGCGCGAGGACCTCAAGGAAGCTGCCGAACATAGCATGGCTGTCATCATGGAGCTCGGTCTCGACGGCAAGATACGCCATGTGAGCGACTCCTGGGAGCATGTCATCGGCACCCCCGTCAGCGACGTCGTGGGCAAGCCTGTGGCCGACCTCCTCGTCGGCAACAGTACCCTGTTCGCCGATGCTTTGGAATTGATCAAGAAGGACGATTCGAGAAGTCAAATCATTCGCTTTTCTATGCCCTTGGGCCCATTGTCGTCGCTCCGACGTAGACGCCCAAGACGCACAGAAGGAGAATCCGAATCAACCCCACAATCGCCGCAGACACCCTTGCCGCCCGAGTTCGAAGAAGACCGTATAGTCAACCTTGAGGCTCAAGGAATCCTGTGTTACGACCGAGCAACTGGCGCAGAGAGCCATGTATGTATGTCCCCTCTTATCATGCCACTGCACACTGACCGTCAAGACCATGTGGATGATAAGACCATCGGTAATCCGCGAAGTGACCATTGACCTTCCACCGGTTCTCGTTGAATCCCTTGGGGTGGGTGCCGAGATGCTGGCTCAGTATCTAACCAGCCTGGCTGAGCAGGGAGCCAACGATCCCGGCAACCATCCCCCTCCCCTACCCGTTCTTTGTAGGATTTGTGAGCGCCAGATCACTCCTTGGTGGTTCGAGAAGCACACAGAGCTATGCCTGCAGGAGCATCGCACTGAGATGGAAGTCCAGATGGCGCACGAGTCACTGATTGAGCATCGCAATGCCATAGTCAAGGTTCTAGATGCATTAGATACACAAGGGAGGCAGCCGCGAGCCACGTCCGGAGAGCTACCCTCACCACCTCTCGCTGCAGAATACAAAGGCTTTCCACTGCAAACTACCTCTGCATCTTCGTCAGGGACTCCATCCGGAAGAAACTCGCCAGCTTCACCGCCTTCCAGATCCCGCGAGCGTTCGAGCGGCTTTGGCCATCATCGTGCTCGCTCCTTCGCTGTGAGAAGACCTCTTGCTCGCATCATCGAACTCGTCCTCGACCTTTGCGATACTGCCATCGAGATCAGCACGCCCGCCATCAAGGAAAACGCTCGAGCTCAATCAGCATCCGAAATACGAACCCAGTCTCCCCAGTCGGAAAGCCGTATATCGCAGGTGTTACAGTGGCAGTCGCCCAGCGCTAGCTCTACAGACTATGGAGAGGGATTTCCACTCCTCTGTGACGATACCACCAGGTTGGCAAGGGCCAAGGTCGATGCCGTCATCCGCCACAGGCGGATTCTCGAATACTCTGAGCGCATCCGTCAAGAGTTCGACATTTTGGTACAGGAATGCATCGAGGCCGCCATGGAAAAGGCCGCGCGCATTGCGGCAGGGGAGGACAGCTCAAGTGACGACGATCAGCAGCCAGCAGAAGTGGCGGCCCCTATGGAGCCAAATGATACTAACCCCGCCGACGAAGGTATTTTCCCAGGCTCCTTTGAAGGCCCATCAGCCATGGCACAGGCTCTGAGACTGGCTTCGGAAAGCTCGCTCCCTGCTCGCCTCACGAGAAGAGAGTCATCCGTAGCGGGCTCCACGAGATCCAGCAGTCCCTTGGGAGGTGCCCAAACTCCGCGCTCACATGTTGGCCCCATCAATATCGTGCAGAGCAAACGCCAGTCGATGCACTTCGAGAGCGATGCTGGCGCAGAGAGTGACACGAGTTTACGCTCATCTTCCGTCATGTCGGGGACGCGGCGAGCAGATTCGCCCTCATCAGAACTCGGTCTGGGCCGAGTTGCTAGCTCGCGAGAACGGAAGCGGAAGAGTCTGGTACTTCCAAGCGTCATGTCCAGCCGTCAGCACTCTCCCGCCCGCTCCATCGTCCAACCTTCGTCGCCGTTGCGAATGAACAAGCCTCGCATTCCCATTGGGGCAGACGGTCTTCAATCCCCCATCACCTCCCCCACCCTTGGCACAAGCGAGTTCTCCTCCCCCGCCATGTCTCTAATCTATCATCATCGGCAGTCCTCGACCGGCGGCTCCGATCCTGTCAAACCCGTGTCACCCCGTTTGCTGCCGGTCAGTGCGCCACAGCCGCGGGCGGTACCGCCTTCTATCAAGGACTTCGAGATTATCAAACCCATCAGTAAAGGTGCCTTTGGAAGCGTCTACTTGGCGAAGAAGAAGTCCACTGGAGAGTATTATGCCATTAAAGTACTGAAGAAGGCCGACATGGTGGCGAAGAATCAAGTCACCAACGTCAAAGCCGAAAGAGCCATCATGATGTGGCAAGGCGAGAGCGACTTCGTTGCGAAGCTGTATTGGACCTTCTCAAGCAAGGACTACCTCTACCTTGTCATGGAATACCTCAACGGCGGTGATTGTGCTTCGTTGATCAAGGTCCTGGGCGGGCTGCCTGAGGACTGGGCCAAGAAGTACCTGGGAGAGGTGGTGCTTGGTGTTGAGGACTTGCATAGCCGTGGCATTGTCCACCGTGACCTCAAACCAGACAATCTCCTCATCGACCAGAAAGGCCACTTGAAGCTCACCGACTTTGGTCTCTCACGTATGGGAATGATAGGAAGACAGAAGCGTGCACTCAACAGCAAACCCGACGAGCCAGTTCCTGACCTCCTGAAATCAGGCCCCTTTCATCGCGCAACCTCAATGGCGTCTTCTCGCTCCACTTCGTTTGATATCAACCAGTCCCCGTTGCAGACGCCTAGTATGACCCCTGCCCTTACAGGCGAGCTGGGACAGCCGTCGTACTTCAGTCTTAGTCGAGAGACTTCCCAAGTCCGAGACCCCTCCCGGAGGACTTCAGCCAACCGTAGCGACAGTGGCGATAGCGATGCATTGCAAGCAATATACCGTCGTTGCTCCATCATTGACGACCAACTCGTGCCCGCGCGCGCTCCTATTGAAGAAGAGTCCTACAGCGATGACGCGTCCCCTGATCTCTACCCTCTGGCCCCTACGATCAGTCAGTCAAGCTTTGCGCAGAATAGCACGCCTGCGCTTTCGTCCTCCATGCCGCCGCCGCCAATGGCCTTGTTTGACCCAGACGACAGCAACCGCAGGTTTGTGGGTACCCCCGACTATCTTGCACCGGAAACGATAAGCGGCAGCGGGCAGGATGAGGTTTCCGACTGGTGGTCTTTAGGTTGTATCTTATTCGAGTGCCTTTTTGGTTACCCGCCATTCCATGCGGACAATCCTGATGAGGTTTTCCAAAACATCCTCTCCCGCAAAATCGACTGGCCCGAACCGGATGCAATCGAAGTCTCGGAAGAGGCCATTGATCTAATCAATCGGCTTTTATGCAGTGATCCCGCGAAACGCTTAGGCGCAAATGCGGAGGAGAAGTTTGCCAGTGGTGGCGAAGAGATCAGAAACCATCCCTGGTTTGCTGACATAAACTGGGCCACCCTTCGGGAGGACGAGGCGTCCTTCGTCCCAGCGCCTGAGAACCCAGAGGATACAGAATACTTTGACTCACGGGGTGCAGCTATGCAGAATTTCACTGAATTCGAGGACCAAGGCACATCGCCGGCAGGAACTCCAAGCGCAGACTATCCCGATCGCCCACATGACGCGCTTTCGCGTGTTCGCTCTCAAATCACTGTTAGCACCATGAAGCGAGGGCTGATACCGCTACATATACCTGCGCACGTTCGTGAAGGTAGGTCGCGGAGGTTGAGCGAGCCAGTTGCTACCGACGACTTCGGCAACTTCAGCTACAAGAACCTGCCTGTGCTCGAAAAGGCCAACAAAGACGTCATACAAAAACTGAGGGCGGAAGCAATGCAATCTCATAAGGCGTCCGGGTCTACTTTGCAGTCGCCCAGCGTAACCTCACCCTCACCCTCGTTGGAATCCAGCCCAATGCCGGTGTCGTTCAAGCGAAGTCTTACGACAACCAAGGCACCAGGTCGACCCTCCTCTCCTTCTGTTAGCGGCCCCAATTCCTCTCCAAGTCGAGGCTCACAGCCTTCCTCACCCCTGCTGGTTCAATTCAGCACCGGGCAACATCATGAAAGACGTAAAACGTCCAGCAGCGGGTCTACCTTGTCCCAGGCGACCAGCCATCCGGCAAATCTGCAGCCAAGCAGCATCCTCGACGCGCCTCGATTGGGAACGTCGATCAGATCTGGTTCAGACGCCGTGTCGCCGGTCAAATCGGCCAAGACGACTTCGGCCATATCCACTTCTTCTGGTGAGAGGAGTGTGTCTGTCCAGCGGCAAGCGTCAGTCGGACACGCGAGCATGCCGTCCTCGCGCGTCCGTTCGCAGACTGTGGGTTCCCAGGACGGCGACGTGCGCGAGCTTCCGAACCATTACAAGCGTAGGAGTCAGGTGTTTGATGTCTCACCGTCCTCGTCAGATACTGAGGACTCCCGTGCCAAGGCGCTCCTTCGGGTCCAGCGGCGCCGGCAAAGCTCGCGTCGTCTGTCGCAGATCAGCCTTGCCGACGGTCCCATTTTCCGCCCTCTGGATGTCCTTGTGTGCGAAGACCACCCCGTCTCCCGGCTGGTTATGGAGAAGCTTCTTGAGAAGCTGCGATGCCGCACATTGACTGCCACAAACGGATCCGAGGCCGTGAGGTACGCCATGGGTGAAGTCAAGTTCGACATCATCATGATGGAGTTCAAACTGCCTCAAGTCAATGGCGCGGATGTGGCGCGCATGATACGTGACACGAAGAATGCAAACTCGAACACGCCCATTGTCGCAGTTACCGGCTACCTAAAGGAATTGCAAGCACCGCATCACTTTGACGCCCTCATAGAAAAGCCTCCTACCATTGCGAAGCTCACAGATACCCTGGGCAAGCTGTGTCAATGGAAGCCTGCTCCTCCCAACTGGACGCCCTCTCAAAGCCTCCTTCCAGCGATCCCTTCTAGTCTTCGTCAGGAGTCTACTCAGGAGGATAGTCCCACGTCAAACTCGTCCAGCGTTCCTCCCGTTCCTTCGGGCAGCTATCGCGGTTCCAGCCGCGAGGACTCGGTCAGCTCCAGCTTCTTCGGAGACAACGAGTCGCGTGCGGGCGACGAGGGTCCTGTCATCGTCTCCCGCCATGATTCAGATGATTGGCGCGAGCGCGACATCAGCCAAGCTATGAGTGGGTTGGGCATTTCCGAAGATGCAGTGGGCAATGTCGATCCGAAGAACGCGGGGAACAAACTTTCCGTGCCGCCTCACCTTCCACCTATGGGCTCGTCTGCCCCCGCCGCGCTTGAGTTTGCGACGGTCCGAAAACAACGTTCCAGTGAGCTTGTTGGCGCCAAACGGCAAATGCTGAAGACGCGGAAGCACGAGTCGGCCGAGTCTGGCGACGACGAGGATGATGAGCTGGGCAACGTCCACCACGAACGCAGCAGAAGTCCCAGAACGCGACCCAAGTCATCTTCAAAGCTTGGTATCGAGATGATGCGCACAAACAGCCGGGGCAGTGTCATCTCCTTTGATGAGCTCGTAGCGCAAGACACCAAGTTGGCGTCCTCTCCGCCTCCGTCCATCACAGAGGAAAGGCAATCTAGCATTACACCTGACGTGGCTCCACCAATTGCTCTGACACCGCCAGAGATCTTCCCCATGGCTCCTGGCGGAGACATGCAGGAGGTTGAGTTGGAGACACCAAAAGCTGCAGCAAGACAGAGTGAGGAAGCATTAGAAGCCTACCCCACGCCAAAGGCCCGCCCAATTGCCTAAAGGGTTGAGGGTTGACCATGTCATCAGCCCCATCCTGCCCAGAATGTCCGTTTTCGATAGATAGCAAGTTGCATACGTCTCCACTTTCCTTTTGTCGAGACTACTAAGGCTTTTTCCTTTGTGTCTGGTGCAATGCACCGCTCTCACGGCATTTTCACTTCTCTTCTCTGTACATACTAGTAGCTTGTTTGAGCATGGTGTTTGGTGACGGTTGGCGCGTTACTGGTGTTCCTGACGGTAGTGCACCAAGGAAACAGGAGGTTATGACGTTTTTGCCTACGGAATCCTCGATCCAAATTGCGGGCGCTTTTGTCTCTAGTCCAGCGGGAGTTTTTCCTTTGTCTTGTTTCCTTTCCCCCAGTCCGTTTGGGAAAATTCTGAAATCTGCATCTTATAAGTCTGTATGGCTAGCTGCGGTGAAGTTGTCGTTGTTAGCAGAGGTGTGTGGTCCCTTTTTCTCGTCTAAACATGCTAGCGTATATAAAGTGTGTTTAAATAGATGTGTGTAGTATAGTGCATTGGAGCTGGGTAGATGGATCGTCGAGGGTCTCGAGAAAAATGATCGTAAGACTTCGACACTTAATATCTTCTTGTCATGTCTTGCATGGAGAGCAGAGGCCTGACGTGCGTCGCCATACAAGTGTGTAAGCTATCGGGTACTCCACGTGTGCGTTGGACTACTCCACCTTCCCTATGCGGTTAGCCTAGCGAATGGAAAATCTGGGGTAAGGACGTCGAGCAGTTCTTCCACCACTCAGCCTCGTGCCCTCGCAGCTCATCACTTGTTCAACAACATGATTGATTCCAGCCCCGTCCGCGTTTGCGACAATCTTGTTATACTTTCCCAGCCCTTCGACCGTGAATTGAGTCGTCCTACCTTGGACACCGCGCCACCGACCACAGTTTTTATCCGCCCATCTGGAAAAAATATGGAATGCCTCCGCGATCATGACCGGGGACCTGGGAGACGATGGTCCCGTGCAGACGGACGCATATAGAAGGGATATGTACTGTGTATATATTTACCACGCGATGGCCCTTCAACCTGGTTCCTCGTCGCCGCTCTCCAAGGTGCCCGCATCACAGCCAAGATGAAGACTCTCTTCCTGGCCTCCCTGGCCTCGCTGAATTTCCTCACCGCCGCCGCTCCTGCCGGCTGTGACTTCAGCCTCGTCGGCTTCGCCAAAGACAACCCCATCGGTCCCACGACGGGCGGCCAGGGCGGCAAGACCATCAAGGTGACCTCTCCCGCGGAGCTCGCCGCGGCAGTCCAAGGCAACGAGCCCGCCATCATCATCGCCCAAGGCGCCTTCAACCTGACCTCGCGCCTGAAAGTCGGGTCGAACAAGTCGCTCATCGGCGCGGGTTCCGGCGCGCTCATCACGGGCTCGGGCATCACCATCAACAGCAACACCAACGTCATCATCCGCAACCTGGCGATCCGCAACATCCTCGACAACGACGGCATCACGATCCAGAACAGCACGCGCGTGTGGATCGACCACAACGAGTTCTCGTCGGACCTGGACCACGGGCCGGACCACTACGACGGCCAGTGCGACATTGTGCGCGCCAGCGACTGGATCACCGTCAGCTGGAACTACTTCCACGACCACTGGAAGTCGTCGCTCGTCGGCAACAGCGACGCCCTGCGGGATGTCGACTCGGGCCATTTGCACGTCACGTACCACCACAATTACTGGCGGCATGAGGGCACGCGAGGACCGGCGGGCAGGTTCGGGCACCAGCACGTGTTTAACAATCTCTACGAGGACTTTTTGTACCAGGCCATTCATAGTCGGAGCGATAACCAGGTGCTGGTCGAGGGGAATGTGTTTAGGGGGAACACGCGCGAGGCGCTGAGTACGTACGGCCTGGTGATTCCGGACGATAGCCCGAATACGAGTCCCGAGGGGGATTGGGAGTTGGATGGGTTTGCGAATTTGGGCGCTAGTGAGTTATCCTCCTTTTTTCTCCCGTTGAAATGGCGCCCTTCTTCCGACAGGAGAAATGTTTGCAAAAGTCCCTGATTGCTAACCACTTCCTCCTCTTCCTGATAGAAAATGACTGGGGCACCGCTACCATCAACATCACTCAAGTCGGCAACTTCACAAGGGCGCCGTACCGGTACAAACTCACGCCGCTCAAGCAGGTGGTGAAGGTCGTCAAGGCGGGCGTTGGGCTGGGGAAAATCTAGTTCGTTTCATGTAACTAGAGGAATGTTGCGGGATGCTGGGGACGCTGTAGAGGCGGATTGTAAATAGTTGTTTATAGAGGGTTGTAGCTGAATGCATTAAATCGGTGGCTTTGTGTGTTTGGTTGGAAAGAATGCCGGGATGTGGTACTGCGTTGATGGTTCTCCTGTAATTGTGAGGCTGTGCAGGGGTGGTTTGGGGGGCTTGGGGAGGGATGGATGGTTGGGATCTCTTGGGGGTTTGTGTGGTTGGTAATAAAGCATAGAAGAGAGGTAGGGGGGCAGGTAGCAAGCAAGTTAGCAATAAGGGTAATGTAAGGTATACTTGTAAGAGTGTTAGGTTTAGTACGTAAATAGATTGCAGGCTTAGATGTTTAGAGGCTTGGTAGTACAATAGTATAGGTAGCTGCAGGTACCTCACTATCAAGGTCCCATTCGAACCAAGCATCGTCCTCTTCACAATCCTTACCGTGTCCCTAACCGTATTCTTCATGATCGTTCCCATTATAGCTCATCGTCGGCATCCTCGTGGCCGTTATGTTCGCCATCACTGTCGACATCCTCATAGCCGTTGTCGTCGCTATCACTGTCGACATCCTCATAGCCGTTATCGTCGTTATCACTGTCCGCAAGCTCTTCGCTAACCCGTCTCAGCCACCTCTCAGCGAGCTCCTCCCGCAACCCCATGGGCACACCTTTCAAATCGAGCTCTAGCAACTCCTCACGCAACCACTCTTTGAACCCGTCCTCAAGGACGAGCTTCTCCAATTTCGAACATTTGGCAACGACTTGGAGGCAGGCTTGAACCGCGATGTCGAGAAGGCTCTGCAATGAGAGTTCCGGCAAGTGGCTCGCCTGGTGATTATGTTCGGTAGAGGCGACGAGTGGTCTGTAGATCTTGAAGAAATTGGTTTGCAGCTCGACGAGTTCTGGGCAGTGGTCTGCTATGAAGAGGAGGGTTTCCGCTTCCCTCGTCAATCTGCGATGCTCGGAGCGCCAATCCCTCCTCATGTGCAGAGGGAAGGTTGTACCAGGAGACCCAACGAGATGGATTTTAGTCATCAAGATGAGCCAGGCGGGCGGTGGGAAGCACTCCGTGGCGTAGCCAAGTCTTTGGGTCAATGAGTTAGCGGTGGTGAGGCGGGCGGTTGGTGAAGGGCTTTGGATGGTGAGGACTTACGCTGGGATTTTCCGCGTACTGGGATTGAAGGCCGACGGAGCAAGGCGCTCAGAGCTCTTGTCGTAGTACTGTGTTGGGAGTGAACCCACTTCGTCACGGAGTTCGACGGGAGTGAGGTGGAATAATAGGTGGATAAGTTCGGATCGGATAGATTTGCAGACTCGGAGCAGGGCCCATGGGATCGTATGCGAGGATCGAATGTAGTACTAGATTTCCGCTCAGTAACATTTCCCTGAATGCCGAGAAGGAAAAGAAGAGGCGAGTGGTGATAAAACACACGATATCGAGTAGACATACCTTCATCGAACCCGCTCCGCACTCAAATTTGAAGGAAATGGGTTTGGACCACCAGAGCTTGGGTGTGACGCCGAGGACTTTGTAACGATGTTGGCAACCGGCCGTGTCGGGTGGGTGTGCACGTCCTCCGCATTCCCATGAATTGCCGTGACAGTCTATCCAGATGTGGGATCCTTCGGGAATCCCAAGGTAGCTGAAGATCTTATGGCGAATCTCAGCCGGTAACTTCTCCAGTTTGGATAGCTCCCGGGGACGAGGCTGGCATGCTTGTTCGCTCTCCCGCATCCAACGCAGCGGAGGTGTTGCGACCTTGGACAGTTGAAGGGCGTCTATGTCCAGGTCACCGCCTTCGTCTTGCATCTTGCGTAGTCTGCCCTACTGATTCGATGGGAAGGCTCGTTCGATATCGAAGTTGTACCGTGAGAGGGAGGTCAGTGACGCCGTCAGGCGAAGTGAGGAGGCGATCCAAGGAGGTTGTTGTTTGCCGGTTGGGGCGGTGGCGTGTTGAAAAGGTAGAGGACAAGTGCGTGAAGTTACGCTAAATAGGCAGGAAGCAGTCACGTGCGGCCTTCACGGGCGCTCCAACCTTCCAAGGTTGGAAGGCACGAATAACCAAGCCGCGAGAGTGAAAGCACGAAGGGCGTTTGAGGTCCGTGGACTAACCTAGGTCCACCTTGTCCATACGGTGAAAAGCATACGCATGGCGGAGTCTATCGTGCTCCTTTCTTCGGGGTAAGTGGACAGTGCTCTATTTTAAAGAAGATCTGGACTATAGGAGATAGGAAACCTAGAATTTGGGCCGACTTATCAAAGTACTAATCCTGGACGCTGGAATGTAGGCGGGCCTAAGGGAGGAGTGCTCCCGCGTGAGATTAAAGCTAGTCTTGAGTAACTTTCGGTATCTTCGAAGAAAATTACTAAAACCAACTAAATCAAGAAGAGCCACGTAGGCGTGAAGCAAGGGTTGTGGTTTTCTGAAAGTATATATATGTAAATCTCTTAATTACTGTTATCGTAACCTACGGCAAACATTGTTGTGCATTCGTGATTTGAGTGAGGTTGATTAGCAAAGAGGAAGTGCCGTGGAAACAACAAGCAAAAACACAATTGTTGTGAGTCGCCCCCCAAACTATCTGTAATCATAAATATTTCTTAGCCAAAAGTAGGAGACGCTACGATAGCATGAGCCTTTCACGGTGATGACAATATAGAAGCTTTACTAGTTATTAGTCCTATGCTTTCACCCCAACGCGCTTCGCTCGAGCGTGAAACTACGCACCACGGGGCAGCATGGGAGCGCCACGTATATATCTGCTGTTCTTGGGGGCAGCCTGTTCTACCTCTTCAACCTCGTTGAATGGTCCAACCCTGAACCCTACAGCAACCCTACTAGTACCTCAAGAACATTTACCGCTTCAACACCCATCCCCGGGCTACTTCTCCCTCCAAGCTTCCGTCACAACCTCCGCGTAGCACACTCTGTCAACCTGCATACCCACCCACCATATCTCTATCACATCACGGCGAGGATCTGGACCTCACTGCCCTCCAGCATACCCGGTCCAGAATGCAAGCAGTACTGTCCGTCCAGGAGTCTCCTTGTTCTCGAGCGCTTTCCAGGCTCGAGACCCTACCCCCTGAGATCCGCTACAAGATATTTGATTACGTTGGATATCCAGTAGGATCACACGTCTGGGTAGATTGGCGATCCCTACTCAGCAATGGAGATTCGGAAGAAGACTTTGAACAACGCACCAGAATCGTCCGTATCGAGTCCTCCGACTACCGCGACCGGGGCATTAGTATAGTCTTGGAGGGGACTAACATCTAGGGCCCCAAGGAGTTCGAAGTATATGTATGTTTGTCGCGTTTTATTTCTCCTTGTCATCCTCATTTAGCGAAACTGGCTGACCAGTTCCAGATTAGCGCCACAGAGGGCAACAACCCATGGAAGCTCCTCGCCGTCAGCAAGACCATCCGGTCTGAAGTCCTATCTCTCCTCTTGGGGCGCGTCCTCGTTAGATTCGACTACGAGCTAAGCACTCGACCGGTGCATTATCACAACCCGGACGATGACTCGGACTGCGACTGGGACTTGCATGAGACAGGAGAACAGGAACTCGAGACGTGAGTGCCCACTACTACTCTATCTCACCTGTTACTTACCTGCTAACCTATCCATCTAGAATCACCTATCACCGCATGTGGTTCCCGACCTCCTGGTTCGCAGCGCTCACCATCGTACACCTCAGCGACTCCATCGGCCACGGCAACGCCGCTAGACGACCCGGCTACCCCTATAATCGTAGGTCGTACACGCACCGCGTCCTTCGCAAGCAGGCTAGTACGATCCGCTTTATTGCAAAGCACTGCCCGGCGCTTGTAAAACTGCAGGTCGACCTCTTCCTTAGGCGACGCCAAAACTCCGTCCTTGCCATTGGTTATCCCGCGAGGGATCCGAAACGCAGGGTTCTTTCCCGCCTTCTGCGGGCCTTCCTCAAAGTCGTTAGGAATCGTCCCGAGTTCGAGAAACTGGTTATTCCAGGACAGAAGCCTAGTGAGGAGCGCCAGACGCTGTGGTTGAAGGATATGCCGATGGAGATGAGGGAGGATAAGGCGAAGGTGTGGGTTAAAGATGTGATTCGAAGGTTGGCTGCTCTGCCCAACATGTATATCTCATAGATTTGCAGACGCGTTTTTTCTAGGGGAATGGGACTGGGACCGTTGAGCCGGGGTTCTATAGTTCGAGGGATACAGAGCTGTTTTTCTATTTATTCCGCTTAGCAGGAGCCTTGATTTAGCTTATCTCACAGGTCAAACCGTAAAAACTTGGTCCTCTGCGCAAGCTAAGATTTAGCGTTTTATGTATAGGGAGGTCTACAAAGTTAACTGGGAAAAGTAACATCTGGACGTATCTGGTCCGGATCCGACAACATCTTGGCTTCTTCCCTTTCGTACAGTACGGATGTTAACATCTCCGCTTGCAGAGCTGCACGATTAGCAAACAAAAACGAACGGCACGTACTCTATGTCTAATTATTGATAAGTAGAGGTTTAGGGCAGCTGGAGCTCCGAGAGGCAGTTGGTCCAGTTCTCCGGTAACCGCGGACTGAGTCTGTAAACGTCGGGCGCTAGCGTCCGCCTTCATTTCATTCTAAAACCATTGACGAACGGGCTCCTATGCCGATCCATGTTACAAGTCCGTAATTATAGGGCCGGCGCTTGTGTCGTCATTCCTGAGCAATTGTTTTGCGAAGGACAACATGTAAAAAATCACCATAATCATATAATGAGTACCCTAGGGTAATCATTGAAGTTTACAATTGGTCGAGCGTCTACGCTATAGTTGCACCTAAAGAGAACCGCTTTCCACTCCCTCAATGCATCAATGCAAAGCCGAGGCTAACTCCAGCGGCTGCGGTGGGGATGGGTCTCCAACACGCTGTGGCGCCAGACTGGGGTCCGTCCACTCTCGCTTTGTGAAAGTGCTGGTCACATGACACTAAGACATTGCCATTCGCATCCTCATATTTCCGAAGCCCCAGCAACTGCTAGCATTTAGAAACGCTAAGTGTAGGTTCCTTGAAAATGCCTCCTTTGCGGTACGGGTTCGTGATTGGAGTCCAGACTCGGCGTTCCATACCTCATCTAATTAGTTTGAGGAAGGACAAGCTGTAAACAATCACGTATGTTGGTACCTCATTGCCTACAAACTCTCCTACTGTATAAATATGTCCACGGCGGACGCATCGGCGCTCTTGTACAGGCGTTCCGCGTCCATTCACTACCACATATGAGCCGCCATGTGACACGCGATCCCAATGCCCTTTCACCTGGGACAGAGGGCCAATCGCTCTGTTGTGAAAGCGCTGATCACATGATTCCAGTATATAAACCTGCCTTTACTTTCCACTAGCAACATGTTGTCACCCTCCCAAAACGTTACCCTCGCGTCAACAACAACCCTCGCTCTCACAACAGCCCTTACTCCAAACAACAACCCACTGCGATATAATTCCAACACAACCGTTACTCAACAACTAGCTTCCCTTCAGCCACAACCTCAAATACTTCATACTAGGTTCCAAAATGTCTCGACTGCGAGATCTAAGCGACGGGCTTGAGCTTGAAGCTCTTCTCTTCTCCCAGTTTACAGTGCCCCCACTCCAATGGATGGCAGATCGAGCTCCTGCCTTTGCGGCTCCTCGCCCTCGGGTTATTTCTCCCTTTGAGAAGCTCCCCGCCGAAGTCCGGCACCAGATATACGGATATCTTGGCTTCCCTGCCGGACGAAAGCTTTGGCTGAAGTGCTCGGAGACTTGTTGCGACGATCCCTCACACGCGAAGCCTTTTATTTCAAGCTGGTCACCAAAGCACAATGGTTATGAGCACCGCGTCGTCCTGACGAACATGATCTTCGAGCGTCCTGATGGCCAGTACGACAGAATCGAACTGGAGGACAATGCAGCCATGGCCCGTCGCCGAGCTCGCGAATGCACGTGGGAGGAGTGCGGTGATAGTCCAGCTACAACAGTACGTTCCAAGTCCGTTTTCTATATTGATTTTACACTCGTTGCTAATCAACACTGGACAGTATTGTACAAGCGCCATATTCGAGGAAGTCAAACTTACTTGGGGTCTCCTCGACGTTTGCAAGTCCATCCGAGCCGAAACGCTTGACTTGTTGTTCGGCCAGGCTAAAATCCGCTTCGACTACGAGTTGAGCGACAAGGCCGTCCATTACGACAATTACAAGAACTGGGCTGCAAACAAATCTGGAACGTAAGTCGTTCATCATTGCAGAGGAATCGTCCCATCACTAACGCATGGATTATTAGTGGCCAATACTTCCACATGCGTCTCAATCCAGGCTGGTTTTCACAAATGACGCAGGTCCACCTCTCCGATTCCGTCGGTCAAGGCTTCTGGGCTAGACGTCCGGGAATGCCGTGGAATACATCCCGCCCATGTACGACGCGGATCCTAGAGAAGCAAGCGAGCTCCCTCTTCTTCGTTCCAAAGTACTGCCCCAGGCTCGTAATCCTTCAAACCGACCTCTACCTTCCCGGTCGACCCCGCCACGAACCCTGGGAATGGAGCGCTACTCTAGATCCTAAGCCGAAGCAAAGCACCCTCGATCTTCTCACCCTGGCTTTCTAGCTGTGGTCGAGAATTGCACCAGTTTGGAGGAGCTCGTCATTCCTCGCGGCGTCAGGGAGTGGCACATCCGACCCAATGGACGCCGGTACTTTGGGGAGCAGTGGGATGGCCGGGATGAGCCATTCGATTACTATGCAGACCGTGGTTCGGAATCTCTCCAGGTTCTCGAACTGAAGGATGTTCCGAGTCTGTTGCGCGAGGAGGCAACAAAGAACTGGCTCAAGGCTGTCTTGAGGGATCTGGTGGTCGGACCTAGTTACGATATTAGGATTCATGATTTTAGTGAGCCTTGATGGATGGGTGACCACTGGATCATAGAGAACTTGTCGAGGTGTCGTGGTGGTTCTGTATTCGAGTCAGCGTGTGTGACAATTCAATCACCACTCCCGCTAGGCAGGACGAACATAATAGGCGTCTATATCCCTTGAAGCATAGAACCTAGACGCTACAATCCTGCTTGTATGAGAGGGTACAGCTAAACTATTACCTATTGCCCTATAACTTCCTTAAAGAACTGAAGTCGTGTATCTTTACAAGTATTTGTAAAGTAGATCCCGCTACCTAGGGTAGAGGATAAGACGCGTCGCACCCTACCCCGACTGCATGCGCGAGGAGGACGACGGGACATGGCTGCATTGTCCTTAACTTCTGTCCTGTCTTGCCTGTCTATTAGGACGCTCGAGTATTGTATTAGTTACGACGACGCGGTGCTTATAACTATTATCCTTTAGCAATTAGCTTAGATAACAAGGCTTTAGGTGCGAGGAGGGATTGTCGCAGCAACTAGGTGTGCGAGTTTACACACAGCTTGTCTTTCTACACACAATTAGATAGAAATATAGAAGGTTGAGTCTCCAACAATAGACTAGTTCTACAAGAGAGGCGTTTTTAAGAACTTTAGACTTGGGGATTATAGAAAGGTAGAGAGAGGCTGTAGATTAGGGAAATATAGGGAGCGGTGTAGTGCAGATAATTATAGGCTGGTGTCATGTGACCTGCACTTTTACAAAGCGAGTGGACTAGTCTCGTGCCACAGCCTGTTGGCAGCCTGTACCTTACAGGGTTCACTAGATTCGTGGATCAGGGACGCCGAAAGCACTTCGTAGGCGTCAATGTAGTGTGGGCACTCGAACGATTGTGAACCAATTGTCTCGGATTGTCCTTCCCTAAAACAATTGTATGCGCATAGCAAAGTAGAGTTAGCGTCACAATCACGGATTAGTAACGGGGATCGTTACGGGAGTTTGTTCGTCAATTCGTTTTGGAAGGGGATGAAAGCGGTTTTGGATACTAGACGTTTAGAGCCTCACATTGTGTTAGGGGTATTGACAGCACCCTTTCGCTATCTATTTTCTTCACATTAAGCTCGCGTTGTGCGTTTTTGCTTGCTTGTTTTGGAACTTTGTGCAAGCGAAGAAATCCGTAACGCACATGGCAGCAATCCGGGAACAATTATAATGTTACTGAGTGATCACATCGTCTTCAAAGCCACCGCTTATCATGACTTGCATATATATACTCTGCATCACTCTTCTTGATCCAGTCCTTTAGCCGCCTTTCAGGGCACATTACTCGATATACTTTCACTCAGGAGGAGACACGACTCATCTAAGGTAGCGGTGAAAGTATGCACACCTCCGAGATTCCGATATATAATGCCGGTTTGTTTATTTACGTCACCGACCTTCATAGCTTTCCAATCACACCCTCTCGCGCTATTAAATCCCCAACCTCAGCCAACTCTTCTGATCCCACCCTCGCCAGCGGTTGGAACCTGCCTCCACATCATCCAGAGCCGACGGCTCTACGCTCACTTTCGAAGATGGCCTCGCCAGACGACGACAACGAATTTGACCGTCATGCATTGACGCTCTCCAAATTCGGCTCCGTTCCACCGATGGGATGGCTGAAGGATTTGCCACCTGCCTTCGAGGCCGCTCCTCCTCGAAAGCTCTCCTCGCTTGAGAAGCTCCCTAGGGAGGTGCGGCAACAGGTATATAGCTACCTCGGGGTGCCCGTTGGACATAACATGTGGGTCAATTGTCGCAACGAGTCGTGTGATGAATGGGAACCACCCTCATGGGCCAACGCGTACTTATACTTGCCTTGTGGATTGAACTACTTCGAGCGCTGTCAATATCAACATCGTTGGCGGATGGTCGAAATACAGTCCAAGAGCCCTTGTGGTCGCGCCGACCAGTTCAGATTTGAGAGCAAGACTGGGCAAGGGGTGGATTCGGTTTGTAATATGCGAACCGACTTCCTTCCCAGCATTGCTAACAATCTTGATAGGCGTGGCTTCCGGAGCCATTCATGGACTTGACGTTGCTCCATGTGTGCAAGTCTATTCGCGATGAGGTCCCCGACTTGTTGTTCCGGGACGTCAACGTCCGTGTCTGCTATGAATTGAGCGACAAAAGGGTGCATTTCGACGAGCGGAACTATCGCCACTGCAGCAGATCTGGAGGATAAGTGCAAGCTGACGGGGATATAAAGTTGTTGTAATACTAACGCGGCCTCAGCTATGTATTCCGACATATGCACCTCAACCCAGCTTGGTTTTACTACATCACCCGCATCCATCTAACCGATCAGGTCGGCAGAGGATCCATTGCCCGTCGCCCAGGTTACAAGCGCCACATCACTCGCATGCTCAAGAAACAAGCCAATTCTCTCCGCTTTGTCGCCAAGTATTGTCCTGCACTCGTCACCCTGCGGACGGATTTTATCCCAGCATGTCCCCACATCTACTGGGACTGGGTCTTTCGTTGCACTTGCGGTCAGAAACCGAAACAGAGCACAATTGGCGTTCTCATCGCCGCCTATATCGAGGTAGTCTCCAAGTGTGCAAACCTGCAGGAGATTGTGGTCGAGAGGCTTCAGGTACGACGGTTTGAGGACTGCCCGTTGAAGGTGGCGGTTCTTCGGGTTCTCGAACTGCGGGACGTTCCGGCCGGTTTGAAGGAGGAGATTGCGCTGAAATGGATTCAGCCCTTGATGAATGATATGGTAACTCATCCGGTGGAGGAACTCTGGGTCGATGACGCTTCCGAGTCCTAGATAGATAAGCTAGACGTGGGTTATAGATGGCGCATGCGCTTAGGCTATGCGATGGAACTGTGTCTTAGATAGTCAACCTTGGGGGTTCAGCCTTCACAACACTCTGAATGTATAATAGATTTCAGTCTCCTACCCTCGCGTACCTACCTGGACATATGCCATTATAATGGGATACTTCCAGTTTTTCGCGAAAGCTGCAGCAATGCTACTTAGACTCAACAATCCCATTCAGTCTATCCAGATGCAACGTCCTATTATAACAGATGTGCGGTATGATATTCCGCCTTGCCAGGGATATCTGTAGACAAGGCGTCCTCTACGGCCCAACTATTAACCTCTAGCGACGAGGAACGTACCAAGACACCTACTCTAGGTACTTGTGTTCCTCTTTCCTCCTCTTCTATAGCTGCTAGCATTCTAGAAAGACGGCTAATTAAGGCGTACTCTTAGATCTATTGTGATTTGGTCTTGATGTCTCGAGCTCTACCGGATACCCTAAGGTGATTATGGCCGAGGGCCAGAAAAGGCCCATAAAAGCCCTATTCCCGGGGAAATCTCATGCACCCTGCGCGTGATAATCTCAGAATAAGCAAGAAGGAAAGCAAAACGCAAGGAGGCTTAATCTTTGTAGTTGTCCCGCATTCATGCGCAAGCGGGCAGATTCTATAAAGCTCAGGACGAGGGCAAGCAGTTAACAATCACCACATCGCCATGTGACCGATCCTCCCCAAACTCCAGCTACTTTATATACTTGTCCCCGAAAGGTTAACTAACTGTACCTGAAGCGGTGCTTCTACAACCACAACAGCATGGCTCCATTAGAGCAAGACTTCCGTCCATATGTTCACAGGAGCTCGACGCGGTTCGTTAAGCGGTGGAAGTATGCGGAGGGAGGGTCTCCGATATATAAGATAATTTGTTTATTTACGTCACCGCCTTTCTTAACCTTCTACACTACATATTTGCATGAGCTTTTTCACCGCAGTCCGGCGCAACATCCTTTCTCTCAGCACAAACTTTCTTCAAAGATCCAACTACAACCTCAAACTGTCGACCCGCAACCTCGCGCAACCTATATCACCCTACAGTCTTACTATAACAATGTGCACCTCACAGGATGCCAATAGTTTGGATCTACAAGCATTGGCGCTCTCGAAATTCTTCGTTTCGCCCATGCGACGGATGGAGGACTTGCCACCTGCTTTCGAGATACCTCGTCCTCGAAAACTGTCAGCGTTTGAGAAACTTCCTGCCGAGTTGCGCCACGAAATATACAGCCATCTCGGGGTGCTTGTAGCTCGCAGACTTTGGACAGGCTGTCGGAAAGACAACTGCGGGTACCGCTCACATCCAGGTTGTGATACAGGAAGCTACTGGGACACTCAATCCGACGGCAGCGATGTACCCGAATATGAACACCGTTCGAGGGTTCTTGAAGTCGAGTTTGAACGTCCCGATGAGAGGTCAGGGGCGTTTGTTATGGAGAGCCGCACTGTTGATGGGCACAACTGGGTAGGTGGACGAACCTTTTTTTCCAGGAACACGGCTGATACGTAAGAGAGACTTATTACTACATAATACTGCTCAAAGACTGGCCTCTACTTCACATTTGCCGATTAATTCGAGATGAGGTTGCCGACCTGCTCTTTCAAAATGTGAATGTCCGCATCGGGTTCGAGTTAAGCGACAGGGCAGTTCACTACGACAACTGGACGAACTACTACAACAACAAGCCTGGACAGTAAGTACATTCCTAACCCAAATAAATTATCGCACTAATATTGCCTCAGCGGTGTATTCCGACGGATGACTCTCAACCCATCCTGGTTTGCCTCCATGACACACATTCACCTCACCAGAGAAGTAGGAAGTGGTTTCAATGCGAAGCGCCCCGGAGCCGCTTACAAGCCTCGTCCAAACCTCACTCGTGCCCTCGAAAAACAGGCCAAGACTCTTCTCTTTCTCGCCAAATACTGTCCTGCCCTCGTTACCCTGCGTGCGGATTTCGTCCCGGCATGTCACGAGTACGACTGTTGGCCCTGCGGCTGGTACCACGCCTGGAGGGGTAAACCAAAACAGAGCATGCTGGACGCCCTCATCGCTGCCTACGTGGACGTCGTTGGCAGGTGCACGAAGTTGCAGAGCATTGTTATTCCCCGCGCCGATTTCCAAACGTTAGAGGATGATCAAGCCGGTTCGGGGGATATCAATCTAGATGATAGACTACAGGTTCTAGAGCTCCGGGATGTTCTGGTCGCACTGAGGGAGGAGGCCGCACGGAAATGGCTCAAAGTATTGATGGATGACTTGGTGGCATTTCGATGTACGGGATGTGAGAAGTAGATTGGTACCCCATCGTGCTGGTGTGTAGCTAGATAAATTGGAGATTTTAGGGGGTTCTGATTCCGTAAGACTACTGGAACGGCGCTGTATCTGTTTAATATAGAGTACCAACGTGTATGCAGAGCATTGTAGTAGGGTTTATTAGTCTTCTGCGAAAGCTGCAGCGATGTAACTTAGCTGCTACTATCTTGAATGCATCCTAGCATGTTAAAAGCACTAGCTTGCTTATTCTAATAGTAATAGACTAAATGTATCTTGTCTAGCATATAGTGTTATTAAGGTATCGTACAGGATGTTAGTAATCCTGTAGAGGGAGATTGTAGATAGTTCTTCATAGAAGGATGTAGCTGAATCTATGGTTTTGTCTAGTAGTAGATACCTGTTTAAAGCGGTTAGTGCGTGTGCTCGTTTCTGTTACTGTGACCCTCGATCCTCCACTTCCCTAACCTCCGCTTCCCCTCCAGTCCTCGCAAAAATCCAGCACTTGAAATCCATCCATCCATCCAGTCCATCAATAACAACCCTCTAATATCCCAGCTCCCTGCTCCCTTCCTATCAAATCAAACATACCCCGAACCATTGGTTTCGCCAACTCAAACACCTAACGATCCCACCTCCATTCACCTTCTCAAAACTTCTTCGCCCTCTCGCTCTCTAACCCCCCTTCAAGTTCCCACTACCCATTCATTCTTCTTCTATAAGCTCCACCATCTCCACACACGAACCACACAGCGCATGCCCGCACTCCATGCAATTATCATACGTATGCTGGGCCCAAGGCCCGCCTTGGCACTGGCACTGGTATGCGAGGTCAGCTCCATTTTCCCCTTTTGATGCCAGATGCTTACGCAGTACTTGAATCTCAATTCACCCTTGACCTTCGACTTCCTCCTCTTCTGCGTCGGCTGCTGCGACGGAGACGCAGACTCGGCGGCGTCGTGTCGGTGCCGTTTCCGGGACTCTGCGGCATGCGCGGCAGGATGCGGGGTTTCCTTCTGCCTCTGAGCATCCAAGGTCGGGCCATACTCGTCATCGTCATCGTCATCATCATCCTCGTCCTCTCCATCATCCAACTCTACATCACCACCATCCACCTCTTCCTCTTCCTCATCCCCTTCCCCATCCAAATCTCCCCTCAACGTCCTCCTCCTCCTCACAAGCCCCTCCCCCTTGAAACTCTGCCTCTCTCCCTCTCCCTCCCTCTCCCCCTCTCCCTCTTCGTTTTCTCTCAACAAATCCCCCTTCCTCCTCCCGGCCTCAAAACAAACCCACTCCTCGATCCCCTTCCCCGCCCTCAAATGCCCATCCACATGATCAAACCGCTCGTCCCACGCCTCATTCCTCTTCTTCCGCAACGGCACCACATCCGCGCAGAAGCCGCACCAGAATGCGCCCTGGCCGTTCCTCCCGATCCGCCTCTCTTTCATCTCCTTCTCAATCTCCTTATCCCTGCCGTTGCTGCCACCACCGCCAGTGCCCTGCCCATCATCCCCCTTCCCCTTCCCACCACCCATCCCATGGCACCCCCTCAAATGCCCCTCAAAATCCCTCACCCTCCAAAACAAGCCCTCGCCCCCCGCTTTTCCCCCGTCACCCACGCCGCCCACACCACAGAACCGACACAGAAACATCTCCTGCTGGAAATGCTGGCTATTCTCATGCCGCTTCCAGTCCGACTTGGCGCCGAAGCGTCGATAACAGTTGGGATACGTGCAGCCGTACGGCTTCGTGTGCCGCTTGAGGTGCTTGCGCAGGTCGCAGGGGCGCGACACCACGGCGTTACACTGCTCGCACTGCGTCGTTGGGAGGGGGGAGGTGCTGCTGCTGGAGCGGCGAGATGGCGGGCGGTGGGGGGAACGTTTTGTTTGGGGGGATGGTGGTGGTTTGAGGTGGTTTCGTTGGTGCTGCGCGGATGATGGTGATGATGATGGGTTTTCCGATTTCGTAGGGCGGTCCAAAGAGGCTGCTCGGTGGGGAGACTGCTGCGAAAGCTGCTGCGAGATTGTCCTTTGGCCAATGCTTGTTGAGAGGGCGCGCAGAATAAGGTTTTCCAGGTCCTCTCCCGAGCTGTTGTTTGAGGCATGCTGAATCACGTTGACCAAGGATTTGGAGAACTTCAAAAGAGCTTCTTGCTCTGGGCCTCCTTGCGCCTGAAGTGCGCTTGAAAGATCGGGAGGTGGTCGCACGATCTCCTTCTCCATGGTCTGAGACTCGGCGATATCTGCGTGAGTATCCAGTCTCTGCGACGGCACACGAGGACTCTGCGAGACTCTCCGCACATCCGGCGTCAATGGAGACAACAAACCCGGATCTCGACCGTGATAGGTAGAGGCAGCCGCATTCGGTGGTCCCGCCCCAACTAGATCCATGTCAAAGCCCTGTGCCGAAGGACTGGTGAGAGACAAAGTAGTCCAAGGCTGATGGGATTCCTGATCTGGGGTTAAGCTTATTCCGGACGTGGGATCATCGAGCTCATTACTGCAAGTAGAGAACGGTCTCTCCGTACCTATTCCCGCCAGCGTCGTTTCCATGGGCGCAGTCGTCATGGACTCTTCGGTTGCCCCTGGGTCGGCGCCATGGTATTCGGACCTGCGACGTTCTCAGTGACTGGCGTTTGCTCCGCAGATGCACTGGGCTCGTACCTTCGAATAAGATCCTCCTTATCCTCGCCCTTGTGCATGCGATCGATGTGCTGCTTGAAGTTGTCCAGCCGAGGCCAGATCTTGCCCTTCTTCTTGCAACTCTCGGACGCGCACAGGTAGGAGTTGGTGAAGGCTCCGATTCCATGGACACTCTTCTTGTGTCTGTTCAGATCGTTGACTGTCGTGAAACCTTTCCCTCCTCGAGGACACGCGGGGACATCGCATTTGAAAGGCTTCCTATGGCGCAACATATGCTTTCTGGGACTCGCCTCGTCAACCAATGTCACCGTAGAAAACGGAGCCATGTGCACCTACTTGTGGTCGGACCTGCACTTCGATATCTCTGAACATTCGGGACACGGAATTTCCTTTCCATGGCCGGCACTGCGTGTAGTACGTGTAGTACTGTGGCCGCTATACTGGGACGCCTGATCCACGGATACTGACAGTGTCGGAATCTCGCCGGGGTCGCTGGCGACAGAGTCCACATACAAGCCACCGATTTGCGGCGTCACTTCGGGAGGGATGTCTTGCTCAGGGAAATCACCATCATGGCTCACAACCGACTGATGCGAGGGAAACGTCTGGTATCCCGAGTCCGACCTGGGGGCTGAATGGTCAATGTCATATCCAGGAGAGTTGCGATAAGTGACAAAATCCGCCCGCATCTGAGGATAGGGGGAAGCGCCGCCAGAGACATTGTGGCTCCTCATCATCTCGGGACTCCATGGCGAATCCGAGTTATAGAAGCGTGTGATGGGATTTGCATTGTCGAGAGCGGAACGGGTCTGACCGCCATGTGGCACTGCGAGGAAGCCCAGGTTAGAGAGACGGTTGTCTGTGCCTTCACGACGCTGGACCAGCTGTGATTGAGTGAAAGTCGCAAAGCTGTGCGAAAGCCGAGGGTCCGGAGCACTCCTGGCAGTCGCGACGGATAGTGATGGGCTTGGGGCCGCATCGTAGCCCATCTGTGCTCCTTGGGAGTCCCATTGAGAGAAGGCTGAGTTGGTAAAGGATTGTAGGTCCTCGGATTCGTAGAACTGTTCGAGTGTTACTTTGCGGGATATCACGGAGGGGTTTGATCAGATACTCACCGGCTCTTGAAAGCTAAAGGAGGGGTAGAGGTGGTTGTTGTTGGGCTGCGTCATGTCTCAACCTGAGTGGGTTCCAAGGTTCAGCTCGTGGTGGAAGTGCAAAACGGCCACATTAGTATGCAGTCTCTCGTAGGCTCTGCAATCCGTCAAACGGTGGAGCGGAAGCCAGCCTATCTTGCAAGAGCCGCGTGCAACGTGCAACGACAGCACACATGAGGTGGGACGCCTGTCGCTGTGTGTCCTTGACCCTGTCCTTGTCCTTGTCCTTCGGTGAGCGGTGTAAGATGCGGGGAGGGAGGGGTCTCACAAGGCTGGCTGCTGCGTCCAAAAGTACCCGACCGACGAATTGCTCTTTGGCGTATTAGTAAAAGGTCATCGAATCCGATTCAAGCAAATCCAGAGCAGAGCCGACACACATCGAATCGTGTGCTTCAAAGTCTGCGTCTCGTCGTCGGCGCAGGCGCAGTAACAGTGGTAGGCGGAGTAGGAGCAATGACTTTTGACATTTCCTCTCTCTCGGTGTGCACGCTGAGAAAGCATCTGCAGGGAACGCAATCATCTCAACCCAGCAGCAAGGCAACCCTTTCGCCTCACTGCTGCCTGGTTGTGCTGGTGTGGTGTCTCGCCAAGATAGTACCCCCTTGAGAGGGCACCAATCTATGGTCCAACCACTCACACTCCCAGAGCGACAGAAGAGACGAACGTGGTGGCTGTGTCCGCCGCGCGTGAAGCCCATGTGCTGCGACGCACGAGGCACCCAATCAATGGATGGAACGTGAGAGTCGAGTCTCGGCACGTCAGCGTCCTCTCTCCACGTCAGATTCCTTTACTATATGGTATTTGGAATTCGCAGAGGTTGGTAAAGAGACAAGTCGACGCCAAATGCGTATACCAACTCTTTCTCGTTCCAGACACATGCAACCCGTGCGACTCCGGACACCCTGTTGTAACCGCGTGCTAGGCTCTGCTCCACCCACTTCCACATTCGGTCCTGGTGCCGCTTCGTGCTGCTAAATCATTGTGCCTTGGTGGAAGATATCGATAATCTTCTTGAAGTAAACGAATGGTACATATGATATAATATATGCCGATAATATGCACCCCATATAGCCAAACTCCATGTTGCCCTCATCCAAACTCCACCAGGCCCCGAGCCATGGCCGACCAAACAAGGAAACGACAGAATGGCGCACTTCCTCTCTATACAGACAATGACAAACTCCAACGTTGCGCATGGGGATATCGAGCTTAGAAACCGGAAACGAGTGGAAGAGAAAAGAAAAAGAAAGCAAACATCGCATCGTCATCGTCATCGTGACCGGTCCACATCATCCCTGGTACTGGTAATTGTGTTGCCCTGCGGTCATGTACGACATTCCCTCGTACATGGAGGCATCGTACGTCACGCCGTTGACCGTGTCCATTCCCATGTCTGACTGCATCGCTCCGTTGGTGGGGATCATCGATTGCGGCTCCTGAGTAAAGTACATTGCGCCCATCGTATCAGTCGAAAAGGCTTTGCCGTCCATAGGCGAGGAACTGTATGCAGCCTGCTGTGGTTGACCCATGCTTGCGATCGGAGCCATATTGTAGGTATTCGCTCCATTCTGCGTACCATCATTGACGAAATGCTGGTTGGCCACCGGGGATTGCCCATTTAGATAGCCACCCGTCGGTTTGGGTGGTACTTGTAGGCCAGGGTATGTCTGCCCCGTATACATTGGGCTGGCCTCCATGCCGTAGTTGCTATAGCCCACCTTCTGCGCAGGCTGCTCGTTCTTGACACTCATAAACTGTGGTGGCGGGTACGTGTGCATCACGGCCGATGCTGATGCAGACGAGGACGTGTTTATTGGAATCTGGCCGAATGACGGGTCGATGCCCGGCGCGAGCGTCGAATTGGTCTTGGGGTTGTATCGCGACGGATTGTCGACCGGAGATTTGCTGGGCGTCCCTGCAAGCTTGCGCGACTCTGGCAGCTCGATGACCGGGCTGATGATGGTGTCGGCATTGATCTGCTTCTGCTCCACAAGCGGGAGAATAGGCATGCTGATCTGTTCCATGTGTTTTGCAAGGTGTACAGTCAGCTTCTTCCAGCTGTTGCAAATGTTGCCACAGAATCGACATGGCTCGTCCTTTGGCTGCTTCGCCGTGTCGCGACGGCATCTCTCGACCAGCGTCCAAATGTCTTCTAGAATCACTTCTTAGCAAGTTGTTTCCCTATCATTCGGTGCAACGTACCTGTTTCTATGCCGGATTGCGCTTCTCTCGCCGCTGTCCGACCAGTGCGAGCTCGAGGTTCTGCAATCTTGTGCTCCCGAACCAGATGCTGAACAAAGTTGTCCTTCCGATAGCACGTGTGGTTGCAATCGGCGATTTGGCAAGTCCAATTCTCAAGTTGCCGGTGTCTCTCATTCTCGTGCCTTACCCAGTCCGCTTTCCGCTTGAACGACTTGGGTTCGCCGCAGTTGGGGAACGTGCAGGTGAATGGTTGAACGTCCTCATGGACATGCTTTGTCCAATCCGACGGTTTGTAGAATTTCTTGACCTTGAAGCACAGTGGACACTCGAACTCGGCCGGGAGACGCTTCACCGGAGGAAGGGGGACGCCAGATGGAAACTGGGCAGAAACAACAGTTCCCTCCGGAGGCGCATCTCCATCGTCATCGGATGACCCCGGTGCTGTGATTTGGAAGCCGATAAAAGGTGCGTCCGAGTCTTTGTTACCTGCTCGCGGCGGCAGCTGCTTGGATGAGCCACCGAGCTCAGTACAGAAGGTGCCCGAAGCGCAGTTCCTGTTTTTGACAGCATTCAGATGCTTGACCTTGAACTCTAGAAGACGCTTATATCTCCTCATCTGCTCCTGTGTGATTCGTTCCACCATGTAGTCAACCAACCGCGGGTTGAGCTGGCGAGCATGCGTCTTGAACCCCTCGTAGGTAGGAATGATCGGGTCTGAGCGGACTGAAAGATCCATGGTGATTGCTTCGGCCGTCTCGTCTTCATCCTCATCCCCTCCTGGGCTGGGTTGAGGTGTTGCCTTCGTGGCTTCAGTCTCTGCTAGTGGAGAAGCCAGCATGGGCATTGGTGGGCCACCATGCTGGGTCATGAGTTCAGCGAGTCCGGGTGATTTGCCTAAATCACTCCTACTTCTGCTCCGTCTAATCACATTCTTGGCACCCTGATACCATGGCCCGCTCGTCGCCGACAGGTTAGAAGCACTGGGAGGGCCCAGGTCCTTTGTCTGGTTTGCAGCAGTGATATCTACTTTGGGAGACTTTGGACGTCCCCAACTCCCCATTCGCTTGGGTTTCTCCATAACCCCACCTTCCTTGGACTTGTCATTTCCGGCGTCAGAGGATTGTTGTTGCACAGGTATGCTCCCCTTGCGCTTCAAGAGGTTGCTAGGGGTACGCTTGGGGAGTATATTCTCTAGAAAGCTGGGTCGACGCTGTCTTTCCTTGTGCTTCTTCAGATCGGGTTGGATGACTTTGACCACGCCTGGGGCTGCCCTGACACTCCCCAAATCAGATTCACTCAGTCGACGCGAACCTAGAGTAGCAGCCAAGGACGCCGTCTCGACGTCTTTGGCTCTCAGCCGGAAGCGCATCATTGCAGCGTTGGATGTTTGCGGTTGATAACGAGTAGAGGTCGTGGGCGGCTGGGATGGTGGGTCTACCCAAGGTCGTACGATGGCCCCTAACAGCGATCCATGGTCGACTAAGGGTGGAAATGGTGTTGTGTCATTATGGCTCGCCTCGACATCGATCTCCGCAGGCGGCGACTCCGGCCGTACAGATCCGTCCTCGTCCTCGTCGTCCTCGTATTCGTCATACTCGCTCCTCTCATCGACGTACAGGCCAGGTCCAGGGATTCCAGAATCGTCGGGTCTGTCAAAGTCAGTGCGGACTCCGAGGCCTAGGTGCAGACCCTGCAGTCCATAAGGTTGGCGATGGGCATCATTGGTGCTCTTCGCTCGACGTCGCGGGGCAAAGGGTCGCAACAGGTTGCTCGAGGAGCCACCATCACCGGCTTCACTTGCGGCCTCACTCTTCGTAAGCCAGTCCTCGACCTCAAGTTTCTTCTCTTCCTGTTTCCTGCGTTGTGCAATCTCCTCGAGCGTCGGAACCAGCATGTCTCCCATGGCGTGGCGCTCATCCGGACTGAGACCGGCCGAACTGCTTCCTCCTTTAGGGAGCCAGGACCCGTCCTCGGCTCTATCCGGCCCCCTTACGACCCGTTGGATCCGCACTGGTTCCTGGTGCTCATCCTCATCGGAAGATGAGTCATCGACGGGAAAGGGGGAGAGGTGATTCGCAGAACGGCGGCTACCATGACTCCTTTTGCTGACCGGTCTGCTGATATCGGATCGAGTTGGGGACTCGCCTCTGCTATAATGCTCAACACGCACGATTGGGCTTGTAAGGTGTGGGGGCAAGGGCTGCGCATTCACGACACCGCTACCGGAGCTGTTCGTAAGCGCAGGGCTATGCTGCTGTTGCTTGCTTGGAGTAGAGTGCATTGTACTACTGGTTACAGTGGCAGGGGGCGTCGAAATTTGTTGTTTGTTCTGTGCAATATATTGTAATCCGATGCCGTTGGCCCTCTTTATGCCCTGTGTGATGACCGGACTGGAGTCGGTGGTCGGACAGGGCGAGATCAACTGTGACCCAGCCTGTACGTTGGCGGGTAAGGGTTGAGGGACTTGAGCGTTGTATGTGGCAAGGGCATCCGGGGTTATCGGTAAGGACATGCCAATGCTCGTCGGGAATGTGTCGAAGGCATTAGGAGTGATGTTTGGGTCGGCGAAGTTGAGGTTCGAAAAGGGCTCCTCGAGGTACTGGCCGGTGAAGTTCTGGTTGGTGTAGCAGGTGATGTCTTGATGGTTGGGATCGCTCAGATAGGCCGCCTCGGGGCTCAGATGGTCGATGGAATGCGAGGGGGAGATGCTCTGGCCTGATCGGCTATGTGTACCTGGCGAGAGAGAGTAGTTCTGATGCGCTTGCAGGAGATTGGGAGGAGGGTAGGAATGATTGAGGTACTCTGGGTGTAAGGAGGAGTCAAAAGAGGAGCCCGTGTTTGTGTTGGGAGTGAAGACGGAGTCCTGGGCGGTGCCGCTCGAGGGCGTCAGGCTGACCATGGAGGAGTAGTCTATCATTGCGGGTTCGGCAGAAAAGGTAAATGCACCCTGAGGGTCTGCAGGAAGGAGAAATGAGCCTGAGGAGGAGACGGGAAGGAAGGGCTGGGACGCATCATCGCCAGAGTGGCGCTGCTGGCGACTGTGGGGGTGGCCGTGAAGGGACGGCGGATGCATTTCGCCCGTCGACATGACGGTTTCGCCTTGGACCCGGCAGGTAGACTAGGCTGGCGGTGGAGCGAGATGGCGAGCCTGGAGGGCGGCGGCGAAGGATCGGGGCACAATCAATCCCAGACCAGGAAGCCAGAAAGCGCGGGACGAAGTCTGGCACCTCAGTACAGGTAACGTGACTTTGCGATGTCTCAGTCCCGGGACGCCATGGAAGCAGCCCTGAAGACGTTTGATGGGCTCGGAGGGGACGGGACGGAAGCGACGGAGCGGAGCGGAGAAGAGCTCGATGGCAGCCGTGAAGGGCACTTAGGAGCGGGTGAGAGGGTGAAGAGGTGGAAAGGGCCAGGGAAGTGGAACGGGAGGAAGCGTGCAGGTGGACGATGGATGATGGAGGAGCAGAGGTTCGCAGCGTGGGCGATGGGCGATCCGCCTCGCCTTGTGATGGCGGGACCGACAGGGGTGAGGGGGAAGAGAGCAGCCGCGGGCGGCGGTGCAGAGTTCCTTCGGGCTTGGACGGGAGATGATACCGTGTATGGGGCTGTTGTCGCCGTGAGCAGAGGGATGGGGGAGGGAGCGGTGATCTGGGAGGAAAGTCGGTGATGGCAGAAGGGCCAGCCCAGCCGCAGTGAGAAGCGAAGAGGTTGTTCTCGAGGCACCAGTCAAGGCAGACTTCCCTCGTTATTCGCTCTGGCCGAGCGGGCTCTCTAGCAGACCAAGCGACGGGGGTGGTGGAAGGGTTTGGAGAGAGGGACTCGGAGGGAGAGAAGCTCAGGGCTGAGTTGCCAAGGCGGGGCGCGCGTGACTTGTGCAGAGGATAGAACAGTCGCCCGATGGAGAGGTCGAGGAGAGGAGAGGGTGCGGATAGGGGAGTACGCAGTATCAGATCGATACAGAAAGTGACGTCTGGAGGGTAGAGAGGGTGGAATGATGCGAGGGGCCGCGGCAGGATTGCCGTCAAGCAGCCGGAGCTTGGACTTTGGTGTGCCTTGAGCACGTTGAGGCAGATTCGCCCGCCCAGCACAGCCTCATCAACTCGCGGTGAATGTTCCCCCGGCGGGCCCGCGGGTGGCTAATAAGCCCGCTTCCCAGAGTATTTCTAGCATCTCTCCCGTATCATAACTTTTAAGAAGCCAATGCCCCGGTTGGTAGAATGCTGCCATCAGCGTTTTATTATTATTCTCGGTATTCCCCGAGCCAGAATTCATCATCTGCTGATTATGTTCTCCTGCATTGATGAGAAAGAATCGTGAGAAGATGCAAGCGGGCGCTTAAACAGTAGGAGTAGCAAGCGCCCGTTATTGTTACTATGAAAAGACGGCCAAGCCATCTGGGTCCATCGCCGCTCTACTGTACCGTTATGCTGCAACCGTTTGCTGCCTTGTATACTCCGTACTCCGCATCTAGATACCGTGTATCTCGAAAGACGAATTTCGAGTGTGCTAGATAATCTTCTTTGTTCACGTCTCAGGAGTGGTACCGGAACCGCCGAGTCTTCCACCAGGATTATTAATTATTAGCCGGCTTCATTCCGCTTCAAGCTTGCGAATTTCTGAATAACGTACAAGGAGATTTGGAGGAAATCGACCAAAGTCGCCCTCGTGCTGGCATGCTTCATCGGGCCCCCTTTCTGGAGGCGCGCTGACTGCGATATGCATTCCCGGTGTCCTGTCAGATGTATTCTGGTATGAACAGCTGACTACGGAGGAGGAAAACGGTGTGGCTCTTCTAAGCAGCGGAGACCGTCGTGGTTGGAATGACAACCAATAGCAGGGACGGACGAGCATAATCCGGAGAGTCCCATATAGGCCTCCTGACTACATCGCCGTCGTTGCAGTTTCGCCACTGTGCTATCCATCGTGTGGGCGCTCTACGGACCTCTGTCTAGGCCATTTCTCTTCGTCCGAACGGATCAAACCGAAGCTGGAACCCCCAACGCTGCAGAAGCAGAGCGAATGCTGTCGAGCAGTCGTTGCCATGGCTCCCTGGTTGCATCTTCTAAACACTCGAACCTTACTGTTAGTCTGCGGCGAGGACCGACGTCACTGCAGGTACCCGTTCGCGCGGCGTCCGCTAGCTTGATACTGTAAGTCTGCATTTCGACGTCGTGCTGCCGCTAATCCAGGATATACCAGCAGAGAGCAAGCGGAAATGAGTCGGGAACGTTTATGGGCAGAGGGATCTGGCACCCAGAATCGACGCAGTTTTGCAACCTGAATATCAATATGCGGCCCACTCACTGTCTTCAATGGCTGAGCTGGTGAGACACGAGCCTGGCGATGCACGTCTCAGAAACATATCCGAGGTCATCGTCGGACTGCGAGCCATCTGAGGCACCCATGCTTCTCTGACTGCCGCTGTCACGCCGACTTGTGTGTCCATGTCTCGAAAGAGCCGAACCTTATCGGGTTGTGTGCTGGCTCTGCGACAGCCAGATATTCGACACAGAGCTACTGTGGATAGGCTAGGTACAGTATCACCTCCATCTACCCCTATCGTTCGTCTACCTCGTCTGCACACGTAGTCCCTTCCGACTTAGATGGAGTCCTCCCCACAGCCTCTCAAATCGTGCTCTATGCGAAAAGGAGGAGGTATATCTGCTTCCCATCACATAGTGGTGTTGTACGGAGTAGCTTATGCAGTGTCCGGCCAGATAGATACTCCTACGCAGGAGCTGAGCACGGCAAGAGGGTCTAAGGAAAGCCCCAAGACGGCTATCTGCCAGGCGCTGTAGTAAGACGTGTCAATGTTACCAGCGAAACATGCAGAACTTATCTACAAGTTCATACCTACCCAAGAGAGCCGTGAAGAACTGACAAGACCGGAGCTACGTTTTTCCGAGTGGGATGGGGACTGGCATGCATCCAATGGCCCGGGGATCGCGACCCGACGACGCGTGACGAGCCATCGGGGAAAAGGAAACTAGGCCAACCCCAACTTCCACCCCATCTGAGCTATCCGCACCACCGGCTGCCGTACGTCGGGTCGCCATGGCTGGCCCATCCAATACAAGACCGTCCCCTCAACTACTTCCCTTTCTCCTCCACCGCCATCATCCCGCTGCTGGTCGCTGAAGTGTTCGTATCTCTAGCTCGCTGAGCCGACTTGCTGGCACTGTTGAGGCAGACCTTCTGCTGAGATCCTCTACCTCTCAACTTCTATGTCGCTTCCGCACGCCTCACGCATATAGATTCCAGCATAATCCGCCGGTATTCTAATAATCCCGGACAGCTTCTAGTTCCCGCATTATTCATCCTCCGCCTTATCGAAAATTGGCAGCATCAGCCTCGCGCTTCTCGCATCTATCGAGCACATCCACCGCTCCGTTCCTGTCCCGAACCTACCTTCCATCCTTCACCATGCCCACCGCCTTGTACGCTCCACCGAAGGACATCCCACAACCAAATCCAAGGCAGCTGCTGCCACCAGTCCTGGAGCAGCTCTCCGTCCTTGGAACGGCCAAGGGATGTCCGCCTCCTACATTCATGGAACTCTGTTGCATAGACCTGCGCCAACGGTTACAGTGGCTATCTAAGGACACTGAGTCGTGGCTCCCACTGCTGTGTCACGACGACAGGATCGGGTCGAAGCTCCCAGACCTGGTCAACAGCCTCAACCTCTGCCCCCACCCCGCATCAGGCGAAATCGAACTCCCGGATACGGATCTGACAGTGTACAAGAGGTCGGACTGCGAGACGTTGCATGCTAGGTTCTTCCTTAACACGCTTGGGCTCATAGTCGCATATCTCTGGGACAACCAGGAAGCGGCCTGGAAGTTTGCCGAGCTCCGGCCCATCGAGGACGAGAACGACAGCTTCATGTGGTTCCGCACCATAGACGAGGCAGACGAGAAGCTCCTGAAGGCGCGAGCTACCGCTCACGGGTACAATGGCTACTCCACCCCACCACCGGCTGATACCGTATCCCAATCGTCACCAGTGTCGCCGCCCGTGCCAGAGCTCACCCACGCATCGTCCGATAAGAACAGCGACGATGATGAGGATGCGTATTGGGCCCAGTATAACTTCGCGGGAGAGGAGGAGGCCCCTCGGCATAGTATCCAGGAGAAGAACGATACCGACGACGAGGACGCTTACTGGAGTCGCTACGACGCAACTCCAACGGGAGATATCCCGGCGCATAGGAGGAACATACCCAGCGACCAGGCGCCAGCCACCGAGAAAGATTACTTCAAGAGCTACGACGGGGAGTTTTCACCCATGCTCGTCGGCAACCGCGCTCTGAAAACCCCTACCAGCGGCACTCTGCTCCGCGGCCCCGGTATTGTGAACGAGAACATCGGGCCAACGGAACCGGAACGTCGCTCCTCGAACGGGACGAACGACCCAAATGCTGCCAACAGTTTCAACGGCTTAGGCATCACCGACGCCCTAAGCCGCCTCATCAACGCCTCCAACACCACTACCACCACGACCACTGACCTGCCTCCCACCCCTCCGTCCCCTTGCCCGCCCCTCTCTCACCCTCGGGCCTCGTCCCCCTCCAAATCGCCTTCCATCCCAGACCTCGAGCGCTCCGCCGAACGCGCCAGCGAAGCGGAGCTGCGGTTCCAGAACTACGAGCGAGTTGCGCAGAAGGCCGTCGAGGTGCATATTGGGACGCAGATCAAGAGTATGCGGCGGTTGGCCAAGGAGATGGGCATGGGGCTGGCCGAGTTCAGGAGGGTTGTGGAGGCGAATTTGGAGGGGTTGGGCATGGAGGAGGAGGAGGGGGAGGAGTGATGCTGCCTGTAGTAAATTTTGGGGCATTGAGAGGGCGGGAGTGGTGAGGGTGTATGGGAGTCGAGATTGGTGAGATGAACGATGTTGTTTGGATGGTGATGAGAAGTTTCCTGTTTGCATATGCATTGTTGGCGTCTGTTGGATAACACTGTTGGTTGCGTTTCGTCCTTCATGCATATTGCTTTCCCAATGTTCATTTTATTGCCAGCCTTTTCATGTCCGATTGGAAATTGACCATCAACGCATGCACGGCTTCGGCGATTCGATTCATTTCCGTAGCAAGGAATTATCCCTCTTGATCAGATACTTTGTTCGATGCAAATGAGAACACATGACTGATCAGCAAAGCATACCATTCAGATGCCGTGATGTCCCTTCCACTCATGATACATCCTGAAGTGTAGACCTTTCTTTCCCGTAGAAAGCGAAGCCATCCTTCTCCCTCCGCTCTCCACTCGAGCTCACGCCTCCATTCCCATCCCATCCGAATCGCATCTCGAGCATATCCCAAAACACCTACTTCCTCCTCCTCCCCTGGCCCCCTTGCCCCACTGCCGCCGCACCACTACTCCCCGAAGCCTTCGTCCTCTGGTTCGCCCGCGCACTCCTCTTCAACTGCTCCAAAATCTCCACCGCATTGCTCGCACTCACATTGAAAGCGCCTCCTCCTTGTGCTGGTGTCTCGCTCCCGCGACCGATTTCCTCGACGACGTTGGACGGGTCCGCGGCGCCGATGACGGGGATGGAGCTGGCGAGGAATTGCTGGAAGGGTTTGGGGGCGAAGGAACCTTCGGAGGTGAAGATGGTGGTGAAGGGGAGGTGGAGGGTGAGGGTTTGCGGGGTCGCAGAGGAGGAGGAGGAGGGGGTGAAGGTTGCGGTTAGGTGGTAGATGGGGGTGTGCTTTTTGGTCGAGGTGCGGATTGCGATCTATGTTTGAGTTAGCAAGATATCTTCCTCGTCCTCGATCTCGTCTTCGTCTTCGCCCTCGTAGGAGGGCAGGTTTGAACGACACGAAAAAGGAAGGGAAATGGACGTACCCTCCCCGTCTTCCCCACCCCCTCGTACACAAGCCCACTCTCGACCCACCACACCCAATACGTAAACACGCCATTCAGGACAAAATACGCGACCACTGCGGGAGCCGTCCAGGGCTTCGTCACGGCCCAGCCGAATTTCCAGTCAAAGTAGAAGAGGGCGGCGCTGATGAGGACGGCCGAGTAGCCCAGGGCGAGGCGGACGTCGGTCTTGGTGTGGATTTGGCGGAACTTGAGGTTGTGCAGGTGGAGGGGGATGAAGTCGTCTGTGGTGTTTTTGAGGTCTGAGGGGGAGTGTTAGTAGGTGAGTGGTGAGGAGGGATTGGGAGGGTGGGAGGGGAGGGGATACCGGAGAGGGAGTGGACGGCGATTTTGGTTGATGGTGCCGCCATGGTTGTGGATTGGTGTAGTTTTGTGAGGGATGGAGAGGTGTGGTAGCTTTCGCTGGTGATAGTCGTGAAGCTGAAGCTTAGCGTGATGGTTGGACACCTTTCCTCAATCGCCGGCTTGTGGACCCCTGTCGGTGTCGGAGGTGCGTGCGGCGGTGGACGCTAGGCTGGAGCTTTCATCATCAACACCACGGAAGGCTATTCTCGACTTCTCCTCTTCCCACCTTTACTGTTCTCGTTGTTAGCTGTCGTCCAGGGACGATTGGAGAGACAGGATGGCACAGCCTGTGGTGCAGACGATTCATCGGGATCCCGCCTTGTTGTAAGTCTGCCCCTCTTGACGGCGTGTAGCTACTCGTTTGGCATTGCGAATGATGAGATGGGATTGTTGTGGAGCTGCTCTACAACGATTACACTATCTAAGCCAATCCTGTCTCTCATCAAAGTTGTTCTACAGTTGCTAACGAAACCACAGCTGGTGGATCCTCCTCCCCATCACCGTCGTCATGGTATTCCACCAAACCCCCCTCCAGCCGACTTCTCTCACCAAACCCCTAGATCCTCACCGGAATCCTCCGCCACTACGCCATGACGCTCCTCCAAACGACGCCCAAGAAGCAACCGCTCCCCATCCTGCGCCAGCAGCGCTCGCTCCTGCGCGGCATCTCGCTGCGGCAAAACGCCTCGGTGCTATCCCCTTCGTCCTTCCAGTCGCGCAAAGCCTACCTCGTGGACGCGTACAAGGAGGGCAAGTTTCTGGCGGATCCCGAGGCGAGGGGGAAGCCGAGGCCGAATCCGATGAGCGATCCGGCGGCCATGGAGGGCATGATGGGCATGATGAAGGGGAATATGGCCATGATGGTGCCGCAGACTTTGATCATGGGGTGGATTAATGCGTTTTTTTCGGGGTTTGTGATCAGTAAGTTTGGATTTTCATTCATTTCTCGTTCAAGTCAATGGGTTTTCATTTTTAGTTTTGCTGTTTGTGGTTTCAGTATTGGGAGTGGCCTTGGCTATGTTGGACCGTCACGGTGCTTCTCAGTCACGACGACTTTCCCAGTCGCATGATTTTTCGCGCATGGCTTCTTTCATCAAAAGAAGGCTATTTCGAGGATCTGCGGAGATGGGATATGGCCACCGCTGGGACATGATCGGTGTGCCGTCCCTCGCATGATATCACTCGGCAACCGCCTTGGGGCTTCAAGATGGCGCTTTCTGGGCTCGCGCCCCGCTCAGCTCCGCGGAGGGTGTGCTCAGATGTCGACTTGAAAGAATCTCCTTCCAGTCGTACGACCTCTAGTTGGTGGACAGGCGTTTGCTTTACCTGGCGCATCCCTTTTACCTTTCAAGTTCGGCGATTTCCGTGTTTGCTAACGAGATTGTCCACAGTGAAGCTTCCGTTCCCCCTCACACCGCAGTTCAAGTCGATGCTCCAGTCTGGGGTAGGGACGCGGGACTTGGACGTGCGCTGGGTGTCGTCCCTATCCTGGTATTTCCTCACGCTCTTTGGGCTGCAGCCCGTGTACAATTTCATCCTGGGTAGCAACAACGGTAAGCCAGTCCCAGGGCGAGAATATATCAGTATCCCTATCTGGGTTGAGCTGACGGCCGTCTCCAGCGGCGAACCAGGTTGCACAGCAGATGGGCCAGATGAACCCCGGCGCAGGCTTCATGGGACCAGAGCAGGATCCCGATAAGCTGTTCCTAAACGAAGCCGAGAATCTCGAGGTGCTCCAGCATTGGTCGGTGTTGGATGGGGTGGAGGAGCGACTGGTGGCGAAGATGGCTTCGTAGTGGTGGCTACGTCTGGATGTCTCAGGAAGGGTGCATGCAGGTATGCCCAGGAATGATTGTATCTATCGCATGCAGGAGGGCATGCCTGGGGAAGAGAAGAGAATGAGGCGTTTGACGCAGCCAGGGCGCTAGACTATCGTGCCGCTCAGCGTCGACGACCGGCGACGGCCAGCAGATATCCAAAATCTATGACCACCACTTGCCGTCCCGACACGGCGGTTACGGCATCGAGGCGAGGGCTGACGAGGGCGGGCGAGTCCGGGAATTGAATCCATCAGCTCGGCCGTCCCCCGCGATATGTACGTATTCATTAAGCTTCCGCAGATGCAGGAGAGGTTGCCCGCCACAGCAGGGCGAGCAAACCTTCTTGTTACAAAAGGCGCCGAAGAGACATCATTATGGTCGAACCATCCGCGATTTTACGTGGAAAGTGCAACAATGATTATTTTTCCTGTTCGCGCGCTGAAAAGCAAGCCAGGCGCTTCAGGTGAGAGTGAGGGACCATGATGGATGCAGGGGCAGAGACGCCCCTCCTTCGTACTCCCCCGCTCCCAACAACTCCCTCTCACCACTTTCCTTGACCACTTCAACCCTGTACGACAGCGGGACGCACCGCCCCCATCTTCGGGATACTCTCTATTTCTTATTCTACCGTGCACTTGTCGCGCCGCCAAACGCCCCCACGATTCTCGGTCTGCCAGGAGTCGTCCCCGGAACTGAGAAGTCAGGCCGACTGGTCTGTCGTGACAATCTCACAGCAATTCACCATTGCACGTCGCTGGTCCTTCCCGCTTTGTACACAGTACGTAGGGCAGAAAGGCAACCGAGGGCACCGCCCGCCTCGTGGTGATATTGTGGGTGCTGGTGCCTGGACTCGGGGAACACGCCTTCAACAACACCACACACGGTCAGTTCCCTGGCAGGAAACCATCCTGCGCCTCATCTCGGTGAGCGCAACCATGCCTGAGGTCTACTCGACGCCAAGGGAGGAGCAAAGCACCCGTCTCCAATCGGGCGCACGCCATCATGCGCCAGCCCGTCTCCACGTCTCTTCGCTGCTGGGAACTTCCAATCCGCGCGTCCCCGTCGAGGTCCCTGGCAAGTGGCTCCTCAACCACCATGTCCCGCCGCCATCGTCCTTTAACATCCCGAACGGGAGCCCTCCGCTTCTGGTGCGGCCGAAACAGAAACAGACACACCGGCAGAGATAGGCCATAGCAACATGGCTTTATTATTCCTGCAACCCGAGATCTACGACTGTCCGGAGGATAGAGGGAGCCTTTCTGGTGCTGCTTGGTATCCCGTTCTAGCTCTAGGGCTCCGTACCCGTACAAGAGGACTTTCACCCACTTGGATTGGCAACTCCCCCCAGCACCGCACCATCGCTTCAGGGAGCAGCTCGAGGGTTGGCGAACCACTCTACCGGACGCGGCCCGAGTAGGAGGAGCGGGCTTAGTCGAGGCGGGGGGTCGGGCACGAGCTGCCAGTGATTTGCTGCCTCCATGTGTTCGGCTTTCGTTTCTTTTTCACGCATTTGAGGCGTCACCCTATAACCTTTCCTATTACGACCTGCAGGACGCCCACGTCAGTCATAAATGGTGGCTGGCCATGCGCCGGCTGAGTGCACTGTCCACCGGTGAATGCTCCAAATGCACCTCGCAGGGGCCGTCTCCTCTGAGATTGCTCCTTCACAACTCACCCCTCTGATTGGCTGAGGTCATGCGGCTCTGCTAATCCGTCAACATATATGGCAGTATACCAGCAGCTCCGGAAGACGGGATGGAATACCAGCGTCCGAGGGCAGTGCAAGTACTCACCATCTGTTTGCTTGCTTGTGTACCCTTGAGAAGCCTCACTGTAGTCCCTGCTTCGCCCCCTTTTGTCGTTCCAGTCAAGGTCACCTTAAAGACACTTGATTCCTCTGAACCCACTCGACGAATATATCCATCGTGACCTCCTCCGAGGAGAGCTGGTGCTCGATTTCGACGTATGTTCGTTTCACTTCTCCTCTCGTAGGTTTGGCTCATTCTTCAAAAGCTATTTGGATTCGAAATCACTTTTGGCACCGCGTCATTCTCGACAACCTTGGACCCATCACTGCAGGGGGCTTAGACCTGAGCCGTTCGCAGTATCCGGCATGGATCCTTTCCAGTATCCAGATATTCCGCAGATCCCCGCCTTCGAGGACGACCAGCACTTCTTCCTCTCGTCAGATGGGGATTTCGAGTTCTCACCTTACGCCAAGCGACCTGCCGTGTTTGGGTACTACAGAGACGGCTTCGAGCAAGGCATGGTGGACCCGGAGGTTGTGAACATGCAGCCGCTGCAGCGGTTCCTTCACGGCGGAGATCCCTCTCCTCTCCCTCCTGCGCTTGTACATACCGAACCTTCCCGAGACCTTCAACATCAATACTACGCCCCTTACGGACGGCCCTGGCCAACCTCGGAGTTCCCGCACTACTTCTCGCGAAGCGGCTCTCCGGAGGGCACCTCGACTTCAGGCACATCGAGCCAGGCCCAGCATAACGACGTCTCCTCTCCTGGGGCGGTCCACTCTGTCCCATATGGCACCATGGACGCCTTCACCCAACAAACACTCGCATGCCCTGGTGCCGAGTCCCTTAAAGGAGGCGTGTATTCATCCCAACTCCAGCTACCCGGTAACAGTGTCCATCCCAAGGATCTTGAGCTGCAGCACCATGATGAAGCTCACGCCCCTACGGAGGAGCTCGAGGCAATGGATGTACAATCCGACTACGACTATGAGGCAGAAACATCCTATCCAAACGCAGAGGCCGCACAAGTTGACACCATATCCGAATCCTTCAACAACAACCAACCTGATCCGGAGATGGGCCATTCCCTTCAAGTGGCTGAAGAAGTGCTGCCCATGACCCAGAGCGAAGAGTCCGACTCCGACTACAAGCCCACCACGAGGCACAGGAGAACACGGTCAACCTCCCATCGCACTCCCAGGAGACAAACCTTAGCACGCCACGGTCCACACTCCTCCACAACCACCTCCCCTTCCCAACCGCACTCACCATATCACAATCGCAGCCGCCGCCGCCCCTCCCAGCGCGACACAAAGTCCCCCACCTCACCAGCAGCCACCACCTCTGGAGCTCCAAAGGAGCGCCCATTCCCCTGCCCCCTTGCCCGTTACGGCTGCCCCTCCGACTTCCGCTCCAAAAACGAATGGAAGCGGCACGTCTCGACCCAACACATCAAACTCGGCTTCTGGCGCTGCGACCTGTGCGCCCCAACCGTCGACCCGCACGACGCGTCCACGACGTACCACAACGACTTCAACCGCAAGGACCTCTTCACCCAGCACCTCCGCCGCATGCACGCCGCGCCCCCGACGTGCGGCCCCGCCAAGAGGAAGGAATTCCCCGTCACGGAGGACAACATCAAGGATGTACAGGAGCGGTGCTATTTGCGGCTGAGGGACACGCCGCCGAGGAGTAATTGCCTTTTTTGCGATAAGAGTTTTGTAGGGCCCGCGAGTTGGGAGGAGCGGATGGAGCATGTGGGGAGGCATTTGGAGAAGGAGAGGGTTGGGGTCGAGGTTGGGGTGGGGGAGTGGAGGGAGGATAGGGGGTTGGAGGAGTGGTTGGTTAGGGAGGGGTTGATTGTTTGGGGGGAGGCTGGGTGGGGCATGGGGGGTGGGAGGCCTTTGAGGGGGGATGGGGAAGGGGAGGGGGTCTGAAAAAGGTGGCAGAGGTAGGGTGTTTGGGATGTGATTGGATATGATGTGCTATGATATGCTATGAACGGCAGGCTTGGGAATCAACGGTCATGGATATGGTTGGGACTCGGGTACGAAAAGGCAGGTTTGTGATGGGATTGGAATACGCGCACGCACGGATATCCCTTTTCTTTTCCTTTTCCATTTCTCCTGTTCGGAATCGGTGAATCTGATACCCCCTTTTGGCGTTGGTTTTGAATCTATTCGTTTTTCCTCTTTGTCGTCGGCGTTGATGTTTGACGCAAGCCAGTGGTTTCTGTTTCATGGGATGGTAAGAGGGATTTGGTGGATATGATGAGTTTACTTTGGAAAACGGGGTTTCACAAGTCTCGAGTCAAATCTCCCTCCATTCATGTGCATTTCGTAATGTAGAGGATGCTGGTTGCAGAACACAGCCACAGCCACAACTTCTGTTCTTGCACCCTGTTTATCATATGCAACCCACCATACGGAGTAAAGAAGCGGTACTGATTTAATTGTTGTATGCGCACAGCCACCACCTACATTAGACACATAACCCGGCTCCCGAGCAGTAGCCGAGACCGGTGCAAGCGGATTGCAGAGGGGGTCAGGCGGAGAAGAAATATATGAATCAGCTTGGTATGCTTCCGCGTGGTGTTTGGTCATCGGGGTGTGGATTTTGGGATCTGCAGCTCTGGAGATTTAAGGAGGGAATGCAGGTGGTGAATGTCCCTGCACGTGATATATCTTGGCGTCCAATGGTCTCAATATGTCGGCAAAACATTTCTCCGAGTGATGACACCTGTAGTTAGCTGTTCGGAGCTTCTGGGCAATGGGCCGCGTGTGCGAGTCGTCGAAGAACAGCAGCCCTCTCCCCGCCAACCCCTCGTCCTTCTTTGTTTTTCTCGACCATGGCTGCCACCGGGGGCGACCAATTGCTCAGGCAGGCCACGAGCCGGAATACTCGGGGCTTGCTGAGGGTGATTATCCTGGCGCTGATTGCGGCGGCCGCCGTGTCGAGTCGGTTGTTCTCCGTGATTAGGTTTGAGAGTATTATCCATGAGTGTATGTGTTCACAATTGTGAGGACTGGGGTGGGAATTGGAAGTAATGGGATTGGATTGGAGGCTTCATTGGGGCTTGAATCGAACATCTGAGCACTTGGCTGACTTTGGCAAACAGTCGATCCATGGTTCAACTTCCGCGCTACAAAGTACCTCGTGAACAATGGGTTTTACAGCTTCTGGGACTGGTTCGATGACCGTACGTCGTCCTTCTTTTCCTACGGAGATATCCCGTTTCCGACAAGCGGGACTGGAGACGCTTTACTGATATTTTGCGACAACAGGGACATGGCACCCCCTCGGACGTGTTACGGGCGGTACACTCTATCCGGGCCTCATGGTCACCAGCGGCGTCATCTACCACCTCCTCCGCTTCCTGACTCTCCCCGTCGATATCCGTAATATATGCGTGCTTCTTGCCCCTGGATTCTCCGGTCTCACCGCGCTCGCGACGTACCTCCTTACCGCTGAGATGGTCACCTCCCCGTCCGCCGGTCTGCTCGCTGCGGCCTTCATGGGTATTGCACCTGGGTACATCTCGCGCTCCGTAGCTGGTAGCTACGACAACGAAGCCATTGCCATTTTCTTGCTGGTCTTCACCTTCTTCCTCTGGATCAAGGCTGTCAAGAACGGCTCGGTGTTTTGGGGTGCACTGACGGCTCTGTTCTACGGATACATGGTGTCTGCTTGGGGTGGATACGTCTTCATCACAAATTTGCTGCCCCTGCATGCGTTCGTCCTGATTTGCATGGGGAGGTACAGCCCTAGGCTGTATGTCAGCTATACTTCATGGTATGCATTGGGTACGCTGGCGAGTATGCAGATTCCCTTTGTGGGATTCTTGCCAATCAGGAGTAGCGAGCACATGTCGGCACTGGGTAAGTGGATCTGAGAAAATAGGTCGGAAATCCGGCTGACTGGAATAGGTGTCTTCGGTCTCCTTCAGCTCGTCGCATTTACCGATTATGTGCGGACCCAGCTCCCAAGCAAGCAGTTCCAGACGCTGCTCCGCGCCCTTGTCCTCATCATCTTCGTCGTCGCTCTCGGAGGGTTGGTTCTTCTCACCGTCACCGGCGTCATTGCCCCCTGGACTGGACGTTTCTACTCACTTTGGGATACCGGCTATGCCAAGATTCATATCCCCATCATTGCGTCCGTTTCCGAGCATCAACCTACCGCATGGCCGGCCTTCTTCTTCGATCTGAACATGCTGATCTGGCTCTTCCCGGCTGGCGTCTACATGTGCTTCAAGAAGTTGACGGATGAGCAAGTGTTCGTTGTCATCTATGCTGTCCTCGCCAGCTACTTCGCCGGCGTCATGGTGCGTCTCATGCTCACGTTGACCCCTATCGTCTGTGTGGCGTCAGCAATGGCCTTCTCCCAGATCCTGGATACCTATCTGGACGCTAGGTCCCCTAAGGTTGCGGCTAAGGAGGAGGGAAAATCGGACTCTGCAAAACTTGCAGCGGCGGCGGTTCTTCCGGAGGGATTGCGGTCTACGCGCAGCCCAGTCGTCGGTGTCTACGCGTACATTTCGAAGTTGACGGTTGTGGGTGCATCCTTGGTGTACCTGTTGCTGTTTGTGCTTCACTGCACATGGGTCACGTCCAACGCCTACTCATCCCCCTCCGTCGTCCTTGCGTCCAGGCTCCCGGATGGTAGCCAGCACATCATCGATGACTACCGCGAGGCGTACTACTGGCTCAGGCAAAACACGCCCGATGATGCCAAGATCATGTCTTGGTGGGACTATGGCTACCAGATTGGTGGCATGGCCGACCGTCCCACACTCGTGGACAACAACACGTGGAACAACACGCACATTGCCACGGTTGGAAAGGCCATGAGCTCAAAGGAGGAGGTCAGCTATCCTATTATGCGTCAACACGAGGTCGACTATGTCTTGGTCGTGTTTGGTGGTCTTCTCGGCTACTCCGGTGACGACATCAACAAGTTCCTCTGGATGGTCCGTATCGCGGAGGGCATCTGGCCTGACGAGGTCAAGGAGCGCGACTTCTTTACTGCGCGGGGCGAGTACCGCGTTGATGACGAGGCGACCAAGACGATGAAGGACAGCTTGATGTGAGTGGAACATTCTTGTATTCTTTTACGAACCCCACCTTGATACTAAACCTCTCCCCAGGTACAAGATGTCCTACTACAACTACAACTCGCTCTTCCCCGCGGGCCAGGCCCAAGACCGAGTTCGTGGTGCGCGACTCCCCGCCCAGGGACCGGAGCTCAGCACCATTGAGGAGGCCTTCACCAGCGAGAACTGGATCATCCGGATCTATAAGGTCAAGGACCTGGATAACTTTGGGAGAGATCATCAGAGCGCGACGGCGTTTGAGAAGGGGCATAAGAAGAAGCGGGCGGCGAGAAGGAAGGGCCCGAGGGTGCTAAGGGTGGAGTAGGGATTGTTTGCGGCATTAGCGAGTGCTTTGAACATGGCCTAATAAGGGTCTTCTGGTCTGTAACATCAGGGATGTGCGGCGTTTGGGAGGGACAACCTGGACATAAGACAAGGGGAAGCAAAATATATACAGATTTACTTAAACCCAAGGGAGGGGGTGAGAGTGCGTCGTTTGAGAGGTGTGAGTAGCGTGTGTGCATGCGGATAGGTTTCGGAGGTGAGTGAGCATCGGCTTTCTCACAAGAGGTAGGGAAAGTAAGTGTCCCTCAGCAAACGCTCATATGTCTTCACGGTGGGGTTGAGTCTTGCCTGAGATTGGCCTTCTCGCTCTCCGCTCTTTCCCTTCTCACCTTTCTCTCTCTTCACCCCCCACCAAACGCTCTCCTTGCAAGATTCCTCAAGCAGTTCTCCAACCAGAAAATCCGAGGCGCCCTCTCACGCCCTTGTACTGTACATTCCCACTTTGCTACTCCGTCGCCGGGGTGTGCACCTGGCGCGCGCCCCGAGGCGAAAGCGGTGTAGTTGTCAGTCTTCCACCGCGCCTCCCTTCCAACACGAAACTGTCGTCACGACCGTCCTCTGCTCAATACGCCGTCTCACTCCCGAGCCTTTGTTTCACCTACGACACCGAGTGGCCTGGTCTTTATCGATTTCCTTCAACATATCGGAGCACGGCTGCACACTGATCACATTCTGTCGTTCCTTACTTCTCCACTTACTACCATCCACACCCCCCAGAGAGCGCTTGGAGCACTTCCCCGCTCCCACCTCGCCAGCGCCTACTTCCCTTGCGTACGACATTCGGCAATGGCGAATAACGACGAGGTCGCTCGTGCGTATGCCGAGTTCCTGGGCGGGAGTGCGCCGGCGCCTGCTCGTCCGCCTGATAATGCTAGTGCTCCCGGTACTGCGGGCGCTGTTGCTTCGCCGTACGGATTTGGATATGGGTATCCCGGGTATGGGTATGGGTATGGGTGGCCCAATTACTATTACCCCGTGTAAGTGCTCGGGCTTTCGTTGCCTCGGACTGTGAATCATGACTAACAGAGCGTAGATGTTTGTACCTCCAGTCAATATTTCGCTGCATGACGCCTCTTGGGAAACTAACACAGCTCAGGCTGCCCCAGGTGCTCCAGGTACAGCCGCCGCTGCAGTACCGCCAGCTGCTCAGAGCACCGCCCTCGTCCCAGTCCTCCCGGTCGCTCCCACACCTCATTCAACAGCCCCCTCGGCAACCCCTACAGCTCCCGTATTCTACACTTTTCCACTGCAGCCGGTGCCAGAGGCTGCAGGAGGGGCTTCGACGGCAACCGTTGTAGAGAAGTCAGGACTACCGATTTACACAAACGGATGGCAATACGTCGAGCCACCCTCACAGACGACAGCGATGGTGCCATCAGCCAAAATACCGGATCCACCACCTGCAAGACCGCCCTGGCCTAGGGTACCGGATCCGCCGCCTGCAAGGCCTCCGTTTCCTCCGCCGCCGGGGATGTCTTCGAGAGCGACCCTTGGATCTGAGTCTTCGAGGTCACTGTCTGGAAATGTTTTCCACGAACGTGAGCGGGAACATTGGAAATCTTATGAGTATGAGTATCCGCCGCCAGAACGTCGATATCGCGCTTCCTCTCCCCCTCCACCTCCGCCAGGACCGCCGGCCCCAGGCTCTACACCAGTCTTGCTGTGTCATACATGCAGTATCTGCGGACAGATGCGATCTGCAGCCTTCCATCGGTCGCATCCTGTGGTTCCTGGGAAACCGGTCATCGAGGGTGTATGTCGGCGGTGCAAGAAGAAAGGGTACAGCACTAGCGCCAGCTACAGTAGGAGGCATGAAGACGAGAGCTTGACAAAAGTTACCCGTATCCGGCGCTGCATTGCGGATGAGCCTTGCGATTGGCCTGACAGAGATGAAGACGACGGCTATTATCGGACTGAGAGGGAGAGATCCAAGTACACGGCTTACGAGACCGAGGAGGCGTTCGTGGATGAGGGGAGAGGGCGGCCGAGAGTACGCACAGAGGTGCAGAGTCGGCATAACGTGGGTTTAGGTATTCTTCCCCAGGTGGTGAAGGATGTCAAACGTGTGATGCGCGTTGCTTCGGAGAGTCCGCCGCGGAGGATTTACACTCTGAGGGAACGGGGTAGGCGGAGGGAAAGGTCCGTGGCTTCTCCCTCCTTTGATCCACCGCGACGGTTCATGGAACCTGTGAATGCCCATCGAGTGGAAGAGGAACAGCCGCCGCGGCCGCCGATGAGGAGGAGAGCGAGGAGCATCTCACCAGTCCCTTACAGAGGGAGGGAAGAGCACTATGAACGCGAAGCAGCAGTCGATCGGGTGGCTTCACACCGTGAGGTTTACCGTTCAATGAGTCCACCCTCGCCGCCAGTGGTGTCCCGCCGTGCGCGATCACCCTCGAGAGGAATTCTCAAGACAACAGATCTGGACCGCGAGACTAGCTACCGCCGACGCATGAGCGTGCCTACTGATGGCGGAATCGAGAGCACCACGGTCGAGATTGGGGGCCCTAAAGTCACGTTGGTGCATCGGTCTATCCGCCCAACAACCCGTGTCACAGAGGTACCAGAGACAGGTCATGGTGATGAGAATAGCGAGCGTGGGTTCAAGTATCGCTCGAGGCATCGGGATGGCGGTGACTATTACTCGAGGGCAGATTACTTCGAGGAGCGCCATAATCATCGCCGCGGTGTCGCACCTCCGCAAGGAAGGCCATATCTGGAAGAACCACTTTCTCCGTTGCCGCCGCCCGGCCGCCTCGTTTCCCCTTCGCCACCAGCAAGAGAGTTTGAGAGACTGAGCGTCCGATATGTATCTCCTCGTGGGCGCTCTCGATCCCGGTCTAGTGAGCCTCATAGATTTCCCCTCGATTACAGGCACATTAGCGCGAGTCCTCGGATGGACTCTGCTCCCCCTCTGCCACCGCCCACTGCCCCGATGCCAGAAGAGAGGGGACAAGATGGAACGAGAGGGAGAGGCAAGGAGCGTGAATCTGACAGAGAGAGACTACACATGACCTACCGCCGCAGCGAGTCCAACACCCGAAGAGGGCGCTCACGTCCTCCAGCTCCACTCTCATCCGTCGACTCAGAGGAAGACATGGACATGGATCGCGTTAGGACTGGGTATCGAACTGTTCGTGTTCGGACGCTGTCTCCGCCGCTTTTGCCCAGAGCGCGGCCCCGTCGCAACATATCTCCCCAAGAGTTTTCTCCAGCCGGCGCGCCGGGGCCCTCTGGTGGAGGGATGGCATTTGAGTCAAAGGGAGGGAGGGCATATGGAGATGGTTTGAAGGAGAAGGGGAGGAGGAGAGACTGGGAGGAAGTTACTGTGAGTGGGAGTGAGAGGGGCAGGGATAGTGGTAGGGACGAGGGAAGGAAAGAGGAGGTAGTGGAGGTGAGGACGTGGAGGGGACGGGATGAGGATGGGAAGCCTGTTACGTGGGTGGAGGAGAGGAGGGTGGTTTCTTAGTTGGAGGGGTAAGGTTGGGGTGGTTGGGGAGCGGGGTATGGGTGGGTGTGGTGGATGAAAAGGACTGGAGTTTTTGGGGTGGGACTAGGTGCACTGGAGGCTTTCTCTAGAAGAGGGGGTGTGCGGAGTGTGTTGATGGAGTTGTTCTCCTGCTTTCTCCTGGCCTGGACCTGGCTTCCCTGGCTCTGGGTCGGGCACTTCTACTTCCTTTCCTCTCATTCTGCGAAGGGGTGAGGCGAGGGGCGAGGGGTCATGTGTAATGGCGTTAGCTAGATTAGCCTTCAAGTCACCATTGCTGCTTGGAGATTCCCTCAAAGTCCTTGATCTTCTTGTTTGTGGCGGCTGTGATTTGAAAGAGAAGAAGAATATGGGTTATTAGACCTCTGGAAGATGATTCGGCCTGCGTCGGCGATTTGCTGTGGATAAAGTACAACGTGTTGGTTTGAGATTTGGTCCACTGGAGGAGAGTATTGGTTTTGCGGTCGTTTCCTGCTTCTGTGAACGAGGACTTGGGTTCCGGAGCTGACGATTCTTCATCGCCAGCTGTTTCCAGTGTAATCGACTTTCGGATTCCAATGTCTTGGGTGGCTTGTATTCGTTGCAATATGCATGGATCAGTCCAACAAATAGCTTCTGCGCGAATTAGGCACAGATGAATCGTTTAACTCGGTGCGTATATCCTCAAGGATCGTGAGCGAGAGCGCACGAAACTCCTCGTCTTCATCTACGATAGGAACTTTTCGAAATGTAACAATGATACGGACATAATCATGCCAACCGGATTTGTGTTTTGTAGGCACAATCAGCTGATACTTTTGGCATGTGATTGACAATTCTAGAGATAAAGGAGGATAAGGAGTGGTGTGGCTATTCACCAGAGCATAGAAGGAGGTATACATGGGTCCGCTAAGGGGTTAGGGCTTCATCCGATTCGTCACTGGCTATTGAAAACTAATTTTGGATTGGCTCAATCGAACATCAAGTACTGTAGCAGTTTCAGACAACGCTACCCTGGCTTCCTCCCGTCGCAAAATGAAACAAAACGATGGTCTAGGTCGGTGATGCCGAGAGCATCGCAGCCAGCGGAGGAACTTCCAAGTATTTTGGTCCTTCTGTGGACGAACTGAAATACAACGAACTCTATGTTGTTAAACAAGACCAAAACCGCAGCTGTTGAGCTAGCAATGACGTTCTGTTTACAGCTGCATACTGAAAGGCTGGCATAAATATATGGCACTGAATTCGATTGGTTGGGATGCGGTGCGGGAAGGTAGATCGCGCCGGAGCATGAGATCGAAAAGAGTACCCTAATGTGCTGCGAACATGTGCGACTGGGCCGCTTTTGTAGCAGCCGAGGAAAAGTTTTAGGTAAAGGTACCGCAGTTGTGGAGTTGCCTAAGTACGCGGCGAGGAAGTTCTGGATGGGCCGTGACCGCTATCTATGGTAAGATATTCCTTATGACTCCGGCACGGCACGTAACAGATCATCAGAATGCTGTGGAGGCGAGGTGACGGAGGGAACACGTACACTGTACTCTCGGCCCTCCCAAGCTCAATGATAAGCGGTACTGTTAGTACGTGGGGCGGGTGTATGTCATAATCATGCCCTGAAGAGTAGAATCATCTCGTCCTCAAAACAGGACAGAAGCGAGATCCATTAACAGCTACTATAACTCCTCCCACTACTTCATTTAACCATGACCGAAACCGTGTCTACGACTATCCAGTACGAGGTCACCGATATCAACGAAGGCCATTACGAAGTCAAACAGATCGCGAGCGAGAAACCCGCCGATCTGAACAGCGGCAGTCGCAAAGAGTTCAGTTGCTATGTCGGCGTCTTCTCCGTAAGGAGTCTGATACCGATACCGAGTTCACTTGCAAGCGACAGTGCTGACTCGACCTCTTTATCCAGGTGCATGTGTATGTCGACCCGGATGACAAGGAGATTGCAGCCTAGCCGTGAGTCCTTGGAATGCCAATTGGCAACGGGTACAGAGCTGGATTGCAGAGTGGATTGCAGCTCCACATCGTCCTCGTCGCCTTCTGCGGCAGTATCAGGTTCTTCCTCGAAGGGAATACGTTGCGATGTGAACTTCATCTCCTTCCGCTCTCGCAGTATGGTGATAAGGTTGACTTCACGGGCGATGTCATGTCTTTTTAGACGACTGTAGCTGGATAGAAATACCTGAGGAAAACGGACACCTGGCCAGGACATACTACGCATTCCAGGGCCACTAACTAGGCAGTCAATGAAGAACAATCGTTGTTCAGAAGCTTTTACACACAACACACCTTGGATAATATACAAAACGTTGACTTTGTGCGTAATAGTATGTTGAAGCACGGAATTCCAGTTATGCAGCTAGGCTAGTTGTACGCAGCCCAGGAATGCAACCGCAGAAATCGGCTTACCACACAGGAATAGATGGGCACCTACCAGTAGAAAAGGAATTCCTAGTAATCCCGAGGGTATCCACCCGTCCCAGGAAACGGTGTTGCGCTGCAAAGACAAACTCTGCCCTGCTTCCATGCGGTCTAGAAACCGGTACCATAGTCCAGAACAAGATATTTCTCCTAGCAATATTCAGAGGAACATTCCCATCTTAGTTCCGTGTCCTTGTAGCGGGAGGAGGACTCGATTCGAGAGAGGAGTCCGACTGGTATTTTCGAGAGGCTTCAGAGTCCCGTTTCGGCGTCGTCAATTGAACCACTGGAGGCGAAAGTTCATGTGCAGGAGGTGGTGGTTAATCCCGAGCTGACCGGAACACAACAACTCGCGGCTTTTGTTTACGGGATTTTTTAGAGCTTGATGGCGTGTCACCCTTGCTTTGAAGTTTTTGCTGTTGTGAGCCTCTATCGCTAGTCGACCTTTCTGTCGGTCCAGTAGGAGGATCTGGAGGGCCCAACTCGTAATCTTGAGCGGCTTCGGGATCGCGTTTCTGCGTCGTCAAATGTGCAGGAGCTGGTTGTTCATTCCAACCTTTCCGCCACACAACAATTTGCGGCTTTTGTTTACTAGATTTCTTGTACGTTAATGGCTTTTTATCCGTACTTTGAAGGTTTTGCTGTTGTAAGCCTCTATCACTAGTCGACCTTTCTGTCGGTCCAGTAGGAGGATCTGGAGGGCCCAACTCGTAATTCGTCAAATGTGCAGGAGCTGATTGTTCATCCCAAGCTTTCCGCCGCACAACAACTCGCGGTTTTTGCTTACGCCGACCAAAGTAGTCTGCTAACTTTTTGCTTGTGCGATTGCCCTCCTTGTTGTCAGATTTCGTTGGGGGCGGATGCGAATACTCGCGCTGTCTCTTCGGTGCATGCGCAGGGAGAGGATCCGGTGGTGGAGTCGAGGGTGCAACCATGACACGGGTAGCGGCTGCGCTGCTGTTATCGCTCGCTTCAAGTATTGGGTGGTAGTTTTGATGGATACCGGGAGCCGGCGCTATGGCCGGCGACTGCGGCATCCAAGGAATCGGGTCTCGAGGGGGACTGGTTGGGGTATATGGGATATTCGTATCGTTCCCCATATTTCGAGGAGGGTGACCTCGAGTGGATGGAATGCTTCCCTCGCTTCCGTCTTCCAGTTCGAATTCGTCAGGTGCAACCAAATCGTTCCCTTGTGCGAGGACATCTTGCGTCTTCTTATCCCACCATTCCGCAATCGGCGACAATGTCAGGTCTTGAATGCCATCCACGCCTTTAATCTCGCCATCGAGCGAGGAGAAGATGACCTGGACACAGGTTAGAAATTTGAGCTGGAATGATTTTCGAGTGTTTGACTTTCCAGAGAACCGACTTTTCTCAATAGTCGAACTGGTTCTCCAAATTCCAACTCCATTCGCGGCTTGCCCTTTGACAGCCACGTTCTGTGCTTAAACCTGGCAACGTGGACGTTGTGAAGCCCCTCCGCTTCCCGAGCACGAGAGACAACCTTGTGGTATTTCCTCCATGTCTGGTTGAATGCCGCTTGGTCAATCACATCAGGGTTCAAATCTGCTATCCCTGTGTTCATCTTGCGGTCGACACCAGGCTGGGTGCTTGAACGGATGTCGGATCACTGTCAGATTTTGGAGTCATGTCAAATACTTCTGCGTGCGTGGATGCGCCTGCGTGACCCTCCGAGAAGCTGCCATAATCCGTGACTCGATTCTCGTACTGATTCCCGTACTGTCACAACTTTAGAATCGTCATCTGAAGCAGGAATTGGGCGTGGCATGGGCACACCGACCTCCTCCTTGGTAATGGCTTTTGCGGCACTTCCAGCCGATTGTTGTTCCCAGTGATGCGATGTTAAAGAAAGCTCATCCGTGGATGGTGGGACGCCACCGCCAGCTAGTTTTGACACAGAATTTTGGGACGATTCTGGTCTCTCGCTTCCCCTCGCTTCATCGGCTTTTCCAATGTTACTGGGATGATTGGGGATTTGGCTCCTTGAGCCATGATTCCGTGGCGGTAGCGTTAGGTTGTTTTCTGCGATTTGACCGTTGCCTGAAGGTTTCACAATCCCGATTTGAGAAGTCCCTTTCCCCTTGAGATCTTCGCTGCTTTTGGCCACCCGGGCATCCTGTGTTGAAGCTGCTGATCCGACTGTGTCTTTATTCACTGTAGGTCCTCTCAAGGTGCTCCAACGAGCAGATGCTTCAGTGCAATCGAACGATTCCTCTGTCTCTGTTACGTTCGCGATCTCGAGCGAAACGATGAGCGGGTCCAATCCTGTGCGCACAAACCTAGAACCTTGTCAGTCAGACCGAGACCAAGAACGCCCTATATACATACCCCGAAAACTCAGATGAGGACCTCGGAGAGCCTCTTTGAGATGCAAACCATGGATGTTCAAGCGCTTTTGGAGCTGATGGCCGTTCTTGCGGCTTGGCCGCCATGAGAAGTCGACAAAGCGCCTGACCGTGTTCTGTAACACTGAGGCTGACCAACTTCCCCAACGGAAAAGATGTTTTGCCTTTCACGTACGATGCAAGTGTTCGTGTATTGTCGAATGGCGACTCGCCAGATAGACTTCGGAAGATGATCTCGCCAACTGACCAGATGTCGACCGCGAACGTGTAGCCGCGCTCACGGGCAAAGTCTTCTGCATCCAGCATTCCGCTCTGAACCATGATCTCCGGAGCGAGAAAGCCTGGGGTACCACTGAAGGTTCGGAGTTCGGTGACGCCTTCCTCGGCCCGTTTTGAGATGCCAAAGTCTGCGATCTTCACCCACCAGTGTGGGCCCATCTCTTTGATGAGAATGTTCTGTTCCCGTGTCAGTCCAGCATCGTGGGGCCTAGTACGCTGCATCTATGTCTCGCCAGCCACGAAGAGAAACACTCACGGCTGGTTTGAGATCGCGGTGTGCAAATCCGTTCTCATGCATGTATGTAAGACCTTCCAAAACCTGGAAAGCGATCTGTTGCGCATCTGGCTCTGGTAATTTGGAGCGGAGCTGGAGAAGTTTTTGCAGGTCTCCGTGAGGAAGAAACTCCATGGCGATGAAGACTGCATCTTCACTTTCATACCAGCCATAGGACTCGACAAAATATGTTCTGTACTAATACACTGTCAGCTGAGCGTTGATACACTCAAGGAGAGATACTGACCCTTGGGTGAGAAAACTTTGCCATCGCTTCAAGCTCTCTGCTATAATCCACGGATTGAGATCCTTGCATCCGTTTCCGGACCATCTTGACCGCTCTCTCCGTGATGTCGCCTTTGCCTTCAATAAGGGTCTCCTTCCATACGAGGCCAAAGCCGCCCTGGCCTAGCGTTTTTGTTCGCTGCCATTTTTGTTCTATTCGGATCTTCCGCTGACCGCTGCCGCGTCCTGATGTCTCTATGATATGGCGGGTGATACCTCCTCCTTCACTAGTCGTCCGTAGTCTCGAGTCACGCACCGGGTCGGACACAGGTGGCATTTTGAAAGCGATGGCAGCAGTCGACTAGAGCACGGAAACTAGCGCCAGGACTTAGACTACGAGGTTGCTTGAGAGAACGGAGCAAGTAGTGAGGGGAATGTCTCAGCCTCGTTCCCTGCGGCTGTCGATGCACCCCTCATCAACACATCAATCGATGATTTCCGAAAGCAGCTTAGTGTGAATGCAGCTCATCTCTCCAGGCGCCGCCCAAGGAACGTCAGATGAACAGTTGCTTCTGCCACCTCCAGCCTTCAGAAGCTGCCTCATCTCCACCTCATAAATCTGGAAACAACATACTTACTTGGCTGGGGACACCCGTCCTGTACCACGCAATTTCGTGCGGCCTTAACTATGCCAGTAGGATTGGTGCTTGCCGGATTGGCGACAGCTGACCTAGTGATCAAGTAAAATGTACTCCTTGCCGTTCATCCGCAGCTGAATATTGACAGGGTCGAGATACGGGAAAGAGCTTGTTCGGCTTTGTTCGTCATTCAGGAATGCCGGGCGTGAGATCCAGGAGCGGATCATAATCATCGAATCGACGTGGTTGAAGGCTCAATACCAGATAGAATTTCTGACCAAGATATGGAAAACTCTCGACGTCACACACCAGGAGCAACAGAGCCAGATACTGGACATCTTGGAGACCAAACTGAAGGCAGCTATTGTGCAAGTGCAGAGAGTGCAACGCAGGCATGCTGGTCGGGAGGACGACATCAAAAGATGGAAGTACGCCTTGGTCAAAGACAGTATTGACAATGCGATTGAGGGACTGGAAGTGTGGCAAAAGATCTTCGATCCGTCCTGGTACCTCATTATGAGGATGGCAAGCCGCGTAATCGATGAAGAGCTGCAGGAAGTGGCTGACGAACCAAAAGTTGGAACCATGTCTACTGCATTGGCGTTCAGGAGGTCCTTAAAATCAGATCGCGATACCAAGGTCTCCGTCTTCCTTCCCAAAGACGGTTTGGTTGACGCGCTTCGAGAACCCATCCCTTACAGTACGGCGGAACTGATGCGCAGATCTCCCACAAGTGACAAGTGGTACATCGTTGATTCGGTCCCATGTCTACCAGACGTCAGTGCTCGGACTCTCACTGAAGATGTTCGCGATCTTGCTCGCAAGCTCTCTGCGACGGATCCGATGGCTTTTGGCCTACTCCAGTGCCGTGGAGTCGTTCGCATATTGAAGCCTGACCAACGCACGCCAGCATCTTTCGACTTCGTCTTCTATGAGCCTGGAAGGCTCAAAGCTCCTCGTAGCCTTCGCGACATCTTGCTATTTCCAGACACCGACATCTCCTTAAGCATTCGGTTCTCCATAGCACAGACACTAGCGCAGTCGATCAGTTACGTGCACACCTGCAATTTCGTACACAAAGGTATCAGGCCTGAGACCATTCTGGTTTTCGAAGATGAGAGATCGGTGCTTTCTGGATCCTTCCTCGTGGGATTCGAGAAATTCCGAACTGTTTCTGGATATACTCTTCGAGCTGGTGATTGCGCATGGGAGAAAAATTTATACCGGCACCCGCGTCGACAAGGCCTGCAGCCTGAGGATGAATATGTAATGCAGCACGACATCTATAGCCTTGGGGTCTGTCTTCTGGAGGTTGGACTTTGGCAGTCTCTGGTGTTGTACGGTCCAGCACCCTCTGCATCGGGACTGTTGCAATCCTTTCTGAACGAGAGCGAAGATAATTGTCGTGAACCAGGCCTTTTGAAAGACCACCTCGTCGATCTTGCGAAGCGAAGCTTGCCATGCCGGATGGGAGACAAATATACCGATGTGGTTGTGAATTGCCTGACATGCCTAGATGAAGATAACATGGATTTTGGAGACCAGACCGAGTTCGAGGACGAAGATGGAATTCTCGTAGGGGTGCGTTACATTGAGAAGGTAGGAGCGGATTTCTGAGTTAAAGAGGTCAGATACTGATTCAACATGAAGGTACTCGTCCAGCTGAACAACATCTCCATCTGATGACAACCAGGATAACAAGATATATGCTATCTCGACTTACATCCTCATGGTTTCTTGGCTTTCGAACCCTTGTTCGAAAATGTCACCTTTCTGAGTCTTTCTGCAACTGTTCCAACTGGCCGTGCAAGTAAAGAAGAGTTGAGACACGCTGAAGATCACTTGAGCAAGCTAACGAGATTAACCAATACAGTAAGTTGAAATTAGCAACGCTGGATTGTATCTGGAAGTGATGAATACGCAAGCTGGAAGTGGTGAATGTGCAAACTGGAAGTGATGAATGTGGATGTGATGAGGATCGGATGGTTGCATTGATGTCCAAGCTCAGGGAAGCGACTACTACCTAGGTAAGCGTACATGCCAAGCATGTATGCACGGGCCACAAAAGCACACCACAGGGTCAGGCTTTTCGAAGACACCAGACGAAACCCATCACGACCACACCAGACCTAGAGTCGAGCTCAGCGGATATGGGCAAGCGTAGGAGGTCGGAACATGATAAGCACCGCGACTTTGGTATCGGTGCTACTTTAGCACACCTCGCGGAGAACGGCGATAGAGCTGGACTGGCAACATCCACGTCGCTTGACGAAGATGAGAATGACGACTGGACGACGATTGGAGCGCCGAAGAAAAGACGGATTTCGAATGACAGGGCAGACATCCCTGGTGCTGCTGTATCTGGCGTCCGTCCGAGAACCGATGTTTCAACCTCACATAACTCGGACAGGCCATCAATGAAAGAATCTCATAAACAGAAAATGGAGAAGGCGGAGCAAATGGACTTGGATCCTTTCCGTCTTTTTCCCAGCGATCAAAAGAGCCAACGCAGTTTGCCCGCTAACCCCTTCTCAACTCATTCTCACCCTACCATCGAGCAACCCACCCATGATGCTTCTCCTCTCACCTCTTCCCATGAGGCGCACAAGAAAAGCGACAAGATGGGGAGGAAAACGGAAAAGCGTCATGATGGGGACGGCCACAATAAAGACACGAAAGAGCGTTATCCAACCATTGAGTATTCGCATAACTATCGTTTGCGGTCGCAAGTACGCATCGCCGACTTACAGGGTCTCGTCTTGTATCTCCTAGCAGATGGTCCTGCGCCCCAATGGGTAGCTGTAAAGCACAGCTCAAGCATACGTCAAGTCGTAGTTCTCATGGTACCTGGCTTGGAGCTGGGCATGTTTACTGGCGACATCTCTCTTGCCCTCGACCAACCTTCTGGAAGTGAACCGAATGAAAACGGGAAAAAGCAATCTGGCAGCTCTTTCAGCGCACACCATGGCATCCGGCGCAAGCCGTTGGTAATGTCGCCTGACGACTATTATCCTAGAACCCTGAAGCGCGAACGCCTTCCAGATCCCTTGAAGCCCCTCTCCGACATCTTCCCTCATGTGTGGCCGGTGGTTGGGACAGGCGAATACCGTGGAAAGGATAGTGCGAAGCAGTTTTACCGTTTAGTCTCGCCGATGCAGACCATGCTTGTATCGCCACTCCCACAGAGGAGAGAAGAGAAATGGAAGTCAAAAGAGCGCAGGGGACCAACCCAGCAAAAGACTGAACACTGGGAGAACAAGCGGACTCCTATCATAAAATACATTGTTTCACTTGAAGAGCAACGCGAGAACAATATTGTGCCCCATCCAGCATGGTTTATTACGCCAGAAGCGAAAGAAGCTGCGCAGCAGAGGCGCAGAGCAGCGGGGCAGATGATCGAAGATGGTTGGGTTGACAGTGCCGTGTCTTGTCTCGAAGATGGTGAGGTTCCGGAGAAGGACATCGAGAGTGGAAGTCTGACGGCCGGGAGGCAAATCATTGCAATTGACTGCGAGATGTGCCTTGCGGCGCAGAGAGAAATGGTCCTCACTCGAATAAGTCTTGTAGACTGGGATGGGAAGACTATCCTCGATGAATTGGTTAAACCCGATCTTCCGATTGAGGACTACGTTACACAGTAAGTGTGATATTGTCACAAGTAAGATTATGCGCTGACTTGAACAGATTCTCGGGAATAACAGAGGAGATGCTCAAAAACGTCACGACGAGTCTCTCAGATATTCAGCAGAAACTGCTGACTATTCTCACACCACGAACGATTCTGGTTGGACATTCCCTGGAGTCGGATCTTAATGCACTAAAGTTCACGCACCCTTTCCTCGTTGACACTTCCATTGCATATCCGCATCCAAACTATCCAACCAACAAGCATTCCCTGAAGTGGCTGTGTCAGAAATTCCTCAAAGGGAGAGAGATACAGCAAGGAAGCAAGGGTCATGACAGCATTGAGGATGCTCTCGCCTGTTTGGACCTGGTTAAAGAGAAGTGCGAACGTGGTCCGGCATTCGGGACCGCTGCTACCAACACGGAGCCGATATTCAAACGCCTTGCACGCAGTGTCCGCAACCAATCTGCCGACAACTTGAGGGCAGGCGCGCTGGTCGACTGGGGCTTTCCGAAGCGGGGCTACGGCGGTTCCGCGCAGATAGCAATCGGGTGTCGGAACGACGAAGAAGTTGTCGCCGGCATTGAATCGGCTGTCAAGGGGCAGGCTGTGGGAGAAAGCGGCGCTACGGAGCAAGTCAACTTCGTATGGGGTCGGCTGCGGGAGTTAGAGATCCTCCGCGGATGGTGGGACGAGACGAAGAGTGATGATGTTGAAGAGATGCGGCAAGAAGCTTTGAAGCGTCTTGGGCGCCCGATTACCTTCGAAGAGGACGAAGTGGACGAAGTGACTGAAGTTTCAAGCAGCGAGCTCGCAAAGGCGGTTGCCAGCACCGTCGACAACATTGCCAAGGTCTACGATTCGCTGCCACGAGGCACAGCGTTCATTGTATACAGCGGCAGCGGCGATCCGCGAGAAATTCGTCGTTTGTCAACCATGCAGCGGCAGCATCACAAGGAAATGAGGACGAAAGACTGGGACGACCGCACCGTGAAGTGGACGGATACGGAAACGCAAGCTCTTTCCGATGCGATTCTGACGGCGCGACAGGGCATCTCATTCGTCAAAGTCAAGTGAGACGAGTATTTGTGTCACGGGTTGTACGACACTGGCTGCAATCTCCCACAGTCCAGCGCGAAGTTTTAAGCTGGAACTCTATGCGAAGTGGCTGAATTAGTATCGATTCTGCGTGCCGGTTTTGAGGGTTATTGCCTATCGCGTGGGATATTGTTGGTTGTGAAGTAGGCTAATAGACGGTGTCTAGGGCGTCATGCGGCAGGGCGCGCGTGGCACAACGGTTGTATCGTGTTGATGGCGGCGAACCGGAAGCACAAGCGGCATATTCTACAAGGGCCGTTGCAGAGAGTACTATTCGAAGGCATAAAACGAAATGAAACGATGCACGAGTAAGCACGTTTATCCAAGGATAGTATTTGCGTTCTGTACGATAGCCCAGCCTGCAGGCAAAAATACTTGAGGGCGGTGAAGTGCAGCCGCTTTTTGATGGGCTGTGAAACCACCACTGCCCTGCCCACACTTTGATGAAGGAGAATGATGTGATGGGGTTCGGACCGTTTCTTCCTTGCAAAATAGCGGACTAACGTAGCGTCATATTACTGTTCCAGCCAGGGGCAAACGGGTGATTAGTTTATTATATCTATGATGTGTAGATAGTACAAGCACCGCACTACGGTACACAGGGCCCGGAGTGTCGCAATGTTACACAGCCCTATGTACCTATACACACAAGTACATACATGATAAGTGAAACAATAGATATGCATTGAGCCATTTGTAGATATGTCGCTCTGTGGGAACTGGCTGACAGGGTTCTAGAAGTGCTTTTCATGCGCTAACTGTGAAGACTTCAGTTGCGGCGTCGGGCGACCGCAGCGACAGGTCATAATAATGAACCGGGATAGCCCGGATAGAGTTCAAGATAGGCGCGCATCGTGTTGGCTACGTCCGTTATGCAATTATCGGACGGTAATAGCCAGCGCTGGTTGCTTACCTTGGACCAGGGTGTGGGCATTCACTGCACCATCGGCATTCGATCAATGATATGCGCATTGTGGTGCGCCAATAAGCAAATCTTGTCTTGACGTTTATTGTTGGCTCTTTATCGTGCCTATTTCGGACCTTTCCAGCTGCCGGCCTGATTGGCTGCAGACGGCATATAGCGCAGTAGAGAGGCGGCCAAGCACTGTGCCACCGGTGAGGGAATAACGAGACGTTTCGGAATAGGATGGTCGTCTCAACCCAGGGTGGAATAGGCGAGCAGAGCAATAATAGCTGCTTTGCTAAACATGGTATAGCGGAGCTTATCGTTATTATTATTACTGTATCTCAACAGGTTGTGGCGATCAGACTTTGATTTGTTGTCCAATTGTCCCCTTCCTCGCCCCTTCCTTGTTCCCTTCCTGTTCCCTTTTGTCACCTTTTGCCTATTTTCTCCTCTTCCTCTTTGTCTCGACCACACGGTTCGTCATCGACTTTGATCACTTGCGAATCCGAGTTTCCGAGGTAGCTCCGTTGTCAGCAAAACCAGTACTACCACAGTATTCCGCATCCTCCCCGGCTTTACGCTGTCGTTAGGCGCATATCCCGTGGGTTTCTCGGAATAGGACCGCGCCGCTTCGTTCACCTGCATCCGAATGGGAATTACCTCATCATCAGGGTTCTCCGGCCTATTTTTGTTGACGCTGATCCTGGTCTAACTCAGCAACGACGTTCTTCTGCGACGCTCTCGGATCGCGTCTGCCAGTGAAGATTCGCATCGCGGGGCATCCGGGCGGCAACCAGCGATGCCAGAAGTAGCATCAGCGCTGGGCGCATCGCGAGCGACCGTTGGAGAATGCAACCGCTGCCACAGTATCGTCGGCGAATTCTTCAACCTGTTCCACAGAGTCCCAGGGTCCAGCTCCTACTATTTGCCCGCGTTGCTTGGATCGTGGAGTAGCAGATTGACGCCTATGACCGGCAGTCCGAGGACGGCGAGCCCCGGCAGTGATTTAGAGTCGTGGTAAGTAATCGCACTTCCCCTTTCTTGTTGAGTGTTTCTAGTTGCAGTCAGCAGCTTGCAAAGATGCGCGACTTGCGCGATGCAGCAGAGACAGGGCTGCATAGGCACTCTCTTTTTTCCCTCCTTTCGCTCGTCTCATACATATCCCCGTATTCCTCAACCATCCCATCCCAGTCGAGCACTATTTATTCGACAATGGGCCCTTAGCAATATGGTATGCGAGGCTTATTACCCCGGGCGCCAATCAATCGGGACATGGTATTTTAATTTTTTTCTTTAAGCGCGAATGCGCTAATGGACGCCCCAACCAATTTCCCACTATTATACGTTTATCATTCTATTAAACCCGCAGGGCCCGCATTATTGCGCTACGTTTTGCATTTTCCTGCTCTTTTGCGGCCTTTTGCGTCGCCGCCGTCGGTTGCCTCCTTCTTCGCTCGCTGTTGAGGCCTCGCTGCTGCTGCTGCCGCTGCTGCTGCTGCTGCTACGCACTTTTGCTTCCCCCTTTCTTACTTACTTACCATCGCCGCTGCCTTCATTCCTTCTCAACGCACGCAGATTTAAGAGCTAACCGTCTCTTCGCCTCAGTATCATCCAGCCGTTGGGTTGCCCCAAGTGCGGCGATACTCTTGGCTTACACGTTGTGGAGACCCCAGACCACAATCACGAGTATCGGTAAGTACACACTTCGATTGCAATAAGGCAGGCTTTGCACTTCTTTTACCTGTGAAAGTACACCTATGCTCTGTTCGTGGCGCTATTTATCGAGCGTCTTGCGTGGATCTTCCCTGCGTCGCTCCTCCCTTTGTCCTGTTCTTTGTCTATTGACACACACTTATCAATGGAAGATGTCCTATTCTGGTCTTACATTACTTTGTCACCTCCCTTTGTCTCTTACAATTGTATACCGCCTACTAACGGATACCCATATAGCGGGCGCGATCTTTTCCAACTATCTCGCATTGCATTGAAATGCGAGATATCGCCGGGTGTCGTAGAAGTGGTTAAACCTCACCTAGAAACGTTGCCGGCCGAGACGCGATCATCCAACCATAACGAGGAAGAGGGCCAGTCACAGTCTCCTCCAGTTTCTGCTGTCTCTCGGCCATCTTCACCTTCACCTTCACCTTCACCGCGCCCAAACATGGCCAACGCGGAAGTCGATGCTCGACCACCGCCAGAGCTGGTACATCGCCAGAATCCGTTACCGCAGGTGGAGTCGAACAGACTGCCTCCCCCGATGCAGTCACCCGGGGAGAGACCCACACTGCCTTCCATCGGGCTCACGCAGAAGTCGCCTCTCCCGTCGAGATCGCCGGCCGTGATGCCTGTGCACCGTGACGAACAGCCATATGCCCAACCTTTACCAAGGGAATCTCCAGCAGGTCTGGCGAACCGTAGCCGGGAAACACTACCTCCCATCTTGCATTCGCCCAGTCAAACACACCATTCCAGCACATACCCAACTGACCTCGACGCCATCGGCCGCATGCAAACGCAGATATCGCAGAATACGGGGGCGCTGAGTGCCCATGCGCGAAGGCTGCAGGATCTGCAAGATGTGTCCGAGCAGCAGCTCAATGGTATGCGGCGTGAGTTTCACGACCTGATCCATGCCAACATGAGCCGGTTGGGGGAGATGGTTACAGCACTACAACGAGATGTGCAAACGATGCGGCAGCAAGTAGCCGATCTGGATGACGCAATGGATAAAATATCACGGACCGTATCTGTCATCCAGGCACAGGGACCCGGAGCACTGGCGGCAGGATCATCCGCGGCTGCTCAGGCATCAGCCTTAGAGCTCATGGCTCAGCAACTGCACAATGTGTCCACGAAAGTGAACGAGGTCGACAGTCTGAAGATCAACATGGAGATAATGAAGGGGAGGATTCAACGACTCGAGGAGGGCACTGGCGCCGCGTCCACGCAGACGGTGCTGCCTCACCCTCAATATGCCGTCACCTCGTACGGGTCTACACCGACGCCAGCGACCCACGCGGGAACCCCAGTCCACGAGCATGCAGAGTCCGCTCAACCGGCACAGACCTTCACCGCTATCAACGGGCCGCCGAAACGAGTTTATTCGTATGCCGAAGAGCATCCAGACGCGGACCAGCGGCCCGATTCCTCTAAGCGTTTAAAGATCGCCACGATGGAACCCGGGAGCACGTACACCGTCTCTCAGCACCATCATAGCCCACAGGAACAACCGCACTCAGAAGATCCTCATGCCCGACCGCAATTCGCACACTCGCACTCGCAAGTTCAGTCCGCCTCATTCGCCTCCTCACACACCCTCTCCCACGACTCCATGCCTCCTGAATCGACCCTCCGCTCCTCCAACCCCACCTCGACGCTCCCGTCTCAAGGGCCCGTCACACCGGCCTACTACACCCAAGACGCTCCCTCGGACGAATCATGGCGCCCCCTTGAACAACGCAGCAGCACACGCGGTCGGCCCCGTGGCGGCCCCGGCTCACGAGGCGGTCGAGGACGTAAGAGCCTCCCGGCACAGCTGGTCCACTCGACGCCTGAATGGGAAAGAGATGATTGGCAGGGCGTCCCGGAAAGCCAGATCAGTCCGAATGGGTACTATACCGGTGGACCGAGAGCTGCACGGGGAACCTCCGTCATCAGGAGAGGCAGTGGTGGTGCAGCTGCGAACATCGTCTCATCGACACCCCGTGGACGACCGCCCAATGCCCAATATCAACAGCAACCAGGTGTACACCTCGGCATGCAAGGCGTGACTCCCGGCCTGGGCTCCCCAGGCTCCCTCAACGGAACGCCCATCCGCATGATGTCGGTAGCGCCGGGCCACGATCCGTACGCGCACACCAAGAAGACGCGGACGAAGCCGACGCGGAATGCCGACGGCGTGCTCATCCGCAAGGACGGACGGCCGGATATGCGGAGCCACAGCTCGGCGGCGAATTTGAGAAAGGTGCATGCGAAGAAGGAGAATGCGGCCAAGGAGAGGAGAGGGTCGGGTTTGGGGCCCTGGGGGGAGGAGAGCGCGAGTCCGCCTGCTCAGGGGACCCGGAAAGAGAAACAAGAACAACAGCAGGGTACGGAGACGCCGGGACGTGCGGGGTCGCCGGCGGCAGAAAAGTCGAAGACGGCGCTGGAGCGGGGAGATGAGGCCGAGTGGTCGGATCCGCAGATGCAGAAGCATCATTCCATCATGAAGCGGATTGCGCGTGGGTTGCAGGATTGGGAGAATATCGATCCTGGTAAGGCGCTGAGGCAGGAGAGGGAGGGGCATGGTGCGCATCCTGAGGACCACCAGCAGCAGCAGCAGCAGAAACAGAGGAGTGGGAGGAGCGGGAGTAAGAGCGAGAAGGACAAGGAGAATGCGAGGACTGCGGTGAATGGGCGCGGAGGTGGCATTAAGCAAGAGCATCATGATGAGAGGCGCGTGGTGCTTGATTCTCAGGATGGGGACGAGGAGATGCTGACGAGTGAGAGGGAAGAAAGAGATGAGGAGCCGGATGTCGATATGCGGGATCGGCCGGAGGAGGGCAATGAGGATCGCGGTGGTAGTGATGGAGATGAGATGAGGAGTCCGATGGCGAGGAGTGAAGGTGGTGAAATGCAGAGGGTTAAGGAGAAGGAGGGCCTGGTGAATGGGGGGGCTCGGGATGGAGGAGATGGTGCTGCTAGAGTCGTGGCCGCGGCGGAAGAGGAGGGAACGAGGGAGTAAGCATTCCGGTTTTCGAGGCTGTGGAACGGAAGTGGAATCACGGCTGCTGGTATCGATATCTTGCCCGACGTCATCTTCCCCAGCAACAAGGATGCAATCGAGCGTATATCGCCTGCATATCTCTTGCTTTTCAATGGGAGTCTGAGCATCCGGACCTCAACTCCTCAGCGAGGCACCCTTTGCGTTTTTCACACTTGGCGTTTTTATGGCGTTATCTACTAGAAACATGGCATCGAGCAAAGCAAGCAGTGTACGGAGTATCTATCTAGCATACAGAGCACAGCATATGGGTAGGGTTGGTACTATGATTATGCTTATGGGAGAATCTTGAATTTTTAGCAGTAGGCGGCGGCTTTGCCAACGGCGAGCGAGCGCGCGAGATGGGATTTAGTTAATTTATGCGGTTTATTCTTTCTATGGGTTTTGCGATGTGTGCTTGTGCTTGGAGTAGTTGGATGTCGTGAGTAATGAAGTGCTCATCCTGTGATGATCGCTCTCTAGTCATTTAAGCGTTACATAGTAGGTTCCTCTTTTTCGTTTTAGGTAGATGGGGGAGTAGAGCTATTTGAGGTATACTCGAAAGAGGCTTGCAAGGTTGGATGAGGGAAAGATAGTCGTGATCGCGGTGTACCGCGATCTTAGGAGAGAGCCTTCAGACAGTGACGGTGATTCCAAGGTTACTTTGTTTGAAGTAGATCATCTCTTATTCGAATAGGTCTCAGGAATGCGAGATAAGACGGCCAAAGCCCTAGAGAAGCGCTCACTGAAGGGAAAAGACTCTTGTCACGTGACGCAATCATTCACCCCCTGGGCACAATTGAATGCTACCAAGACAGAGATGTTGAAGGTCAAATATCCTATATATACTCATTATCTTGCATATGTAACCGCTTCCCCAAGCTAAATCTCAAAACTATCATCGAAGCGCGTGAATCAATGTCTATGATGCGTCATGCTGGAAGTCCGGCACTGCGCCCTTCCTTCAATCCATTCGCCTCCGGTTAGAATCCGGATCCACCCCGGGCATCTCATTCACCGGCATCTCCACCAGCGGTAACCCCCGCTCCTCTGGCGCGGGCGAAGCATCTCGATACAGCGACGCGCTCGATGCCCGCTTGTTGTAGTACTCCGACGTCGTCGATGCGTCCGCCGACCGCATAGGCTCGTACGCCGATTCGCGACTCCCAAACTCCGACGGCGGCGCTGCAAAAGACGGCGCTCCGGGCGGTACATGCCCGCCCGGAGTCGGTGTATACTGTGCCTCGCCTCTCTTGCGGCGCAAAACGAGGAACGTTATAGCTGTCGCGAGGAGGCCTACGAGGGCGACGACGCCGATGGCGATGCCGACTTTCATTGCGGTGGAGAGGCCCGTTTCGTTGGTCTTTTGCGTGATTTGGTCGAGGGGTCGGGCGGAGATGGTGGGTTTGTGGAGGCGGGTTGAGGAGGCGGTGCTGGCGGGTGTGTTGGTCGGGGTCATGAGTTTGGTTACGATTATGGTTGTGGGAATGTTGACTTCGGTCGAGGTTAGGGATTGGTTGAAGAGGGCGCCGCAGTCTTCGAGGGAGGTTCCCTGGAAACGGGTTAGGAATTGAAGATGTAGGAAGGACGTAGGTAAGGGGCCCAATGGAGGAAACGTACATCGGCGCAGCAGTAGCCGGCTTGTGTGCCATTGTATGCGCAGTAGTATCCTTCTACGCAGGAAGCTGTGCATGTTAGACTTTATCTACGCGTCTTTTCCGTCGGGGGTTGGGGGCATCGTACTCCCATATAAATCTCGGCAGCAGTGTTCCCCCCTCTTCGGCTCATAGCAAACGTTCGAATATTGCAGCGAGAAGCACTCTTCCGCCTCCTTCTCGCAGGATTCGCACGTGGTTCCGCAAATTTCGAAAGCCGGGTCATATCCGTGAGGTGCTGTCTCGGTGTAGTTTTCTGGTGGGTACGCCCAGTAGGAGTATTCCTGGGCGCTGGCTAATGCTGCTGTTGTTGCCAGCACGATAACAACTGTATGACGCATGGCAGAGAGTAGAAAATACGTCTCGAGGACAGGATGCAGCGTGGGCGCTGGAAAGGGGGAAAAGATAAAGTTGGTTGTCCAACAACTCCAGATCTGAGATCAACAAGCCTCTGCCGCTGCCGGCGCGCAATCAGCCCCTTTGCTAGCTGTTTTGGTTTAACCCATGTTTGTAGGGCGGAACTCAACGTCAGACTGTCAGCATGGACATTCAGCCCCAGTGGGAGGATGATGAGATCGTGGCTAGGGAATGAGAGCGTGGAAACGTGCTGGATGCTTGAGGTCCATGTTGGCAGACAGTTCGATGACACGAGTAGCCTTCTGTGTAGTCGGACGTAATAGAGTCTGCATTGCTATTATAACATCTCAGTGTTGGTCGAGGGAGGAACTCCCGGAAGCGATGTTGGTTGGAGGTGAGATCCATGGATGGAGGTTGACGGACGGGAGCCTAACCCATCTGGGAAAGCTGCCGCGGCAACCTTGGCGGCTCGCCTAAACATACGAACTCAGAGGCTTCCCCATTGTACTCTGGCGCTCCTGGCGCTCTGCCCCTTCATTGCTCAAGGCTTGTTAATACTCGCCTCTTCCCATATGGCGCTGCGCATTGGACCGACCCTTCGAGGTGGAAAGGGAAAGTACGAGCTGCTGGAACAGTTGAAAGGCTCTACAGCCTTCAAAGCGAGAGTGGTGTCCAGCCACTCACCCAAGCAGAATGGCATGAGTTTCTGTATCGAAGTGTTTCATGAATCGACCGCTTATTATTTTTTTAGGGCTGTAGTGAAATCTGCTATTACGAATGATGAAATCTTTACGTTGAAGCGTGAATACCGCAATTACCAGAAAGTTGAAATCGCCTCGCGTCCACACATTCGAACTCCGTACGATGTCGTATGGCCAAATGACACTCAAGAAGACCAGTTGCATTTGCTATTTGAATGGATGGATCGTGACTTGCGGTTGGTGCCAGCCAACGTGTTCCGAGGCGATCAGAGGCTGCCTAGAGCCGTGTCCAAAGCAGTCTTGTCGGCTCTGATCATTTTCAAACAGCTTAACGTCGTCCACACAGGTACTATCTCTCCTGTTGCCAACATCCGTTGTACTAAACCGCTAGATATCTCCATAAACAACATCTTTCGTGTCCAACATCGATAGCCCTTCGCCAATCGCTAAATTGGGAGATTTAGGAAACTGTGAGTGCTGTATATACTCCACTGTCCATTGAAAGCCCTGATTCCGTAGTGGTTTCCGAGGGTTCTACACAATGTGTCCAGAGCCTGCCATGCAGAGCCCCTGAGGTGTGGCAGGGCTTGGGATGTCAACATCGCTCAGATGTATGGTCACTTGGTGTTACTGTTGGTGCTCCCGCCACGTTTTTACCACAAGCTAATGTCAAAGTTGGTGCATTCATTATCTCCGCAAACGATCTTCGGTCCTAGAGACAAGATTATCGAAGGTTTTACCGAAGCGTGGTGCATCGCGAAAATCATCCGTCTCCTCAGCCCGGTAGGCTAACTGGTCGATTCCGAAGCCTACAGTGAGGAGTTCGAGCTTGCTTAACAATTAGCAGTCATGGACAATTCCCTTGACGGCACAAAGCTCGTCAAAGTAGGCACTTTATGAGAGGAACTGCAGCGACTCTCGGATCCCCCTGTGTTACCGCAACTAATGAACTTCATCGAGTATTTGCTCGTCGTAGACCCCAGCAAGAGGCCAATGGCTTCAGAGGCGCTCCTGCACCCCTACCTACAATCTTCTCCGTAAAATGCTAAAACTGGTCAGGCCTTAACCAATTGCTTTGTAGAGATACCTGGGAGATGTGTAAAGGAGACTTGAGAACCGCATGCCATTTCAAGGTCCTACCATTGAAACCTCAACTACAACATCGGCCTTCTTAAGGAGTGAACTTGTCAAAGTATGCCGTTGGAGCCCCACCAAAAAGAAGACCGCCTCCCGGGACATACACGTCCTTCCCAACTCCCACCGCATAGGAGCCATGGCGTGGTACTCTCATGGGCACAAGCTTCTCCCAGGAATCACGAACTGCATCATACACCTCGGTCTCATTGAAAACGCCGGATTCGAGTTGTTGGTTGCCTTCCCCGCCAAACGTGTAGACCTTATTCCCAATCCGTCCAGCAGCTACTCCGCCTCGAGCAGTGGGCATCCTTGCGCTGCTAGTCGTCCAACCCTTCTCAATGTTGCGGAGGTCCAGGATGAACACTTCGTCCTTGACGTTGACTTGCCCTCGGTTCCTCCCGCCTAGGACATAGAACTTGTTCCCGACGACCGCAGCTCCTGCATGATCGCGCCTCCCAGGGACCCTCTTTGCCGCTTCAGGAACATCAAGCCACTTGGAGGACTTGGTATCATATACAGAAACAGTGTCGACGGTATCCTGTCTTCTTTCGCCTTCAAGTTCCAGCAACTTCATACCTCCAGCCAAAAAGATCTTCCCATCGTATACCCCAACAGCAGCACTACCCGCCTCCTGCCCCGGCGGCATTGGCGGGATGGCGTTCCAGCGGTTACTTTCAGGGTTATAGAGCCATGAGTCTCCCACAGCGGTCCAGGATCTCGATCCATCCGATGCATCCGCCAAAGCACCGAGAACGTAGATCTTTCCATTGACCACAGCCGCGTTGACATGATTGATGGGTCTGGGTACTGGCGCTACGGTCTTCCAGGTGTTATCCGGGATCGAGTAGGACTGCACCAAATCGGTCGTGGCAATGGAGTCACCGTCCGGTACGATTCCTCCGAGTATGGCTATGGTGCTTGGTGGAAGGAATACAGTTGTGTGCTCCTGTCGAGGGGCCACTGTAATGTTTGCAAGAGGAGTCCATTTTCCCTGTTTGGTTGGAACCCCGAATGAGACATGGAGAGATGATATGAGCGCTATGATGGTGAATAATCCAAGGCTATGCATTGTGTTGGTCTGTTGTTCGCAAATGGTACTCTGGAAAGATGATGTGGCCTGCAGTTGACGTTGCCCATTTTATAGTACATAACGTGGGACTCTTCCGGCGCGAGACTACATGTAACAATCTGCGATGACAAACTCATCTCTGCTGCGCACTTTGACCATTACGCGACAGGATCGACCGCTTGAAGTGCAGTCAGTAAGACTGCAGAAATCACGACCAGGCACATGGATTACGCTTTTGCACTCCTCTGCTATCTCCGCACAGCGGGCTTACGATCAGGTCAGCATATTGTGCGCAAGTCGAAACTTGCATACTATGTAAACCAAGTAATTCAGCGGATTTGATGACCTTCTAACTTGTTAAAACAGAGCACTCGATCCTTGCACAACATGCATAGGCCTGGAACGGCAAGTTTTATACAAAGGCTGTTTAGACACTGTCAATGCTGATCTAAAAGTCTATGTCTAGCTAAAGAAACCCAAACCCCTTCCGTACAAAAGATGTTCAACTGAGAAGGCAATGCTCATAACTCAGGTCGCTGATCATGAGAACGTCACGGATCGCATCGTAAAGCTTGTCCACGTCGTCAGATTTAAATGGCAACCTATGACCAATGTTGAGTTCCACAACCCTCCGCGTGGACTCTTCGCAATAATCGTTTGCCAGTTTTCGGTGCCACTCGAGACCCGGATCCGATAGGCCGTGCATATGGACCGTCGGTATCTTCAAGATGGCTTCCTCTTCAACCCTCTCCGGAAACTCGAATTCCGTCGTGAGCGCGCCTGCCCTGCTAAGTGCAGGACTGGGTTTCTGGACCATCGGGTTCATTATCGAAGGTGGTGCGCGCCCGGCAAGCAGGATTCCGAACTTCCATTCCAACCCGTCGATTCCAATGGGCCCTGGACCAAGACGACCTTTGGGAAGCAAATGCGTAGCTTCCGCCTTGAGTCGTGTCTGTTGCTCCAATAAGAGGCTTGCAGCCACCTTCGCGCCTTGACTGAACCCCATCAAACCGATCCATGGTCCGGTTGCGCCCTCCTCATCATCAAGCAACATGGCACGCCGCAAACTCAGTCCGATATTTGCAATGACAACTTCGTCGGAAACTTCTTCCTGCGCGTCCTGCCATCGGCCCCAACGATAGAAAGGCCGAAGGTGACCATAGACAGGGACGATATCGGGGTGGGGTGGGCATTGGAAGGGTCCGTCGGCCCATACAAAACGGAAATAAGGCGCCAATTTCGCTTGCAGAGCCCTAGCTTGCATTTGAAAAGTGATTCCATTCACCCCGCCGCCGTGAAGGCAAAGAATGCGTGGTAGGGACAAGTGGTCCATGTCGGCGATGCTGAGAGCGAGAGAGAAGGAGAGAGAGTAAGAGATCTTCCAGAAGCTGTTGTGTGTTATAGCCGTGGATGGTGTGACGATGATTGTGGTTCAGAAACAAGTGCAACAAAGCTGAGGTCGTTGACGAAGGTCGCTGCGCGCGCCCCTACATTGGGACAAGAGGCAGGAAGGCTGTTGCAATCCGGCGGCACAACACCACTCATATAGGTAAGCACGATAAGTTTAGATAAACAAGCTGATTGGAAGGCACTATGCATCCTATGGGGAGCCGACCTCGTATCCCGGGAACCCGGAGTGTCTGCTCGGCTTATGTACATCTTGAACTAAGGTGTGAAAAGCCCCGACTTTGAGGACTTCTTCAGATATTCGCTTCGTTTCTAACTCTTCACTGCTGTTGTACCATGGCAACCTGGCAATATGAAAGTTAGTAGTCGCTGCGTCGTTAGACGAATGTCGCAAAACAGTGGATTTGACAGTGTCCAGTTTCGTGGACTGGTATGGAAGTCCCGTTGAGTTGCATAGTATCTATCTTACAAAGCCAGATAAAGAGGAAACCTCACGCACTCGATTCGAAAGCGCTTACACCTCCTCCAGTACTGCCTGAATGTCTAAGTGACAAAATCCCTTCTCGTTTGTTCAAGTCGCGACTGCGAATCTTCTCGATATCGCTTTCGGGGTATGTAACTCGCCTAGTTTTGCTTACTCTCCGGATCTTTCCTGTGGATAAAGCTCCTCTTCTTCGACAATGCCCTTCGCTGGCCTCCTATAAAGTGGCTAGGGAGATACCTAGAACTTGGCATCTTACGGAGCTCTTTGTGTCCTGAAGCGGTGGGCACAGCCTCATTTGGAACGCTATCCGCTGCATTTTCAAGCTTCTCATGTTCAAGCTTCTCTTTTGCCTGGATTTCAGCCCGTCGCTCAAGCTCATTTTCCGCCTCCGCAACTTCCTTTGGATCTTCGAAGCAGATCGCATCCTCATCCTCGGCGTCCTGGAATTCAGCCTCCGCCTCCTCGTCAAAGCCCATGCCATCGTCCCCATCCTCCATATCGGTATCCGCTCCTGTCGTGTTTGCCTCCAGGATTCCAGGTAGCTTGTCCAATTCGTTGCGCAACTTGCCTAAGATCTCCAAGGCCTCATTGTCATTGCGACGCACGGATGACTCGACGCATCTTCTAAAGGCGTTTTCAGCAGCGAGCCTCCACGCCTCGCCTTCGGACCAGTCGTCTTGTGCGCAGGCGATGAGCATGCAGTTCTTGATGACGTAGTACGGAGGAAGTGACTGGTCGCTGAGATTCTTCCTGACCTCTGCAATGCACTTTTCATATTCTTCCTGGTCGAAAAGGTCTTGGGCGGCTCGGTATTGCGCCTGGTAGGCGCGGCTGGGTGGATATGGGTCGGCCATGACGGCCGCGGTTTGGGGTTGTGGGTTCCAAGCGCAAGTCGCGGGCAAGGTTGTGGGGTTCCAAGGTTCCCAGATTGTCGGGTTGGGGGTTCAACACCACAGTGCGCCAACTCAGATTTTTCTTTTACTGTGTGCTCTATCCAGAGGGGAAACGAGAAGCAACAATCACATCATGTACTACATATTAATTGGAATCCAAGGCCGGGTCGCCCGTACCTGGGAACGAAATATCAACTGTCTTCAGCTTGGTAGAGTAGAACGTAGACCGATTTATATCGTATGAGATACGTATATGAGGCGAGTATTAGCTCAACTCCTTAACCTACATCGAGGCGACCTTCACAATTCGAATGTTCGCCGACACCGAAAGCCATAAGACCGTTGTCCCTGATTACTTAGCCCATCTTTGTTTGTAGAGTTCGTGGAATCATCCAGTTACAGGCATCAGTGGTCGCAAAAAGATATGGTGAACTTCAATGCAGCAGCGAAAGATGACCTGATTGCTACGCGAACACACCTTAGGAGGACGTGGTGCCTATGAAGACCAAACAAAGTATGATGCTAGCTCCTTTGAAGGCTTACTTCAAGCTATGGCCGTTTACATCACCTCTCTTTCCACATTACCTGGACGGAACTTGATAACATTATGAAAGTCAAGGGTAGCTCAGGCTTGCTCGTAGTGAGATACTGTAGTGAGATACTGTAATGAGATACATGTAATGAGATACATGTAATTTGTCAATGCAAAGTCCCGCAAGATTATGAAACCCATCTGTACTGGGAAGGGACGGTCAAATTTGCATTAACGGCTGTATTAATGTCGCTCCAAAACTATACGATTCAACTGCTACCTACAAGAAAGAGAGAAGCCAAATGAATGTCAGGAGCCTGCACCCTTCCGTTCGAACACCACACCTATTATCACTAAGGCACCAACTCCCGCCCCGTCTTCACTGTACAGCGTCCATCGTCAGGAACACCCCTCAGTAATACTTCGGATTCTGCGGATCCGTGAGGTCGAAGATAACCGAAGAGTGCGGCTTCGCGCCACCCCTGTTGGCAAACTCCTTCTGGAAGTCGATGCTGCGGTTGAAGCGCAAGGCGCCGTTGGGCAGGATATCAATCCACTGGGCCTTGAAGTCGGCAGGGGTATTCACAATGCCGATATCGCCAGTCTGCACAAAGTAATCCGTGACGAGCAGGTTCTTCTTGTCGGGCGAGACCTTGACGTAGTGAGGGCCGATGATACCCTGATCCTCATCCGGGTTATCGAGGCGCTTGACGTTGTTGAGGTCGGAGATGTCGAGGGCGGCAACGTGGTTTCCGAGCGTGAGGGTGAAGTATGCGAATTTGCCGTCGTCAGAGATGTCGGAGTAGATGGCGAGGTTGTCGCGGGCGCGAGGACCGAGATCGTAAAGGAGCTCGGCGACGCCGCGCTGGCCCTGAGGATTCGTACGGAAAGGATAGATAACCCACACCTGGCCGGGGCCAACGGCGGTGGCAAGGGCAGCGGATTCGGGGTGACCAGGAATGAACTTGACGTCCTGAATGCCTTGGCCGTTGGGAATGGTGATGGTCGAAATGATCTTGCGGCTGTCGAGCTCCCAGAGACGAAGAGTGTTGGCCTTCTGGATACCAGCGGCGGCAACAGGCTTTAGGATGCTGGCGGGGACGACAAAGTCGGAGGTGAGGATGATTTTCTTCTCCCAGTCGATGGTAAGACCGTGCGGGGAAAACTGCTGGCCCAGGATGTTGAGCGTGGAGTCCACATCTTCGGGCCACTCATGTATGATATTATCGTTGGCGTCAGTCTCCACAAGGCGACCAGGGGAAGTGCCCACAGCAGCTAAATCACAGTCAGGTTGCTTCATTAGACAATGTTGCGCTCTATGATGACTTACAGCCCATATAAGTGATGAAGAAGCCACCTGTCACGTGTATTAATGGATTGCTTTCTTTTTTGTACAGCAGAAGACTTCATTTACCATCTGGCTTCGCCCTGATCTCATCGACAATCGAGGACAAGACACCGCGGTTGCTCTTCTTGAACTTGGGTTGATAGGGATTGCTGGTATCAAAGTAGAAAGCAGTATCCTTTGTGCAGTCAGTTGAGATCTTTGGTGTCGAGTTCACATGAAACGCTCACGTACCTGACTCTTGAGAAGGGACAGAAGCCCACCTCCAACGAGCGTCTTTCCATCGTGCGAGGGGCCCAGATGATGCGGGCTGTTGCCGCTGGATGGCACATCTGTCACCCAGAGCAGAGTCCCAAAGGTATCATCGTCCAGCGAGTATGTGGCCAGAAAGTCCTTGTGCTGGTTGTCACCGGAAGCAGTCCAGAAATACCCGATTTTCTTGGGCTTGATGGTCTGGTTGCCGACGAAAGGAGGGCTCTCCAGAGGTGGCGTGGGGACTTGGAGAATGGGAAGAGGCGGAGCATTCTTCGAGAGAGGCTCAGTGACTCCTGGAATCGATGGAATCAGGGGAGGCAAGCTGATGCTAAGGCCGTGGACCGAACCGGCCAGTGCAGCAGACAAGATCGATTTGGTGAGCATCTTGTAGGAGAAGTTAAGGGAGAGAGAGAAGTTGAAGCTGCTGTGATCTGCTGAGTGCTCAAGTATGGGGTACTTATACTTTTTCCCATCATCATGACATTGCCCGTCAACCGCATGCGTATTGCGTTACACCTCCTATTGCTGGGCATCATACCGTTCTCCCAAGGTTCATGCGCGTTCTCATTTCTTGGATAGCTCCTATAATGGTGCTATCAAGCCCCGTTGTTGCGACAATAGTCAACTCAAGAGCAGGAGGATCGAATCGCGGGAAGGAGGACAGAGGCTACTAAGAGAGTTCGCCGACCTCAGTGTGCCACCTATCATAGCCTTGTACTAACGTGATTCCGAAGGTATAGCGGAAAACAACATACACTGCCAAGGCAATGCAGATCATCGGCCTGTGTATGGTAACTTCTACTAAAAGGGGCTACTTACAAGTCTAGCATAGCCTTCGTGGTAGGGATTGACAGGGGTTTACGTTCTTTTCGGGCCTTGACAAGCTGACAGTGCGGTATACACTGCAGAATGATCACGGCACCACCTGTTTCATTGCCAAGGCATGCAGGGTGTCCGGAAATTTCAACTGCATATGCGGCAGTCCCAGATTTGACCTTGAGGTTGAACACAAGATAACATGATTGGGACCCTGAATGGCAGGAGACCTCCAGATTCGGCCTTCAGAAGTCAAGAGTGATTGGTTCGAAGCATCAGGGCATTGGGCTTTCTTTTTCTCAACGCTAATGCATGCCTGAAGATCGATCTTTCGTACATACTCCCAGATCCTGTCAGGTGATCCAGGCCCAGAGAGATGCATGTCCGCCGAAGAGATGGGCCCTTCTGAGATGTCAATCTTATGTTGATACCTTTCCGACGAGGTTTTGGGGAGAAGAGGTTCTGGGGATTTGGGAGAGGATCGGTTCTCCTTTCGTTATATCTTCGTTGACTGCCAGCTTCCTTAAGCTTCAATCCACCGAATTAGGAAGCCCATGAATTCCTCTGACTCAAGGTCATCTCGATCCGTCACCCTCGCTGGATCTAGATATTCGTCAATGACCCCGAAAAGTGTGACATTATCCTTACCCCAGCAGCTATGCCGCATCTCAGAAACAAGCATTGGACCCTTGCAGTTCATCGTACCCTAGGGCAAGCTTGGCCTAGCTTGTTCGCGGTTGCTCGTGGTCTCTCCCGAGGTCGTGGTCGCTCGTGGTCGCTCGTGGTCGCTCCCGAAAAGGCGATGATCTGCGCCGCCCACCAGCCTCAACACCGCGAACGCAATCCTTGGCTATAATCGCGAACATCTAAAGTTCGAAGATCCTCATCTCTCAATGCTGAGAAGATGGAAGGCTTTTTTCGATGATGTTCTCTGTATAGGAGAGGACGCTAGAGACACTTTCCGAGGAGGTCATGCAAATCCAGGAGATTGCTGTGGAAAAAGAATGAAGTGTGTCTTCGCATATAGTGAGAGATAACATGGCGGCATTGCAGTCTCAAATTGCGTCCTTCATCAGCCGATTTCTTGTCTTTCGGTGACAACAAACTTGACAGGCTTACCTAGGTAAGTAACATTCCCTTTTTCCTTCAACCTTCTGCTGCGGTTGTCAGGTGACGGGGAGGTACCCAGTTGAAAAATAGTTAGTCAATTGATACAGATGAAGGCTACCGAGTGAGCTGGTAATCGAAGAAGAGGCAGGAGTTTGCCTGGTCGTTCTGACTGCTGCTCAGGGTAAGTGGTTGCGTTTTTGACTTCATTCTGTATTCGCTTTTGGTGGCGCTCGAGACCCCCCCGCTTCTCTGAAGAGAACCATGGTAGAAACTCATAAACGAAATATCCCTATCAGTAGGATTATGTGTAGCTGAATTGATGCATTTGAGTGCCATAGCGAGCGGGAAAGAGATCACGCTCCTCGGCGCTGCTGGTAAGCCAGTGTCCAAAATGGAGTGAATAGCCAGGGGGCAGATTCCAGTTGAATGGGTTGCTTGAATTAATATCGATATCCGTCCAACTATTCAGTTGAGATTCACTCGTACCTCTACTCCATATCATTAAGCCCAAGCTTGAAAATCGTGGTTTGGCGCGACGTATATAAATGTCCATAAATCGGCACAGACCTGCTCATTCGTCAATAGTGCCTGACGATAAGAAGTATCTCGAACAAGACTCTTGGCCCAGGCCCAAATTTGAGATGGACATGTATGAGTGGATGAAAGCTACCGATGGAAAACTTCCCCAGGCCAGATATTGATTCATCCATGGATCCTTATTGAAGCACACTAGCGAGGAAAGGGATCGCTTGGCCGCTTAGTCAGAGCGGACGAGATCATCTTCGCAAGTCATTCTCCATGCCGTTAACCACTCCACGAACAACATCAATCTCCTGCCAAGAACAAATGGCCAAATGAAGAGCGCGATTCTAAGGCTCAGAACATAGCTGCGATATATGCCACACCCACGGATGCTCTAGGTAGGACCCTGCTTCCTGGCAAAACTATCAAAAATGAAAAGTATTTGCTTTCGGCTTCCGTGGCCCAATCTAGCGCGTCGAACAAGAGGGAGTCTCTTTTGTTATTGGAGGAGTAATGCAATGGATTTTGACTAAAGTTGAGGTTAAAAACCGACCAGTGATGGTCAGGTAGGTGTAGTCGCATTTCGGATGACGGCTAACGTTGCTATTCACGGAAGGAGGCATAGTGATAACATTCCCTGAACCTTTGGAACCAGATTTTCTTCACTACGAGGAGCGTGCAAATATATCGGTATATATATCGCGGAGCGCTGGAGGGGTGCGGTTGCGCACGTGACCTGATTGGTTGGACCCCTCCAAGCTTCACCTGGATCCCAACGTCCACTACTCCGGAATAGCCTCTTAGGCATCACCCCGCCAAATCCTCACAATTCCCTCGTACTTCTCCAGCACCTCGTCACTAGAACTCAGAATCTCGACTTTGCTAAGGCCTACCGACATACACACTATAGAGTAGCCCATTGGCCTGACGTCATCCGAATCCACAACCAACGCCTGCGCAACGGGAGCACTCGTCAATCAATTGATCCTACCAATTGGCTCTGATCAACGCGAGTTTTTACTTTCAGCCAGCATGGCTGAGCACAGTGCAGCACCGGCGCAGCCCTCTTCTAGTTCCATCCCACGGTATTTCCGCAACGACGCTGAGCCCTCACGGAGGGACCCACACAAGCAGTTGATGGCATCCCTCAACCGTCTCATTACGGATTACCCTCCTCACCTTATCCCTCCCGGTGGCGGCTTGTACTATGGACCAATTTCGGTGGCCTACCTCTTCCACGCGCTGCACAAACTCTACCCAGACCTGACCCTGGACGGGTATCCGATGAACACATGGTCTGCAGCCTATATAGAGCAAGCGCAGTCACACATCAAGGAGTTCAAAGGCCCATCGCCAAGCAGGTGCGGAGTGAGCGACGACATAATGAGCCTTCTTGCCTTGTACGCCGTTACAGCGAAGGATACAGATACCGTAAAAGAGCTTTGTGATTTTGCCACTGTCACCATTGAAGAGGATGCTTCCAATGAGTGGCTTTATGGCCGAGCCGGCTACCTCTATCTCCTGCGACTAGTCCGTGGAGCCTTCGCTGATGACAAGAAAACTCTGGAGCTCATTGAAGACACGGCTGATGAGGTCATCGGAAACATTATGGATAGCCCACGACCGTGGAAGTGGAAGGGGAAGGCATATGTTGGTTCTGTTCATGGTGCCATTGGGATAATCACACAGATAGTCCTCACTGATCCGAGCTGCGCCCCTAAACTTGAAGCGGAGCTGGCTGCTATTCTCAGCTACCAGTACGACAGTGGAAACTTCCCATCCTCGCTTCCACCAGGACGCGATCGCCTTGTGCAATTCTGCCATGGAGCACCGGGGGTCGTTGCCTCGCTGATCTCCATCCAACAATACTTTCCGCAGCTGCAGGACAGAATCAGTCGCATAGTAGAGAAAGGCAGAGAGTGTATCAAAGAACGAGGCCTGTTGACCAAGGAGCCCTGCCTTTGCCATGGAATTACTGGAAATGCTCTTGCCCTCGAGGACAAGGACTTTGAACATTTCTTAACCTATACCACCGGTCACGAGATTAGATCCATGGAGAAAGATGGGATGCTCGTGAAGTCGGACGACCCATCGTCACTGTGGTGCGGCGAAGCTGGACGCGCCTGGGCCTGGGCAATTGCTGATAAAGGTCTGGAGAAAAGGTTCCTCGGTTACAACGATATCTGAAATGTGGCGACCGAAGGGTTCCCTGGATGTGTTTGGATAACATTTAATACGAGGCAAACGATGTCACGAATCACGAAAGCTGCATACGGGTAACCTTTTGCAAGGCAGGGTCGGATGTATCTCGACCTGCAGAAACTCTTGAAGGAAGGTGACTCTCCCTTAGGGTTCAGTCTGGTTCTTTGCATTTACCGAGTTGCACAGGCTCATCAGTTGGTGCTACCTATTTCCTGGTACTCTCACTGTAACATGTATAGCAAGTCCTCTTTCTCTTCTGTTCTCTGTTCCCATACCCTTCAGTGCAGACTACACCAAGGTCCATGGGGCGGCTACGGATACCACCATTGCCCACCTCGCGCTTTTGAACCAGTCATGGTGAGAAATTCCTAACACCATCCTGGGCATGGACACCCCAGCTTAGCTGGCGATACAGCTCTCGGATGCTGTCGCCTCCTTTGATCGACCGCTAAACCTTCTTTGCTGGCCCCTTCCGCACATTTATCCTCCCGTCTCTCTCAACACCAGCAGTCTCAATCGCCAATCATTTCCACGGATGAGTATCACAAGTACATGCCACGATCGGGAAGTCGACGGAGACGCAAAGCGTGGTGGGTACATCTTAAAATGGCTTTCCTTGCCTTGTCCTACAAGCCCGCGATGATGGAGTGACAGACCTTGTGGGGAACGGACGAATTGAACAGCGTTACCAGCGTCCAAAGTCACAGAACACTGTACGTGCGAATGCATATTTGCATGTCCAAGGGATTGCTATCATTGCGGATAGTATATACTTACAATTGCTGTCTAGAATTTACCCTGCCGTTCTTTGACCACGCTCCTCCTTCAAGTGACCCTGCTCCGCCTGGCATCCGCTCATTTTTCATTTTTTGGCAGTTGATCTTGGACTTCTAGAGCCAGGAATTTGACGTCGCTACCTCCTTGTTCAGTCATTGCGTCCCCTTCTACACCCAGGCGCTAGGAGCGGCCTAGATCTTGGGTAATCCACTTGTACAACTGTCGTCCTCTGCAAGATAAGCCAAGATGCGCCTTCCTTCAATGTCCATCGGAGTCATCCTCCTCACCATTGCCAGCTGCACATCCATACTCCCCCAGCTACCTGGACATGCTACCAGATCAGATGGAAATGCAGATGTCATTCTAATCACAGGAGTAACCAGCAGAACAGGGCAGGGGAGGTACCCACGCAGACACTCAGCCTCTTAAGACGCCTTACTAAGAAAGCAAACAGGCCATGTCCCCATCCGGCGTGAGATACAAGACCTCAAAGATAATTCCCCGGACCAGTGGAACCTGTATCTGCTTGGGCTGAGGGCGTTTCAGGCGGTGGATGAAAGTAATCCCGTTTCTTATTACGAGATTGCAGGTCTGTGAATCAGCAAAGTCCTTGAGCGTGTGGGTGCTGATCGAGATAGGGATTCACGGAAGGCCATATAAGATCTGGCAAGGGGCTGAAAAGGCACCAGGAAAGACGGGAGGATATTGTCCGCATGGGAATACACTGTTCTTTGGATGGCACCGTCCGTACTTGGCTCTGTTTGAAGTACGTTGGGAAGACGTGTCCGGTATTTCGATATCTTCTGACAACATAATAGCAAGAGCTATACCGGCACATTCAAAGAATTGCACAGCAATTCCCCGCGAACCTCAAGGCACGCTACATCGCTGCAGCCCAAGACTTCCGCATCCCATACTGGGACTGGGGCTTGGGGCCCAAAGGAGGTAGTGTTCCAGATTTCCTCCTAAGCATGACGATCGAAGTGCTGGAGACGGACGGCACGGTCAAGCAAATCCCGAATCCGCTGTGTCGCTATGAATTCCATCCCCTAGTTGCCGGTGATTTCGAGAGCAAGGTTCGTCCCGGAACCCCACTCATAACGTTCATCCTAACTTTATATCGCACAGTGGGCAGCATTCAACACAACCCTCCGATGGCCGTCCAGCGAGCTCTCCACCGCGGTATCGCAGCCCGAGAAAGTCGTCGCGGAGTACGACATGCGACGCCGCAACTACAGGGACAAGATCGGCCAAGCCTTCGCGGTTGCCAAGGGGTTGAATGAGTTCAGCACCAAGTTCATCGAGGACGTGCATGGATGGATCCATTATGCGTTTGGGGGCATGAAGCCAGACGGACACATGTGGCCGTCGGATTACTCTGCTTTTGATCCCGTTTTTATGCTGCACCATGCGTACGTCGACTCTTTCCTCGTCATCGTTTGCAAAGGGAAGGAGAGGAGATGTGGAAGAAGAGTACCCATATGAATTATAGGAGATACTTCGCTAACATTCGCCCAGAAATGTAGACCGCCTCTTCGCCATCTGGCAATCCCTTCATCCGGAGCAGTCCACCATCACCCCCACCCGCACCAGCACCTCGAACCTCTGGATCGACGCCAACACGGTCCTCGACGCCGACACCCCGCTCCTCCCCTTCTACCGCAGCCCAACCTCGTTCTGGACCACCAATGACGTCCGCGATACCGCGGTGCTCGGATATGCGTACCCGGAAACGCAGCGGTGGAATTTTCCGTCCGACGAGGAGTTTCGGAGCAGTTTGAATGCGACGGTTTCGAGGTTGTATCGGTCGAGTTCAAGGGATTTGCTGGAAATGATGGTTTTGCTTGATGAAGTGGATCGGTCGTTTGAGGATTGGAATGTGAGGGTTGGCGGGGGGAGGGGGAGGTTGCCGGGGGCGTTTATTGCGAGGTTCTTCTTTGAAGCTGGGGAGTATGGTGGGAAAGGGCGGAGGGAGGTGGGGGTTTGGATGGTGGTGACGGGTGGTGGGCATCAGGCTGGTGTACAGTTTGGAGAAAAGGGCAAGGGGGAGAGAAAGAAGGCAAGTGTGGAGGAGATGGATATGCAGGGATTGGTGAGTCTGACGTCCAGTCTACTTGAGGAGATCGCGGCGGGGAAATTGGCGAGTTTGGACAAGGAGGACGTGGTTCCATTTTTGAGGGAGAGGTTGAGTTGGAGCGTCGAAGCGGTGAGTTTTCCATCTCGTTTTTTTGTTCAAGTGCAAAATTGGGCAGAGGGATGATGAACGGAAGCTGATTCCTGCTCTAGGGCGATGGGTCGATGGTATCGGCCAGTGGGTTCAACAATGGCCTTGTCGTCGAGGTTGTGAGTACAAGAGTCAGGATTCCAGTGGATGAGGAACAGTTGTTGGAGTATAGCGATGAGTGGGTTTCGCATCCGGAGGGTACGAGGGGGAAGAGCGGAGGTGTCTGGTGGTGAGGATTAAAAAGAGGTGTGTGCGCTGATGGTATAACAATATAGGTCTGAAGGTCTGGAAGGGTGTTTCTTGATTACCGTTTCCTTCTGAGAATATGATAGCCGAATCTCAGCCGAATCTCCGGTCGTATTTCGCAATAGCATACGCTTTAATAGGAGGCACAGCAAGGCTCTATGACCGGGAGAGCTTCAGCCATCTGCTACTCATATCCCGCCTCGTTGAAGGACAAAAAAAAGTTGCAAAAACATACAACACCACGCTATTCGCACCTGGTCACCCACGGTACTACTCAACGGGCGCTACACGGCTTGTGTATGGTCGATCGGACGAGAGGCCCAATTTTCCGTGTGCTATGGTCGTATGTGATAACTAACATTTTGCATAACTTTATAAGCAAGGTCATGGAACTGCATTTGAACGCATGCCCCTCAACCACACACACCCATCACCCCTTAACACCCACAACAAACAACCTCGGATACCCCAAAACGCACCTCTCCCCATCAACCCTCCACTCGGACCCCTCCGCCGCATAAACCTCCCCAACCCTCCTCTCATACTCGTTCAAAAACGCCCTCCTCGCCCCTTCCTCCGTGATCCGATCCAAATAGGGCCTCAGTCCCGTACTGCCCACCCACTCGACAATATCCCTCGCGCCAAGCACAATATGCATATACTCCGTCCTCCAGACCTGCACTTCACCCTTTTTCGCACCCGCATCCTCCATCCAGCGAATATATGTTGCAGATTTTTCAATGGGGTCAAGGTCAGGGCGCTGGTCACTCTTCAAGTCGCCGATTTTCGCGCCGCCGGACGAGGAGTCGAAGAAGGGTGTCCATGGTTGAGAGGGCAGGAGGGCGGTTTCCCGCATTAAACTGTGCGTGGGTGCGTGGTAGTTATCAGGTACTTGGAAAGCGAGGATGGAGCCTGGGGCCAGGGAGGGGGAGGAGAGGAGGCGGGTGAGGAGGGCGTGGCGCGAGGGGGAGCGGAGCCAGTGGAGGGTTGCGTTGGAGAAGAGGAGGGTTTGCTGTTGCTGGCTGTCGTCTCCCTGTTGTTGGCTTCGTGGTTCGGATTTCGATTCCGGCATAGGCAATGTCCAGGTATTCAAATCCGCATGCACCCAGTCCACACCCTGCACACCCAGACTGGCGAATCGCCTGCGCGCCTCGTCGAGCATGTTTGCGCTGCTATCGACGCCCGTCATGCGGGCGCCGGGAAATGCATCCACGAGCGCCGCCGTCGAGGTCCCCGGGCCGCAGCCGAGATCGAAGATGCGGAGATGGGTGGGGGAGACTCGGATATGTGGGTGGATGCGGGCGAGAAGGTCGTGTACGGGCTGGAGGCGAGGGGTGGCGAAGGTGAGGTATTGGGATGGGAACCAGGTGTCTTTTTCTTTTTCTTTGCGGATTGGGGTGGGGTTTTGGGAGGAAGAAGGGGAGGGGGAGGACATGGCGTGGGTTGTTGAGAAGGGGCGGTAGGGGTGAAGGTCGTGAGGGTGCGAGGAATGGGCAAGCGTGAGACGGGTTGGTACGGAGGAGAGTACAGAAGCGCGGAAGAATGGGACGATGGAGAATTGGTGATGGAAGGTAGAATAGCTCTTCTTTTGGGGGATGAGGGAGCGCTGCTGTCTGGAAACGGCGATCTGAGTCAAGGAGAAGTGCCGCATAGTAGAGCTTCCAAGAGCATATAATCGAGCAGTGAAATAGGGCACTTAAGATATGTACACAAGTTTTAGCATGGTGAGAATAAGGTGTATAACATCGATGGACGTTCATGATCGCCACCTTTCATACTTAATCGGGATTAGCGTACACGGGTGCGATTCCCTTTAGAGTCAAGCGTTACCGCGGCTCCATCTAGCCGTGGATCTCTTGGAGTGATTATATATAATGAACCAGCAATAACGGCGACATGGTCTTTATATTTCTAAGCTTAGCTTTAAGCCATCCCAGAGGCGACGAAATCCGGGCCCTCAATACATTTTTCGCTTTTGCATGTTCTTGCATGTTGTTGCATGACAGTACGAAAATGGCGACACCATCAAAGGGGCACCTCCATCGTAATGCCGGTGACAAAGTAGACCATATAACCGCATGTGAACGCAAGCTTGTGCCGCACTCATAGAAGAAGCCTATAGTCACCGCATTGCAACTCGCACCTTGAAGACTTATTGTATTCTCGACGGCGATCGGATGATGGTCGGCAAATCCTCCTCCCGGTTTTCCACACTCCCCTGGTCCCCCTCCCCCACCGCATTAATCACCTCCAGAGACAACGTCCATCCGAAACCATCACCAGCACCGTCGAAGAAAGCTCTCATCCAGCACCACATACACATACACCCCACCTCTCTTCTCGTCGGGAATAGGTACAAGTGCGACCTCCTCTCAACTCCCACACACGCTCCAGCAAAAGGATCATCAAATGTGCAAAGGGGCGAGATGGCAGACACGTGGGCGGCACCCACGTGCAAAAGTGTGTGACTTACCCAGAAACGCAAAAAACCACAAGCTTGAACAACGCCGTCTCCAATGCCATGATAGGGTTCATCAACCATTGGCATCCCTCCTCCGAGAAGACGGAGTGAATGAGTGCCAGAAAGAAAAAGTGTGGTAGGCAACAGCCCCAGGGAGTCCGGGACCGCTCCAAGCTCATCAAACAACCTCTCGTATTATCGCTTCAGAAGAGGTATCATCCGCATGTTGCTTTGCTGATCCGATTCAGGACAAGAAAATTGACACCGTCCACATGAAAGAACCGAGGAACTAGGCCAACTCCGTCATTAGTATTCAAAGCATCGGCTCGAGGCGCCCAAACTCCTTGAATTGCTCAACCAGCACCGGCAGTGCCGAGCGGAGTCTGCTTCTGGAACGCAGGAGATCGGTAGCTCTGCCGGTGTGGCGATGCCGTTCGATGGCTCTCCGTCGATCCTGGCGGCTGCTGGCTGTACGGCACGTTAGGCGCGGCGAGGTCGTATCCCTGCGGCGGGCTGTTATGCGCACTCAGTTGCCCGTGGTTATGAGGGAATCCGCCGCCGACATGTCTGACGGAGCTTTCGCCGGCCCAGGCTTGGGGATTGTTGTCCGCCTGCGTGATCTGTGGGGCGTTCCGTTGGTCTCTCCGGGATGTTGCTGCGGACTGGTTTCTCGGTGCCGAGTCCATTGGTTGCGCCGCATCTGGATTCTTCCCTCGTTGTTCCCATTGGCGCATGATTTCCTTGGGAGTTAGTTCGGGCGAGCTGTCGTCATTCAAGAGCTCTACGATCTCTTCCGGAACCTGTGCTACTTGAGCGCAAAATCCGCTAACGTTGGGGAAACACATACCTCGCAGAACTCATCGTTGTTCTCAATCAGCTCGTGGACCACTTTTACCGCAGCTTGGTCGACGCTCTTCATCTCCTTGTCGTTATTCTCCCGCAAGATATTCGGCGCCATAACAGTAGCAAGATTCCAAGTGTCCATCTTATTGCCGCTCTCATCATCAACAGTATGGAACGACGACACCCATTTGAGGAAACAGAACAGGACCTCCATGGTGTCGCGATGAGCTTTCGGTAGCAGGCAGCAGATCAGATGTAGTGCCTTCTTGCGTTTGCGATCATCGTCGAGAGCTGCGAATGGTCAGCGCTGCTTCACTCTCCCGTGATGGAACCTACCATGTGCCGTCATAAACAATCGATAGAGCTTCAGAGTCAAAACTGGGTCTGGCATCAGGCGCAAGAACCGCTTGAGCAGGTTGGCCAATAACACCGGGTTCTGGGCGTTGAGATCCACCTGTTCCACGCCTTTGGCGTCAATCTCCTGCTCCAGGTTCTTCAACGCCTTCAAGCTTCCAGTCTTCCTGAACACTCCCTCGACGGACATATCCATGCTCCGCATGGCCGTGATGGCATCTTGAAGCAAAGCGGGCACCCTCAAAGTACCGGGGCCAACTCCATCGGTAGACTCGGCTCCATGCTTCTCGACCAGGTATTCCAGCGATTGTCTAAAGGTCGCCTTCTCCGACGTGGGCTTTTCCACCGACGAATTGTTCTTCTTCGGCTTCGACTTGTCGTTCTTGAACGCCTTGCCAAACCCGATCTTGCCCCAGAAATTCGATCGCTTCGTTTCGATCAGGTCAAGCAGTTCACCCTGATTGTACTGGTTTTCGTCTAGGAGGAGACCCAACTGAAGCACCGCGAACCCCTTGAGCTTGAAGTACTCTAGCGGCGACAACTCGGAGAAGTACGTCCTTGGTCGGCCCTCAGCCGCATGCTGGAGCTCCTGCCCTCCCGAAACATGGCGACGGTGGCCGTTCAGCAGCTTGGCCTGGTCGTTCCCCAGGAGAGCGCTGCCACCGGCCGCGAACGCGTTTGGTCGTTGCACGCGCTGCTGCTCCAGTGCGGCCATGCGTGCAATATCATCTAGTGCGAGCGAGCCGACTCCGAGCGTAACATTATCTGCCTCGTTGTGAGTATCCCCCTCCTGGACAATCTGCATACCGCCACGTGATTGCACTCCATCTGAGCCAGGTTCAACGGCTTCAGGTCCATTGACGACCATGGAGGTTCGGGCGCGTTTCATGGTACTTGACAGGTGCTTGTCCAGACGTTGTGACCGCAGTCTTTTGATGTCACTCATCGATTGCTCGTATCCCGCATTCTGATTTTTCTGGCTATCAGCCATTGACGAACCCGCATACGACTTCGATCGAGTATCAGCCCGCAAAAGCGGCGGCTCTAGGTCCCCGGCACGATGGCCTTGCGTAGAGTCGTAGCCCGCGAGGTTGGGATCATCTGACGTATGTGGGAGAGCGCCGCTGGTTCGTAGCGTGGCCATCAGGCGAGCGTGAGCGACCTTCAGCAGCTGCACATACTGGCGTAGCTTGGTCACCGGCTCGAATCCTGACTCGGCGTCTGGGATAGAAGGAGCACAATTGGGACAGAAGACTGCTCGTCTCGACTTGCTCCACGAAGCGCTCTGTGGGTTATTCCGCAGATCTGCATCGCATCCCCGACAGACCATGCATCCATAGTTGAAAGACATCCAGTCGTGACGCAGGCACTTGTCCTCGACCTGGACATCGCAGATGGGGCAGGCGTCCGCCCATCGTGGGATCAGAAGCGCGGATTCTGCGGCTTGGTCCTTCGCCGCTTCCTCCTCGAGCTTGGCATCCAATGAGTTGACCTGGGTCAGGAAGTGCGTCAATCCGCTGGCACTGCGCGTCTCCCGCTCCAGTTTGAGCGAGCCTTGGAGACAGATGCGGATCAGGAGCTTGAGATAGTGCGCCAGGCCCGTGACGAGCGATAGGAGTTCCTGCGTCACGCCAAGCCTCCTCACTCCGGTGCCTTGGGATTGGGTAAGCAGCGCAAAGAAGGCGACCACCTTCTTGCAGAGCAGCTTCGCTTCTCGAGAGTACGTCAAGCCTTTGGGGGTTTTGGCGACAAGCTGAGCGTCTAGATCGTCGGCTGCCGCAAACAGTAACTCAATGTGGACGATGAACTTCCTCGCTGCCATGACACCATCGACATAGGCTCCGTTGCTCACGTGCAACAGCATGTCCGAGATGCAGGTCGCAGATTTCTCTTCAAAAGCCGACAACGTCTTCCAGATCCAGTTGACCTTGGCTTCTATCTCTTCCTCCTGCCTTCTCACACTTTCGCGGACCTCATCTGTCGCCTCCCCATCTTGGTTCTGCCGCTCAAGGATGGGTTGCCCGGTTGAATGCAGCCGAACATTCCAGTACTTGTGGATCATGTAGCACTCGGGGTGCCAGTGCTGGTTTTGCCCATTGCGATAGATCTCGACGAACTGCTTCAGAATCGAGGTTTGACAGCCATTGCACCGTTGCGCAAACTTGGTCGAGTAGTGATAGTGGCAGTAGACGCTGCCTTCGTGTTCGTAGTAGCTGTCGGAAGCGCCAAACACGGTAGGGCATACCGAGCAGGTGAAGTGCTCGATGTGATACTTGTGATCGAGTGCGGTGATGTAGGACCCACGAAGCGCTTGGCCACACTCGAAACACAAGAGGTCAAGTCGGCGGAAATAATCCGTCTCGCAGAGCGGATATTGGTTCGGAGGCTTGTCCGGGACGGGGAAGAACTTGGAGGCGACAATCTTGCCGCAATCCTGTACACGGTTAGCCGAATGCAGGACGTGAGGGTGTCGAACCTCTCGTGCAGCGCATACGTACATGGCAGGTAAAGCACTCGAGATGATATGTATCGCCCAGAGCCCTGACGAACTGGCCTGTCAATCCTAGTCCGCACTTCCCACATGTCTTGCTCCGCTTGGGCTTCTCCTTGGAACCCGACTCCTGTTCGGCGGGGTCCGTCAATGACCGTGTCAGCTGCCCGGTTGGCTTTTGCGGCGACAGGGCCTGTGTATTCTGCATGTCGAGGGGATTCGTGTGTTGGCGAGCGAGGCCATTGGCACGGGGGTCGTAGGCGATGTATTGCTGTTGTTGCGGCTGCGACTGCGGTTGTTGTGAAGATCCCTGGCCTTCCAGTGAAGGCGGCCCCTCCACTGGAGTGCCCATTGCTCAATTATGCCAGCGCGGAAGTGAAAGTCGTCGTCAATCCAGTTCGGACAGCGGCGCGTGTGTCCGGTCGAGTAGTCGGAGTAGGGGGGCGGGTGGTGTGACAGCTCGGGTGCTGGCTGGCGGTCGGCGGGCGTGTTGATCAACAAACGAGCGAAGACGACTATGCGCGAGAACGGGAGGTCGGAATCGGACGGTGCGAATAGAAAGGCTTCGATTTCACACAAGGACTCGCAACGGTTGGGTTGGTATTAGGAGGAGATTGGGGTGGACGGGGCCCACAACGGCGCTGCAGCGGTGATGGGTGCGACAGGCGACGCAGCGGCAGGCGGCATGCGTGAAGTGCTTGTTGAGGAGGAGGCGGACTTGGTGGTCGAGTCACTCACTGCAGGTGTGCAGGGCGTGCGGTGGTCAGTAGTCGAATTGGGAGAGAGTGGGAGAGGACGAGTGGTGTGGTGTGCTGGGCAGAGGCTGAAACCGCCAGCCCACAAGCAGCAACCTGGGCAGGCCGCGGGGGGAGGAAGCGGAGGGCGGGCGGGCTGGTGAGAGCAAGGCAAGGCGCCGGGATGGCCCTGGCCGGAGCTTTTGCAGCACACGCAGACGGACGCAGGGCGGGCGCTCGCAATATTATTCAGATGCACGGCGGGAGTAGGTGAGCAAGGCTGGGACGAGTAAGGCAAGGCTGGTGAGGCGGGTTGTGCGTCGTGTCGAGGTGTTGGTGTTGAGAAGGTGAAGGTGGTAACTACACTGTGAGGAGAGAGAGGGAGAGAGAGGGAGACAGCACCAACAAGCAGCAACAACAGAAGCAGATGGATCTATGGCAGCACGCCCGCTCCAGCATTTCTCCACTATTTTTACTGCCTTCCCCTGAGTCTTCCTGCTTCCCCCTGGCCCTGTGCTCATATTATATAATTTAGAATAACAGATTGGCGATCCACCTCATCGCATTGCTCTCAGACACGCAAAGAGATGAGGATGAGACCCTCGCTAGCCCACAGTGCTTCTCCAGCAACCCGCGTTCGACTGCATCCATACTCGACGGTGTTTCCCTGGTCAACACCCTTCAAAGTACGGAGACATTAAGCCATAGTCTAGGTTTGATGAGACCCCTCAACTCTGGGCCCGGTGGTCCTCGGTCCCACTCCTTCCCGGATGGCGAACGCGGGACCCCGTGCGTTTTGATAGCTTGGCATCAACAACAGCTCTTGAACCTCGCAAACCAGCACTCAGCACTTATACAATAACACAGCATCCTCACTCGTTCCCTCGTCCATCGACGTCTCGCCAGGCCAAAATCCCCTTCCGCACCCACATTTCTAGTTCCGGCCGACGAATAACAAAGCCCCATCAAAGAGTTCCCTCACGTCGACAAAGAATCATTCCCACTCCCACTTCGGCCTCAACAACCACACAACCACATACACTCCTTCCCTCCCTTTCTCCCCAATCCACAATGGACGCCGAGTCCCCCAAGCCCGCCCCCGCGCGCATCGCCGAACCCCCGACCTTCCGCGCCCCGCGCATGATCTCGCGTCCCAAACCCCCTCCCCAGACCGAGGAGGAGCTCGGCGCGGAGCCCAAACTGGGCGACTTTGAAGACGTGCACGCCCTGTCCGTCTCCGAGGCGCGCGCCGTCGTCACGGCCGTGCACGCAGCGAGGCTGAAGAAGCCGCAGAACGAGAACCCCCTGGGGCCCGGGCGGCCACACAATGACAGCGTGTGCGTAGCCCAGAAACCTCGCAAATCGTTTGAAAACAAGAACGAACAACTATGGAGTACCTGAACCCAGTTACTAATTAGTATCCGCTCACGCAGAACGATAAACCAGTTCGTCGAGTACCTCGACACGTTTGCGCGTTACAAGCAAAACGAGAACCTGCACGCCATGTCGGGCCTGCTCGACTCGCACTCGGAGCTCTCGTCGGTGGAGAAGGCGCTGCTGGGCAGTCTGGCCTGCGACTCGGCCGACGAGGCCAAGACGCTGATTCCCAGCTTGACCAACAAGATGAGCGACGACGCGTTGGAAGCGCTGCTCGTGGAAATGGCAAAGTTGCGTACGTGCATACCTTTTTTGACGATGTGTGGAATCCGGTGCTGACTTTGGTGTACAGAGGATCGAATTGCGTAGATAGCATCGTTCCTACAACGCAGGTCCGGACAAGAAAGTAATGGAAGGGATGGAGATTCGCATGCATATACCCAGTTGGATCCATTAACAAGTGCCATCACTAGACCCATCGAGGAACTCGAGCTGGTCCGGGGAAACACGGGAGAAGATCAAACGAGCGATATTGCCCAGGGAGATGTGGGAGAAAATCAAATGAGCGATGATGATGTCCAGGGAGGCGACGCCTCAAAAGGCGAAGCAGAAGAAGATCAAAAGGGGCAGGAAACCCACGAAGGTGCCGGAGACTTTCGGCCTCTCTATCGCATCCGGGAACTTATTTATCCAGGGCATAGAAAGGAGTGGTAGGGCGCATTGGTAAGGAAACCTCAATAGGGAGAAATGGCGAGATACGGTGTCATTGCCGGCGCGACAGGACTATCCAACAAAACGAATACAACAAGTCGCAAAAAATGGCAGTTGTCTGAGCTCTGCATTCATGTCCGTAACCCACCACTCCAGTTACATCTTCCAACAACAAAGCAGTATATCCTGCCCATCGTCGAGTTGCGCTCCAGAGCCTAGCCCCTAGCCAGTTCTTTGCTCTCGATTCCTCGTACGATAGGGATATATAATACTGCTCATCACCAAAAAAAAACACTCCTCCTCCCCTCTCCTTTGCCATACCCATTTCCAATCCCATCACCATCACCATCACACCTACATATTCCAAATAAGCACCAAGACCACACAGCACCCACCATCACCACCAGCAACAAAACAAACAACTCAACCAGCTCAACCACATCCCTATCTATCTAATACCAATATCGCTTGCACAACATAAATATTGCTCAAACAAGAACAAGAAGAAGAAGAAGAAGAAGAAGAAGAAACGAACTTTAAACGCACTCACTCAGAACCTATATACAACCCCCTCCCCGGAGAAAAGAATCAACACACACGCATACAAATGCCATGCAGCGAGGTAAGCCAAACGTGCAAGAACCGTGCTCAAAAAGCTCAAAGCAAGCAAGCAATCATGCACACACACGCACCCAACCAACCTCACCAATCAATCAATATTCACAACGATGCCAAGCAGCAGGATATCACCTCTCTCTCCCCCCCTCCTCCTCTCACCCCCTCCTCTATACCAACAATCACACAATCCTCCCCCCTCCCCCATCAAACCACCAACAATTGAATTCCCCAACCTCTTTTTCCCACCCTCATTCAAACCCAAACGGATTCTGCGGAGCTAATAACAATACCACGTCAGCAACCCACTCTCATCATTCGAAACTCAAATCGGGTACTTACTCGCTTTGGCCAGATTCGCCCTCCCCGTCGGCTGCGGCACCAGCTTCTTCGCCGCCGGCTGCACTCCGAACCGCACTGGCGGCGGCGGGCCCGTCTTCTGCGGGACGAGGGGTTGCGCCTGCGGCATGGGAGGTATCGGGGGAACGGGCGGGGGACTCGTTGTCGTAGCTCCAATGCCCATACCCGTGACGGTCGGTTGGATGGCTGGGGGGAGGAAGCGGTTGATACCCGTGGCTTGCGGGTTAAGCGGTTGCGCCGGGAAAGAGGTAAAGCCCGTGGGTTGGGGTTGTAGCGGCTGGAAGGGCGGCCGAGGAGGGTCGTTGAAGGGGGAGGCGGTGGCCTGGAAGCCGGGTTGTTGAATTCCTGCTGGGAAACCCGTTTGCATGGGTGCTTGGAAGCCTGTGGGCTGAGGCATCAATGGAGGCGCGTATCCTGTGGGTAGGGGTTGCATGGGCGCGGGCATTGTCTGGAAACCTGTTGGTTGGGGCATCAACCCGTTCTGCTGAGGCTGAAAACCAGTGGGTTGCGGTTGGAAGGCGGGATTTTGCTGCGGGAAGCCGGTCATTTGCTGCTGCAAGCGTTGCATATTCAGATCTTGCAAGCTGGCACCAGGTGGTGATACTTGTGTTTGCATGTGGGGAGCGCCATTGTATCCGGTGAGCTGGGGCTGCAAAGGTGGAGGGGGACCGAAGGCAGCTTGAGGATTCTGAGGCGCTGACGCTGCTCTTTGCGGAGGAGGAGCAATGAGGCCGCCAGCATTCTGTTGCTGTGGAGCTTGTGGCCTCACCCGTGGCGGCGCCAACTGCTGTGGTGGGAGGGGCTGTATTGCGGCCACTTGTTCGAAAAGCTTGTAGTTAGCACCAGCAGGTTGGCTCTGCTCCGGTTGCTGTGCTTGTGCTGGAGGCTGCGGTTGCGCTGTAGGTGGCTCTGGGATTTCTGGCTTGATGGCAGGCATCAGCAGAGAGAGTTCACCCAATGACCCAGTCAGAGCTGGCACAGAAGAAGCCGGCGCAGGCGCCGACGTAGTGGCAGCCGATGCAGCTGCTGGCGGCTGCGTTGAAGCTGGCGGCGGTGATGCAGCTGGAGGAGGAGCGGTCGTAGAGGGCTGTCTCGAAGGCTTGACCTCCCAGGCATTATCTTCGAAGCCATCCACCTTCTTGTCCGGCACCGGTGCGGATGCCAGGGGCGTTGCGGTGGAGTCCGCAGGTTTCTTTGGCGCCTCATCCGACTTCTGCTCGAACGCCTTCGGATCGACGACGTCGTTTGTCTGGACAGGAGGTGCCGGTCGTCCCTTACGTGTGTTGTTTCTTAACACGCCTCCTGGGCCAGAGAACAGGCCGCCACCGCTACCTTCTTCCCCGTTCTCCGCAAAGCTCACATTCCGCTTGTCCCGCTCGCCAGTACGACCAAACTTGTTGTCCAGAAATTTCATCACTCGCAATATATCCCCCTCCTTCAATCCCAGCGTCCGCAGAAGCCTGTCGGTAATATCCGGCAGGTTCTCTTCGCCCATCTGATCCCTATTGAAAGCCTGTGCATATCGTTCGCAAATCTGGGGATTGACACCACACTGTAGGAAGAAGTCGAACCAGTCATACGAAGGCTTGTGTTCGACCGTGATACCCGCACCGCGTGCAGCTTGCTCCTTGGTTCGTAACATGCTCCTACGCTTGATATCGGACAATGGCTTATCGTCATCTAGAGAGACTCCCGTGACGCGTTCAACGTATTCGAGATCCTCTACGGACATCTTCGGGACGGGAACGGCGATCTTCACACCGTTAACCTTGTGTAGATGTATCTTGCCATCCTTGATGGTCAAAAATTCGGCTTCGACCTTGAAAGATCCAGTTCGATCGGTCCAGGTGCGGACTTTGGCGGGGTCTGCATCACCAGTTAGTGGATATCCTAGGATATCAGGAGGAAAAGAGTACGCACTCGGTTTTGATGACGACCTCGCCTCCTTTGCCGCACTGTCGCGTTTACTTCTCTGTACAGCACGTCCATGGTCAACATCCGCTTGCAAAAGACTAGAAGCACGCGCAGGCAATTGCAGGCCAGGGCCTACCTGATCAGCTCTACCATCACCCTCTTGCCGGCTCGACCTTGCCGCCCGACGAGCCAGCTCCTCCTCCTCCAGGCGATTCTGCTCAACCACAGAGCGCCCGGCGTTGATGCCGGAACGGTCCGAGGTTCCTGCGGGGTTGGATACGGCGATGTCGGTGATTTCGACGTAGTTGGAGGGTACGACGCCTTCCTTGCCGTTCTTCAGTCGTCGGACCTTCCACCACTCGTCGCTCGCTGAGTCGTCTATGATTAATACCTCGTCCCCGACAGCCACGGTCACTTCATCATCGCCCTGTGCCATGAAGTCAAAAAGCATATGTCCCTTTTTCTGAACATTCGAGTGTCCGGACCCAGCAGCAAGGACTTCGCGCAATCCCGACGCTTTTGCAGCTCCCGAGAGCTCGCCCAAGAAAGAAACGATTTCAGACGCAGTATCCTTCGCTCCACAGTGCAAATCCACGCTCTTGCTCGGCCTCTTGAGCTCGAGGAAAACATGCTTGCCCTCCTGGGAATAGTACTCCATCTTGTCGGCCGTCCATTCCTGCTGCTGTCCATCCCGCGCCTTCTCCGGTGCGAGCATGATGATCCCTTTGGGAATATTGATACCAAGCGTCACAGGCATCTTCTTATTCTTCCCTGGCTGTGTGATGTACTCGTAGATATTATAAAGATGATAGCCAGAAGCCGAGAGCGGGGTCTGCGGCTGTTCCCGCCCTTCAGGTGGAACATAGGCGTCAAAAGTTACGCTTCGAGGGGGCGGGGATCTCGCAGGAGGGGACTCGGGTGAACGGGGAGAAGGGTACTGTGTAGGCGGCGGAGAAATCTGCTGAGACTGCGGTCTCGCTGGAAGCCGGGGTGGAGGCGCCTCTTCTTGATCTGATTCTTCCGGCGTGAATTGCACCCGTTTTTGAGGTGCAGGCATGGTAGGCGGCGGCGAAACGGTCGCTCGAGGAGCTGATTGCTGCTCGGCCTTTTGCTGGATGATACCTGCAAGCGCAGCCGCGGGGCTCTGGTGGACAGGGCTCTCGGGCGTCGGCGGTTGCGGCTCATCGTCTGAATCCTGTGCAGGCGCAGGAGCAGCAGCGGGACGCGGAGGTAATGCCGGTGACGAGACGGGAGCAGCGTCCTGCTTGAAGTCTATGTAGTTGGACGGCGCAAAGCCAAAGTCTCCGTCCACCCCCACCAAAGTCCAATCGGGATCTGACGTATCGTAGACATCGAGGATAGCGTCCTCCTGGAAGGACAGCTCTTCATCGGTCTGGCGGGTATAATCGTAGAGCGCTTTCGCCTTGGAAATCGGGGTAGCCTAGGAGCAGTTCCAGTCAGGCACCATTCATACCAATCCAGTCCTCAACTCCTTATCCAGAAAACAAATCAACTCAACGACTTGATGTCGTATGCCAATCTTTCCATATCCTACACCCGTCTGCGCCTACTATGTCCACTCACCTCTTCCACATAATTATTCGGAATCAGCCCCTCGGGCTCCTCCTCGTCGGAATCGGCAATCTTCTTCTTCGCCCTCCACCAGTCATCATCCGTGCTCTTCTCCAACACCATCAGCAGATCGCCCTCTGCGAGGGCAATCTCGTTCTCGCTCTGCGGCACATAGTCGTAGAGGGCTCGGTAGATGCCCAGGAACACCATTGTGCGCGTCGGACGCCGGGCGGGAAGGGCGAGCGGAATGGAATGTCGGGGGATTTCGTTATGGAGGGAGGAATCGATGAGCGTAGTGTTACGGTTACGAGTGACGATTGTTCTGCGTGGCTTTGTGCATCAGGCGGGCGAGGAACCAGGTCTGGTCGGGGCAGCGTCGGCCGCAGATCGAGGGGGCTGGTTGGGTGCCGAAGTCCGCAGGTGGAAGGATGCAGGACGAAGGCCGCAGATACAGAAAGTAGTTATTGAGGAAGCCTTTCAAGGGGAAGTCATGCACGCAAAGCGGATGCAAACCCCAAAGAATGCAAGCAGCGCCAAAGCCAGAGTGTGGAATCGTCTTGAGGTGTGAGACAACGTCAGGACAAGCCAGGAGTGCGTGTGCATGGGCCTGGGCGAAGTGCAGCCCTGGACGGGATCGTTAGGAGCGAGCACGAGCCGCGGAGCAATGAGCCACAGCCGAAACGGCAAGCCACTCCAGAAGAGAGAGAGATGTGGCGGTGCGCCTGTAGTGCGACGGTGTACATACTGTGTATCTGTAGGATCTGCAGGATGTGGAGATTATTAGGTAGCTTCTGGTAATCAAGAATCTGCAGAAGTAAATCTGATTTGCTGTAGACAGTCTTTTCTGGACTCCAAAAAGGTTAACTTCTAGTGGCTCTTCTACTCCGTACACCATTGCTAAATCGAAACGCTTAAGGAAAATCCCAAAAAAATCAATTAGAATCAGAAGAGATGCTTCTAGTAGATGGTTCGAAATGCTCCTAGATTTTCAGCAATCCCGAACATCGACTCAGAATCCGCTTCCCTCAATCAACATAACCCTTCCAAGTAGCCCTTCATGACAAAAAAACCACATCCCTTCCCCCCGTGTCTAAATTCACGAAGCACGAAGCACAAGTCCTCATAGACTCATAATCATAGCTACGATCGCCAACAATCCCTGGTATCACTATCATGTCGTCATGTAAACCATCTTCCATGATAAAGAATATCTAATACGTATACCTAAACCCCTCGGTCCGCTCAATAACCCTCTTCCCCTTCCTCTGCTTCTGATTCGCCATGTAGAAGTACACGGAGAAGGCGGCTACACACGCGATAATCAGGATATGTGATCTGTGACCGGGACTTCGTTAGCACAGTGCTCAAGTACGCGGCACCACGACCTTTCTGAGTTTTTCAGCCCTTCCCGTCTTTCCCTTCGACTCCATTCTCCTCCCTTTCATACTTTGTTCCACCGCTCCTCCTCTAGTTATCCTTATGTTTTATCGTCTACCAGAAAGGCAAGCCAAACGGAAGAGCAAAAGCGGAAAAATACACTCACCCAATCGACACCCAAACGGCCGTCGCATACCTCGGCGCCTCGTTCCTCCTGACGATAAAACTCCCCGCGATCCCGCCCGCGCCGTTGAACGCCGTGACTGCCGCAGCGGTGAAGACGCGTTTCCACTGACCGACGACATTGTTGGCTTGGTACGTCTGTTCGATGCGTTAGCTCCTAATTTCCGAACATACAGGGAAAATACAACTTCCCCCTCGACTCTACCTCGACGTAACGATAGACACAAATTGAAGAGAAGCAGACTCACCGCCAAAGCAGCCCAATTCGCGACATACGCCCCCGTCGCGAGAAACGTGCCTACATACCGCACCGCCACCTGCTCCGCAAACCCCAGCATGCCGAACCCGGCGATCAGACACAGACAATTCAGCGTGATGATGGGCCCTCTCAACTGGAACCGGTCCCCCACCAGACTCGACAGGATCGCCGGAAGCACGGCGTAGTAGTACGGCGGCGCGGACAGCAGAATCGCCTTGTCGGCACTATACCGCATGCCGCCCTGCAGGATGATGGGCAGGAAGTAGGAGAGGGTGGTCGAGACGAGGTTTTGCAGGAAATACATGATGCAGAAGCCGTAGATTTTGAGGTCGGCCGCGTGCTGCAGGACCTTGGGCCAGGAGAAGGGGTCCGCTTGCACGTCGCCTCTGTCCCGTTGGATCCTGTCGGCGGCGATTTTGCTTTCTTCGGGCGTGAGGAAGAGGAAGGACGAGGTATGTGCGTCTTCGGGGAAGGAGGGCATCCACCAGTAGGTCAGGATCCCGAAGAACGCAGTAATCGCTCCTTGCACGATGAACATCCACTGCCACCCTTTCAACCCTCCTCGTCCATCGAGCCGATTCAGGCCGAAATTCACGATTCCCCCCGTAGCAAGGACGATGACTTCCCCGCTCTGCATTAGCGCGAACCGAAGCTGTTGCTCCTTTCGCGTGTACCACGTCGAAATCACGTACGTGAGTCCCGGGAAGACGCCCGAGCACGCCATGCCCAGCAGCACGCGCAGGGCAATCATCTGCGACCACGTCGTCACGAATGCCGTGCCCAGCGTGATGAGGCCAAACGCAACCGTGATGAGGGAAAACCAGATCCGGGGGCCGAACGTGCGCACCGCAATCGTCGAGGGCAGTTGGAAGGCGATGGATGCAATGGTGAAGATGAATATGGAGACCGAGAAGCGGTTCCCTTGGTCCAGGCCGAGGTCGCGCGGCATCGAGGTCACGGCGGCGGAGGAGATGACGCCGCTGTCCAGGAGGTTGAGGCTGCAGAGGATGCCGGCGATGGTGCAGAGGCGCAGGTCGACTTTGAGGCGGATGCGGCGCTCCAGGTCGGATTTGCTTTCATCTTGCTCGCGATCGGGGAGGGACTGGATTTCAACGAGGTTTTCGTTGGGAAGTTCGTCCCCCTCGCGCGGTTGCGGGGCCTTCGTCATGGTGAGAGGGGACGATGGGTCACATGGATGCGGCGGAAGAGGTTTTGTACTCGTGAAGAAATTCTGGTGTGGGACATACTATGTATAGTACGTGGTCGTACCTGCAGCGTGCATCTAGAAGGGTCCACTTGTTCGGACATGATCAACCAGGAATCTGCCGAGGTGCGATATCGCCATCGGCGCGGTCAGTCCTCGAATACCAGTCCCTCTGCATCAGATGCCTATCCTGATACGATCTTTCCACTGCAGGGAGAGTTACCGGCAAGGTATCTCGACATTTAAAAGAGTCGGACGGTCACGCAGCGAAGGCTAGTGATCCGAAACCTCTGATATCCTAGTGGGGAGCGGCTTATTAGGTAGAACCCCACGTAGACTCCTCGTCTACCTAGGTACCAAGCCGCAACACACGTGCAACATACAGATACTAACAAGCCATCATTGTCCTCGACCTTGTTGTATCCGCGGTCCGTTTATAAACAAGCCAAGCTTGTGCTAAAGACTCAAGATCTCGGAGCCCACTGGCCACCTCGAAGCCGGGGGGGATCTGCGAGAGATTGCGGGCTCTTTTTATTAGCGCACCGAGTTTAATCGCACGTCGACCCTGCACTTCATGGGGAGCCATAGTAGATAGATGTCAAGTATGAAAAGAAGGCAAAAAGGCATTCCTGGAATACAATATAAAAGATGTCAGTCAGTAGTAATAACGGCGGCTTATTAAGGAAAGCGCTGTAGACTGCTACGCTCCCGGCATGGGTCTTTGACTGGCCGAAAGAGGAAGGCGAGGCTCGGGGATGCCGTCGGACGCGGAGTGTAACCTTTTGTTTTGATTAAAATAGGACGACAGTGCAAACTGTTACGCTGCGATATAGGGTTGTAGTCTTTTTTAGCCGGGTTGCAGGTTTAGTAATCTCGTACCTGGATTCCATGCGCAGCCCTGGAGGTGCCTTCTGTGCACGTGAATAGGCCGTGGACCTAGCAAAAGCATCATGTGATATCAAGAGCAGGTGTGGTTCGACTTACGAGCATAAACTGCGTAACCCTGGCGGCAAGCTAGAGTATTTTTCAATTCAAGGAGAAAGATAATTGCGCTGTCGGCGTGCCCGTGTCGGGGTCGGCCTGCTATACCTAGGTATCCTCCTCGCTTTCATCTACAAACAGCATTGGCAGGGCTCCATGTCGATAGTTGGCATGCACTCGGATGATGCATACGGGGGCCCTGTTTCTAGTGAAAAGGATCAAACATTCCCAAGGACGAAGCGAACGAGAGGAGGTACATCAGCAGCGAGGTCGCGTTTGTGGGGTCGCATCATTTTGCAGCAAGAGTCGTGGAGAATTGCTTTTGCCCGGATCGGGGTTCAGGCTGGGGCCGATTGCAGGGTAGTCACTCTGTGCAAAAATGGGTGTGACCATGGCGGACGGCCGAACCGGTAGACTGGGTCGTGGGCGGCATCGAGGGCGTGGAAATACAGTAAAACCCCGCAATAGGGAAACTGACGGTTGCACTCTAATCTTACCCTATTCCTGAAGGTTTCCTTATAGTTACTGAATATGCTTATATAATACAGATTCATTAGTCAGCAGGGCATTTTGCCCTAGGGTAGGCAATTTACCACCAAATGCGGCATCACTACTGCCAAATATGGCTAGTTAAGAGCTTCAGGAATAGGGAAATATATGGGTGCGGCCTAGGGAAAACCTGAAACCGCGGGGTTTCCCTATTGCCCATACAAATTTCGACGGCGGCGCGGAATTTTCCTTATTCACGATGGTTTACCTAATCTCGATGATTTCCTAATACCGAGGTTTTACTGTAGTGCGAGATGGACGACAGCAAACAATGGAGGGGGCTGGGTCGCAGCAGGGCTGGGCGAGGTGCTACCAGGGCCATCAACTTGAGACGAGAGGTGCAGAGGGCGAAAAGGTGGATCGCAAAAAGGCCGGGGGAGGAGCGACAAGTGACCATGCATGGATCTGCGTGGGCGGACATGGCATGGTGCTGGCCTGGTCTTGGTGCTTGGACGTCGTGAGTCTGGTCATGGGCAGCATCTTGTTGATTGTCTCAATAATCAGAAGCTTGGACGACTCACGCGAGAAGAAAGCTGACGTCGAGAGTTCGTCTGAGACGAGGCCGAGACAAGACGCTGAGCCAATGGAGGATAGCAGCAACGGGGCAAGCTTTGGGCCTCTGCAAAGAAGAGCTACTGGTACTGTAGCGGGATGGGAGCACCAGAGGGGAGTCTTGCAGGAGGGTAGCTGCAGGCAATACTCCGTACTCGCGCGATCGGTACCTTTTTTCTCACGACGCTGGATGGTGCACTGCAGGAGCGTGTGCGACTGTGACTCGGGACGGGGATCGTCCGGCATTGGGAAGAGCCCTGCATACCCACCGTGTGTGTGTACCATCATTCATTTCGAAAGAGGTCCTGGGGCAGACGCAGTCCCATTCATAGTCATGATAATAATGATAGAAGAGTTCAACAAGTGAAGCTGATGAGCAACAAGGCGTGGAGAAACCTTGGCGGGCTGAGGGGATGTCACCCTGGGCCGCGTCCGTCCGCGGGAGGAAGTGACGCTAAAGGGAAAGCCGGACGGGGAAGGCGCGGGCAGGGCAGCGGGAGCCGGGGCGCGGCGCAGCGAATTTGGTCCGGCGCGGCCAATGAAACGGAGGGAGCCCGCTATCGGGCGCAAATTCCTCGCAATCATGCCATGACGTTGGCTACGCGCCCGAAAATGGCGACGGGGTACGACTGTGACTGGGCGGATGGCGCGCATTTTTGGGAAGGGTGCATCTGCGCAGCAACTTGCACTTGTGCAGAGCGCTGCAGCGGGCAAGAGAAAGGAGAGGCGAGATGCAAGATGGCGGAAATCATGGGACCAGGCGAAGGAAGAAGAAGCATTGGGTGCGGAGCGGCGTGGAGCGTGCAGCTGGAAAACAGCACTTGAGCACGGCCAACGCGAGAAGAGGAGACAAGGAGAACGTGCACAGTCGCGCTCCTGCCTGTCAACAAAGGCTACCTGGGCAGCCACGACAACAGCACACCGCCGCGTATGATGAACAGAGCAAAACGTCATCGCGGACCTAACCTGCCCCGCCATCCATCTCACTCTCCGGTCGGGTTCCCACATGGTACCCCCCTTTTTCCCCCTGCGCGCCCAAGTGTTCTGTCTTCTCTTCTGCTGTTCTCCCAACGATTCTGCAGGGCGCCGTTCCGGGTGGCAGAAACATTGGAACTGGCAAGAGGCCCACGTGCACCAAAAGTTGAAGAAAAACGTGCTGACTGACAGATGCAGAAAAAAACACGGCCAGCACGGGCTGCTAATGGCTGGTGGCCCCCGGAAATGGGCGCACGGGCCCCGGCCTAGCGAGGGCAGCGTCGAATGATATGAAAAGCGCGCCCTCGCTCCAAAACCAATCCGCTCTCTCCGTCCCTCCTCCACCTCACCCCGTCCAATCACCCGCCCGCCTGCAACACCGACGCTGCTCCGTCCACGGGTTCTTGCAATTGTTGCACTCGGCCCTATCATTGCTGCTGTTGCTTTGCAAAAAGGTAGGTACCATACCTCTCCCATCACCCATCACAGGTTCTGCCCAGCACCAGAGAGACCTGCTTCGTTGGCCTGCGAGTCTACGACGCGCTTCTTCCTCTCAGCCTCTCTTCCTCCTCCCTGCCACATCCATACATAACTGCAGAGATGCCACCAGCCGCTAATAAGGACAACAGCTGCAGGTTGCCCGCCCCAGCCAGGAGGGCAATACCCAGGTGCCTCACCACCTGCACCACCCTCCCGAGGTCCTCTACAAATCTCGTGACTGCCATCTGCTGCGGTTCACACGCCCGTCGGTAAGTTTCTCCTGTCGCTGTCCTGTCGCTGTCCTGTTGCTACCCCTCTCCGCTCTGCCCCCTTGCTCGAGTCTCTGTTCCTTCTCTTTACTTCTCTACATCAATATCCATCGCTTAAACCCGTCTTCACATTGCTCCCTTCTGTCCGCCCACCATCACCGCTACCGTCGCGATGGCTAATATGCAATATTGTAGCAAAGGGAACACCAAGCTCGTCAAAGGCTTCGGCCCGCCCTACCTTCAAGAGAGAGCTGTCGCCCCTCCACTAGTAACGTGCGCGTCACGTCCATTTATATCATCAGCTCTCGACATTCTGGCCCATTCCATCTCCGCCTTCCAACGTTGCGAAGAGCGCCCTAGCAAGCTCCCGCCTTGACCTAGCAGCTTAGCAGCACTCGTAGCGTCAACGGACGTCATTATTTCCCTCTGCGTTGCGACGCGTGGGTTTCCAAGGTTGCTCGCGACGGCTGAGTCAAGTCGGTAAGTGGACCAAGGGCCTGCATGAACCTGCATTGCCAACGCATCATCTCCAATCGACCTCCCCCGCCATCACAGGCGCTCCCTTCACTTCCCTCCAATTGCTCTTGTTCCCGCGTCCTGATCAAGCACTGACCGAATTGTCCCTTCTAGAGTGTAGCCCTTTTCTCTTCGCTTTCCATCCTACTGGCGAAATTCCACAACGGCCCTTTCCCCACACGGCGCGCCTCCCATTCGACCTCGCCCTCTCTATCCGCACCTGGCTTCCGGGACGCCTGCCTGCCCAAGCGCACCGCCTCACGGCCCTCCGTATCTCAGCTGCCCAATTGCCCTCGCTGCGCCTCCATCTGCGCTGAGGCTTCGACTGTGCTTCCTTACCCCGGAAGAGTCGCCTCATAAGCGTGGCCATTGACAACGCATCAAGCATCTGGCCCTGCCGTGACGTGACCCACCTTCGCTGCCGTCCCTAGATAGACCAGGCATCGCGATATCTCTAGCAGGCCATAAGCAAACTCTCCCGTCAAAACAGCTTTTATCCCCTCTCAGCGGACCGGCGGGCATCCTTCCAACAAGCCCCGTCGTATCAAGTCGAGCCCAAGACTCCAGCTTCACCAGGGCCTTGCACTGCGCCGACCCTGCGATCCACGTCACCATTGGTCGCGCCTTCATCTCGCCTCAGCTCCAGGCTCCCGCATCCCACCAGTCGCTGCGGCTCTTAGTATTTGCACGCGTCTGACCGCGCTTCCTTCTCATTGACTCGCGAATTCCTACGCACACCAAGTGTCCCAATCAGCTCCTGTAAACGGCTCTCCGGCGACAAGGCCTACCTGAGACGCCATATCCTTTCTTCCGCACCGAGACTCGATACCGCAGGACGAGTCTGTGCTCCATAGTGGCGTATCTGGGGTAATACTCCCTCCACGCCGGTTCCAAGTCGCGTGTTGTTGGCTTGTTCATGTACCCACAGAAGCCTACAACATCTCCAAGGACGTCTGATATGACAGACTACGCGCAGTACCAGCATGGGCACGCCCCAGCTCACATGCAGAACTATGGCGCCCAAAATCCAGCCGCAAACCCGTCGATAACATCGCCGACCCAGCAACAGATGCATCAATATCAACAAACATCACCCATATTGCCGTCCCAAGGCAACCCCTATCCCCAACCCGGTGGACCCAATCCTCAACATCAGCAGATCAACTATGCGCAACCTGGATATATGCCTCCGGCTATGCACCCTCAACAGTATGGAATGTCGCCCACACAAGCCGCCGCAATGGCTACCGCTGCCGCCGCAGGACCCGGTGCCTATTACGATCAGACCCTACAAGGTCAGATCGGACAAGATCCTCGCGCATCGCCTCGTATGGCCGGAACCCACCTCAAGACGGATGGTCGCGTCGGTCCACGCTCCCCGACCAGCGTGTCGAATCCCATGAGCGCCGGCGGCCTCCCGTCCCAGGTACAGATGGCGGCTGCTCAACAGATGCAACAGCGACGGATGAGCACCCAGATCAGCAGCCCAGCTATGCAACAGCCCCAGCCCGTCATGGGCCATCCGGTTGCTAGACCACCAGGACCTCCCCAGATGGCGCAACCTCCCCAGCCGCACCCGCAGTCTCCCGAAGTCGTTGGCACTACGCAGACGGAGGACACTCCTCTCTACGTGAACGCCAAACAGTTCCATCGGATCCTGAAGCGGAGAATAGCGCGACAAAAGCTCGAAGATGCTCTGAGATTGACTTCCAAGGGTCGTAAACCATACCTGCACGAATCGAGACACAATCACGCCATGCGGCGACCACGCGGGCCCGGTGGCCGCTTCCTGACGGCTGAAGAGGTGGCTGCAATGGAGGCAAAGAAGGAAGCCGACGGCGGCGATGGAAGCAATAAGGAAAACCCCTCCTCCGACGCCAAGCCTGCCGCTAGCAACGCGAGTGCCAATACGGCCGCAAAACGGAAATCCTCGGCGAACCACACCAGCGATACGCCTTCGAACAAGAAGACGAAGACGGGAGGCCCCGTGCAACGGTCGAATACGAGTGAAGAGGATGATGACGACGACGAAGACGAGGGATAGGAGACTTGCTAGTTCCCATCGACCTCTCCACCCCCGTTGGTCCGTCTTTCGGCTCTATTCCACAATCATGTTGAGGCCTTTTGCTTTCTTGCCACCTTTTAATACTCTTACGATGTCCACGAACCGAGTGCTTGATTGCGCTTTCTACTGCTGTCTGCAGGTTACCCAGATTTGGTTTGTGCATCCAAGACCCGCCTGGCACCTGATAGCATGCGCTGTGAACGTCACTCCAACCAAATTGTTATCCATCACACGAAACATGTATCAAGCGACGGGAAATTGGGAAACTCCGGTATACAAATGCATGGGAAGGTTGAGTGGGCAAGGAAAGTGATTGACCCGCCCGAGTCGGCTGGTCCACTTCTCGAGTTGTGTGTTCTTTTGGACATTTACTATGCTTTTACTGGAGGACGGTGTCTCGAACCTTGATGCCAGCCTTCTCGGTACCTCATTGCTGTTGTGTCCCTTTCATGCTCCTCGTTGCCTTTTTCCTCATTTTATATTTCCCTTGGCCTTGCTGAGCGCGGCTCTGCGCGCGCACACACACAGGCATGATTAATCAATACCCACATTCACTGGTTATCGTAGGATATGACTATGAGGACGGAGGGAGGGGTTTGTAAAGCTTTGGAATATTTATTTAGGAGGACGGGGAGGGCTGTCTAGTTTTATCCAACTCTACTCTGGTATCAAGCGTAGAGCGGGGGAAATGGGGAGGGAACTATTGATATCTATTAGAACCTGGGGAGGGCTCCTTCAGCGGAAAAAAATGGAAGATTTTTGAAATGATAGTTGTTCATGTTCATGGTTGGTAGTGTTTGTAGGGTTGTGCGATGTGTATGTTGTAGAGGATGTCTAGCTTGCCTTGTCTTGCCTTGTCTTGCCTTGTCTGTTAGAGGAACTTGTGTTGTTGTTCTCTTTGCCCTATGTTTCTTAGTATGTATACGTTGATTGATTTCCTAAATAGATATGCTTTATCTAATTGCCCTTTTGTTAACTTTTTCCTTCCTTCTTTGCTTCCTTGTTTCCTCCCTTGTTTCCTTCCTTCCTTCCTCCTCCCTTTCCTCCTTCCCTTCCTCCTTTCCTGCCTCCTTTCCTGCCTCCTTTCCTGCCTCCTTTCCTGCCTCCTTGCTACACATGCTTCCCCCCCTCTTAGCTAGAGTAAAAACTACTCTTACCTAAGTAGTTATGTTTATCTTAGATCTAGACGGACAGGGTTTTAGCTCTGCATTATGCAAGGGGAGTCGCTATACTACTACCTACTTACTTACTTATTACTACCTAACGTCTTGCTCTCTTCTGCTCTGCTCGCTTTTTTACTGCCTATAAGATTTTTATGTTGTTTTCTTCTTCTTGCTTCTAGCTTATTTGCTTCTTGTTTCTTGCCTTAATCTGCGATAGTAGAGGTAGAGTAGAGGTAGGAGGGAGTTGTAGCTAGGAAATTTTCAATTACAGCCGCTTACTCTGTTAGTTACTGGGTCGACTTGGTCTACTTGGTTACTTGGGCATGTACCGAGGGAGGGGGGTTGGGGGACTAAGTACCTAGGAACGAACTAGGCAAACTACAATTCTTATTTTATTTATCCCCCTCACCTCATTGATACCTGAGCCCCAACCTTCGAACCGTAGTTACCCAAAAAGTACGTTAAGCTACCTTTTGCCCTTGTACCCACTTCCCTTACCCCATTACGCTTGTAACATGATCTATTCTCCTACAACAAAAGGCACATAAACAGCACCTTTTGCAGATTCGCGTCTACCGAAATTTCGCCTCACTTACTACTATGTACCTATGGGACAACAAAAGATTAGAAGAAGGTGAACGAATTACGCGGAACAATCACACATCTTTTCCACTATTGATTATACTCCTAAAACTACAGCAGCCGTGTGTTTCAGGGAATGAAGGCGAAGCATCAGAGCAGTACCGTTTCGTATTCACGCATTTGCATCAGTGAACCATCAACCCTTGTACTATCTCACACCGCAAGTGCACCGCGTCAACGACACAGACATTCAACCCCTCTTCAACACCTTTCCCTCGAAATGTCAAAAAAGCGAGCAAGAAAGAACAAGGAGACATCAAGGTACTTCTCCCCCGTACTGCAGGAGACGAAGAAGCTGGGGTTCTGACGCACGAGGACGTACAAAGCACCGGGACAGTAGCAACGGGGAAAGTCAAAATCCCCGCCCCGCCGTCATTGAACTCTCCACCGCACCAACCCAAGTAAGACTCAGCGGCAATGGACATCTCCTCGGGCCCTTGTCTAATAATAAGTGGCCCCGGCCTCAGGTACATGTCAATACTGTGAGGTGATACTGCACTGGGTGCCAGCGCGGTTAGACAATGATCAACGATTCGATGACTCATATGCAACTTCGAGGCGTATGTTGAGGCGAACCAGTCCACTGTGAATACGTTTTCTTTGAATAACAGCAGCAGGCCGGCTAGAAATAGCCCTCAATGTACGTCCGCGGCGTCTTACCCAGTATTCCATTCCATCTGATGTTTGGGACATGGACGCCACATATCGGTTCACTCGAACAAAAGCGAAACCGAACGTCTCTGCGGGGCACTGCAGCGCCCAGCTCTCGGAAGAAGACAACCGCCGTCCGCAAGAAGGAATTCCGACGGTGGACTTATCGCGCTTGAAGGCGTGAAATCTTGCGGAGAGCGCATAAGCGAGATCAGGCCATTGGATGTCTTGCAGTCGGTAACTTTGTGGTGTAACAACCAATAAGGGATCCGCATAGGTGTTGGAATCCTGGTCGGCGGGAGGAACGGGCTGGAATTTGACAACATGCTCGCGTGGCTTTTGTATTGTATGCGTCTACGAGGCGGGGATGGCGTCTGATGCAGCAAGTTTGCTGTCTGGCGGCTAGAGGACATGGCAGAATCGTTGAGAAAGGACATACCACTTGATCTCTGACAAGGCGACAGCAGAACGTGCCGTGGAAGCGCGCTCCTTTGAATTCACCTGCATGTTAGCTTGAACCCCCTGCATACAGGTGCATTCAAGGTCGAAAGTCGCCCTACTGACCGTGACACAAACCCTGACCAGTAGAGAAAGAGCATACAAGTCGCAACATGTCGTCGTATGCAAGCAGTGTCGCCCGCATGCATTGCTCGTATTCGGCCGTAGTGGGTGATCAGAAAGGGTACCAGCCGAACTGTCTTGGAGAGAAGGGATGGCAGTGCGAGAACCAGAGAGACGTAATAAAGGCCGGATAAGCGCAACGACGCGTTTTCAAACGTCTCACAAAAGTGAAACTCCTCAACAAAACCGTTGGGCATGAGCCTCGTCGTAAACCAACCTCAGTCCTATATCGTCGGTCACTAGCATTGCGCTTTCTTCAGGTTGTTATCTGCAACAACGCCTCATCCGATTGACGATGGGCGGTCGGGATGTCTACCGCGCTTCCTTCACCGCTTTTCTCGGTAGGTATGCAGTGACGTTGCAATCTCGCGGGCCGATCGCGGACGGGTCCTGCTCTGTCGGGTGCGCGCGGGAGGAGGAAGTGTTCCCACCAGTGTTTGTATGGACCTGGCGAACCCCGGTTGGGCACACGTGCGGCTCCACTTCCGGCGTATTTCTTCTGACGAACATGGGTAACACCGTTGGTGGCGTAAGAGTGTTAGGCGGTTGGTGCTTGTGCCCATATTGCTCAAGATTGACAGCTAGTAAGGCTCGTAGAAGACGGAGAGAGACAAGAGAATGTATATGACATTCCTCAGAGAGTTCGGCGTCCGCAAAGGCGATAACCAATATAGCTTCTACGTGATGGAATGGATTCGGACGACGAAATAGGTGGAGGCGCGCTCTACTCGTCGGATGGCAGTCCAAGGGGAACCCTCAGCACGGGGTGCTGGAATCTGAAGTTCACGGCATGATATCGGGCGCGTCTAGAAAGTCCAAGAAGGCCGTGAAGGATCATTGGGCACACTGAGCGAAGGCGCTTACCACGCTGCTGATGAAACACCCCAAACCAGGTATCGGCCGTTGATGCTTCGCTTTGATGTAGATGAGGTGGGCCGATCAACGTGTACAAGGTTTCGACGGTTGGTTGGAGGTGTTACTGGCAGCTCACAAGGCTGCGACATACAGAGTGGACAGAAATCCAGCAGCAATATCTGTGGATACGCTTGGACGGGAAGGGATGCTGAACAGACTTCAAAGCGAAACCGAGCAGAATCGAACTTATTGTGTTTCTTTTTCCCATCATGTCGTTATTGCTAATGGAATCTTGCCGGTTTGTGCTGAAGGGAGCCCGAAGAGCGGGTTACCGCTGCCCAGCATTGCTGTGCCTCAAGCGCGCATACGCCAGTTATATAGTCTTTAGGGGCTGAAACGACGCCGCCCCGCAAGTCAGTGGTTACGTACGGCTCATGGCGTTATTCCTCAGGACATCCCTCTGCTGGTTGAGGTGGTGGGATATCGGGGGACAGGGGTGGGCAGGTCACGAAGATGTCCTTGTGTGTTATGGTGGGCAGGCTCAGCCTGCGTTCCCGGTGTGAGTTTTCTCCAGCGACTTTCTCTTTGGATGGCATGGAAGGCTCGCTTCGTCTCGCGCTACTCCATTGGCTCCAAAGACGACAGTGACCGTAGGTCCCATGTACACCTTGGAAGAGCAGATGTCTGCGACCCATCTTTTATGCCTGTGAACCATTCCCCCGCCTAGGGTGACTTGCTTCACGCATGTTGAGTCGAATTGATCTGGGAAAGTGGTTGCGTTCCAAGCTCGAGCTCGATCCCGAGGAACCACAGGCACCCACGCTCAACGAGGCATTTGCTGTGCCTCTCCTGGGCGTCTGACCAAGAAGCCCACATGACGGATACGCGACACACAGGACGCCATCCTCCAAACTTTGGCGGTCTGCAAGCCATACGTGGTTGGTACGTTGGCATTCGCAAACTGGTGCAGTGCTCCTGCTCCGCGCTTCCGGTGCAGTGCCAGGAAGTCGGTGCCCACAAAACCTGACAGCCTCAAACCCTAGACAGCCTTATTTGCTCATGCGTCGACTCCGATTCCGCTCGAAGCTGGTGGTCGCACGCGCAAGCCAGTCGTGACCCTTGTCCCAGCGGTATCGAGAGGCAGGGCTACAACTCCCCCGGCGTCAGGGTACTGGTAGAGTGACAGATCCGCATTGGAGATAACGCACGGATGCAACTGGGAAGGCCCTCTGCAGCATTTTCGGTTTTCCGTTCATCAACGTCCACGACGTGACTCGGCAAGAGGCCAATGGAGAACCGAAAGCACAGCCCCGGGGAATGCGTCGCCGTTCGATGAGTCCTAAGAAACGTCCAGGGTGGGTGGATTCCTCTTCCTGAAACAGTTACCCTGCATATCTTTGCATCTTCCCACAGTGTGTCCCACAACAGCGGCTAGTAGATGTTCTCAAGATTCTTAAACGGCTAAGCAGATATATCCGTTCATTCGTCTTGCTTTCTCGCCGTTCTGAGATCCCAAGCCGGTCTTTCTAGCCTTCCATCGCCGCGCCTGAATACCATCGACGTTGGGAGACGGTCCGCCTGAGAGTCCACCGCGGGAGCTTCGTATGACACCGGTATTCCGACTCGTGTTTCGAACCAACTGAACGTTTAAACGGGAGTCGCCGCGCAAGCAAACACGAGACGGCCACAAAACGGGGAAAAAGATCACAAACGTTAGCCAGGAAGGTTGGCCTTGCGCCACAAAGAGAAGATGTATGTGGAAACGCCCTCTCACGGAGTTGTTGGCTGAATTCGCTAATATCATGGAGACGAGTGTCCAGGAAAGCCCGATTCGAAGCTATGGCGGATGGTAATCTACCCGGTTACAACACGAACTTCAACGTGAGACGGGAGTACGAGGTCGATCCGTCGGCAGGATATAGCCAGCCACAATATGGACCGAATGGGTATTCGTCGAGTGAGACGCCCCATTACCACCAAAACACTGCAAGCCCCTCAGCGAGAAATGTGCCGCAAAGTATTCCTTTTTTTCCAGCGCCAGCGTCGTCCGACGTGAACTCAGCATGGCAATACCAGAACTTTGGCGTTCCAGCATACGGGCCTGACTCGCATCATTTCGTCCCAACAGCCACAGTGCCATACGCGAATGTGCCGCAATACCCGAGTGTATTTGGCTTACGGTGCGTATCTTTCAGATGACCTGTCGTTCCCAGGCTATGTGTTGACTCCTTAGGTTTCGGCAAGAGGGCCACATCTCCGCCGACCATGTGAATCAATATGCTGCCTCGATACATTCCCAACCGAATGCAAATGCGCCTTTCCGGCATCACCCGAGTACTGAGTGAGAAGACAACGGCATGTTCGCCTGAGACGAGCCACTGATCATGTGCCTAGTGACGAGAATAGAGAAACAGCTATGGGCGCCTTGACGCCCATAGAGACAACACCTAGGAGAACTGCCGGTAGGGGAATGACTTCACCTTCCCCATCTTTTCAACTTCGAGAGCCGCCCGGACAACAAGTTGCCTGCCAGTGGTGCGGAAAGATCCTGACGGGCCCTCATGCGCCGGGAAACCTCACCCGGCATCAGAAGAGTAAGGAGTGTGTGTCAGATCGCCAACGGAAGGAGTACACATGTTCTGTTGAGGGGTGTGGAAGGAAATACGCACGGTCCGACGGACTCCGCAATCACGAGCGGAAAGTGCACAACGCCCCAGGACCAGCACGGCGGAACGTACCCGAGAGTCCTTTCAGAACTGACAGCAACTCCGGCTATGTGGGACACAGATTGGACGATCATCCCCCAGGCTGGCCTGACTTATGAACCCATGGCGGCCGGCACCTAGGTTGCATGTTCCTCTCGCGATCGCGATCCCGTCCGTGTCCACTTTCGGCCTGGGGCCACTGCAACAGTGTACATTCATCTCAGGAAGAGCAGTTAGAAAGGATAATAAGTCCCATTGTTTGCGTCTGTTCGGTATGGGCGTCAATGGACGCGGTCTTGGCAGGCATTCGAGGGAAGCGTAGTGGGACTGGTAAGAGAAGAGCGGCCAGTCGTTGCAGCTGTTGCATTAAGATGTGAGGTTTTTGGCGTTGGGTTCTTTATTGACATCAGTTTCTTCTGCTTCCTTCACAATGGCATTTCCTCACCTCCAGCCTGATGTGCTTGTGTCTGCGCCTCGCTCCTCGCCTTCTCCAACATGGGATTAGAAAGGATATGAGATCATTAGCTGCCGCAGCCGACCGTCACGATGCGAGGACGTGCAAGAGACGTTAGTGTAAAGAGGAGAGGCATTGTGGTTATGGAAAGAAGGTGGAGGTTGAAACAGAGTGTGCGGAGGCGGGTCTTGGGCTACACCTGGGAAGGCCTAGTCTCCACTTGTGGTCAGGGGAAGGCACGCTAACAAATGCATCTGCACTGGGGTGTCGGACCCCTGCCTTCATGTTGCTTCCCCAGGCCCATTGGAGGCTTCTCTCGTGGATGGCAGTCTTGCAGAATGTGTCGTGACCTCAGAAACGGATACGTGCCGATAGAGGTGACACGGGGTTATCCTTTGCCGCTATTAATAACCTTGGAAGATCAGCCGATCCATCTATACACAAGGCGGTCGAACTCAATGCCGGCGTCTCGCAGGCACTCCTTCACGTTCGTCATGGCAATAAGTCAACATAAATGGTGAAGGAGAAAGGTAAGATGTATTAATATACAAGTTGGCCGGTCGTGCTATGCCCACGCCTTGGATCGTACTGCAGCACCGTGTAGCTGCTGATCTTAAAAAGGGATGGCATATATGAATCAATCACCTTTCCTCTCATACTACCCATTTACCGTCTACGGACACGTAGTTCCCCTTCGGTCTCTATTACACTAATGTCCTGTCATGAAGGGCCCGAAGATCGGTCACCACATCCACGTTCTTGTCCAGCCTAGCCGGTTTATCTCCCCCATACAAGCAACATTGACGGAATGCACCGCCTGTCTTCCCAAGAAGGGTTCGTAACAGTCGTGGCCAAGAGCAGAAACAAGAGCCCATAGACGTATATCTGCAAAGTCAGAGCTATCTATATCCCAGAGATTCCGTGACTGAGGTGTGGGCCATTTCAACCAATGATATTGATTCCGCTCCTGCATAGATGTTATGCAGGCCAACTGCACGTGTCCGGGAGTTAGCAAAATTCTCCGATATCCTAACGGCTGACCCACATGGTCCTTCTGATGCGCGATGATGGACATGGCAAAAGAAACATAGCGCAAGGCCGTAAACAGAGCCTTGGAAGTATATGCCCCAAATCGCGAGAGCTGTCACCGCTCACAAGAATCTGCGCTGTCGGCGCCATCCCAATGATAGATTGCATTTGGTCTGGTAGGACATGGAGGTGTCACAGACAACGCTGCATTTGAGTTTTGTGCTAGCTTACGCAATTATCCTCGTTGAGAGGAGGTCGCAAAGGACCTGGTATCAGAACATTACCCCAACAAGCCATTTCTAGAGAAATCTGTTCCCAGAGTAAAAGAGAAAATTGGAAAAAGGCGGACCGAGTTTTTTCGAAAATTGACGAGACGAGCAAAGAGATCCAAATAAATGACTGAGCCCCTGGCAGTCCCATGCACAAAACCAAGGCCTAAGCATCACAGTGTAGGTTTGAGAGTAAACGAAATCGTCTGCGCGCACGACGCGAAATCTGTGTCAGAGCGGACACAATCGTTGGGAGATATCATTAGCAGAGATGGGAAAGTTCAAAGACTGGTTACTCTTCCGCCGGCAATGCCTGACCTCCGCGGTCTCAGGTTGATCACCGACTCAAGCTCTTTCAGCATATTAGTGTTCGCCTCTCGTTGCTCCCGTAAATAAGCCTGCCGTGCCTGATCCTCCTGGATCTTCTGCATCCGCTCCTCGCGGGTCATGGTAGCGCGGCCACGTGCCTTGGGTATTGCAATAGCCTCGAATACCTCATTGTCTGAATTGTTACCTTCCATACTCGAAGGTGAAGACTGTCGGGGGCTATGAAGCTCGCCATTCAGGGCCCGAAGAGCGTCCGCTGGACTCCCCTCATCAACCGCGGTAAGCCCCCCAAGACTGGGCACAGGAGAGCGTAACCCACTGGAAGCCTGGGAGACTCTACGTTCATGCCGGTCGATGTTCACAGCAAGCGCATTCTTACCAGTCTCCCATGCTTGCAGCAGGCTCTTGAGATCGGCTCCAACCGACTCGTACTGGGCCATGAGATGGGCACCTAAGTCCGTTACATCTTCGGATTCTTCTAAGATCTTATTCGACTCCTCCCGCAGAATTTGCATCTTCGCCTGAAGGCCACGGATGCCTTGAGACAAAGTTCCCAGCTTGCGAACGGAGTTGCGTAGCCGTTCTCGGCCTGGTGTGGGCTGGGCCCGTTTGGGTGAGGGCAACACAAACTGTTCATCCTCCCCTAATATGCGATTGATCTTTTCGCTCCATGTACCTGCTGCCGCTGCCACGAACGACATTGAGTCTACTGTCAAACCCCATCGTGCAAAGTCCGGCTTTCCTCCATCGGCCTCTAATGCCAGAAGAGAGCATAGATACACTCGCCGTAGGGTCGAAAGCCGATACTGTAGGGTGCGAAGAGCCTTGAGTGTTTCTGCATCTTCGAACTCTGAATCCGAATAGCCAAGAGATGCCTCCTGCAGATCTGGGTTGGTAATTTCGTAAACGTCAAGGAATTTCTCCAGGTCATCCTCTTGAACGAGTGGTTTCAGGGACTCGCACTGAGAAAGGAGAATCGGCATGATCTCAGAAAACGCCGTCCTCAAGCTGCGCCGCAGGCGTTGGCAGCGGCGAGTTTGGCCTTGCTCTTCTAAGCGGGATATCGGAGGCAGAGGACTGCTACTACAGACGTATGAGTTAGCCGACCTTCAACAAATGAATGAGGACTGACAGTCTATAACCCCTTGAAACTAGCTCGACCTCTTGAATCAATGCTAAAGCAGAGGATGACGAAGATTCGAACGCCTGCAGATTGGTAACTAGCGCCGATACCCCTTGCACAGCTTGTTGGCGTAGGTATTGCAGCCATTGGCGACGGACGTAGCCATAACACAGAGCAGCAACAGCTGCGAAGATGAATATGACTAGGGTTGTTCTCCCTCTACTCAACCCATTCGGCCGACTGCGAGACCAGTGAATAAGCCAAACAAGTGTGAACGCGGTCGCAGCAGTTATAGCAGCACCAGTTACACTGATACTACCATCCCTGAATGGATGTGGTGGATTTGTCGCATCGGAGGCGAAGCTTGGAAGTGTCGAAGCGCGTAGGCCGCTCTGCTCGTTCAGGAGCTGGGAAGCGACAATAAGGTATCTGAAATGTTCGAGAAAACGTCGATTATCCGCCTTTCCGAGTCGGGAGTTCACCGCTTTCTGAGTCCCATATTAGCATTCCAACGCTTTACATGGCCTTCTCGCATATAAAACATACTGAGCACGCGCTATGTATGCGCGCAATGGGCCCGTTCGAGGTGGAGGGTATCTTCAGGGGTCGGGGCAATCGACCTCGTATCCTGTTTTGTAGGGTCGACGGACCCAGTGGCGCGAAGCTTCGTGTATTCGACGGAGGCGATGCGGACAGTGGTGCTGAGGAAGAGAGTTCGAGGTCACCTTGACCTTCCCCTGGCGTACCGGTCAGCACACAAGGCATAGCGAGCAGGCACAGGTATAGCATGCCTTCCAGGAATTGAGCGATGGGAGAATCGTCCAAGATTACAGTCTCCATCCGCTCTCATGTTGTAACGTCCCCTGGTTGGGACGCTGGCAGGACGGTGAGTACGTCCGCCGAGGGCGTGGAATATCCGCCTAGCCAACTATATGGTCCTCGGTGGGGAGGAATGAGGTAGTGAGAAAGTAAGGAGGCTACCACGGCTTTGTTTCGTCGGTGGAAAGAGTGAATGTAGGAGGCGACGTAAGTGTTGAGCGCATGATTGTCGTTGTGTTGGGGTCACCAGGGTCATAGAGCGGAGATTATCCGCCCTTTGGGAGAGCCGCCGCCTTGGCAGGCGTTGAGACCTACACATTCCATGTCTGCTAAAAGAGGTCATGCTGTAAGCAGAGCAACACTTCAATTCGAGGAGGAAAGGTTGAGATCATATCATCGCCGTATGATGCATGTTGCAGGCCGCCCGCACCTGGTGCCCGCTAGCTAGCTACTCGTCGGACCCGCTTCGCCGAGGCTTCTTTCCACCACCTACATAGGTGCCTGTACCGCGCAAGTGACAGCAAAATTAGAATTGAGCTTCGTTCTGTAAGATGTAGTCTCTGATTCCAATGCGCCGGAGAAACTAAGCGGCGAAAGTGGCTTTTATTCGGCCAAAGTTCTGAGCCCGCTTACTGAATCTATGGTAAATATAGACAGAAATGTTTCAATTTAGTCAGCCAACGAAAGCTCTTGACCGGATTGTGCACTCCTTTATGCAGTAGAAATAATAGACATATTCCTCCACGGGCAGCATGGTCTGCTAGCTAAACAGAGTTAACCTATGAGACTGTCTACTTGTACTAAGCCACGGTTAAAGTCCGATAGAATCGTTTCACAAAAGCCTTACCATTTTACAGGTGTACGGCCACTTCCACTCGCTCACATACAACTGAACGGGGTCCTGAAGATTCGCCCTTGTGTGCCTCATGAGGATGTATTGAAATGAAGGGGTGAGGTTGAGGACGCTCGGACCAACTACCGATTATGGAGTTCAGCCAAGCCGAGCTTGTTTTAACCTCCACTTACCTGGGTACACTACCCCACGGCATCACGGAGACTATCCTGAGTCACCTTAGCCTTTGAACCGCGAGATACGGCTTCTGGCAAGAATAAATTAAAGTCGACACCATGAATGAGGAACGGGAACTAGTGATCAATCCTGTCGTACAGACCAGTGTCCAGCACAATACCCAGGTATGTCTTTGGGGTGCAACTGCTTCCCCTGGACCCGACCGACATCGTTCAAGAGAGATCACTAACCGTCGCTCAAGGTAGTTTCCAACATACGTAACTTGACCGCATCGCTATTTGGCGTCGCTGCCGGCACCCTCGGTCTGGAGTCCTACCCTGGCTTTGTATTCTATCTTGTTGGGACCTTGATCGTATCGCTCCTCATCTTCGTCTTCCGCGCTGAGGGCAAACCATCGGAATACTTCCATCGGCCACTGGGGGATCTCTGGGGAGGCGAGGTTTTCGGAGGACTGAGCAGCTTTGTTCTGACCTGGACACTGTTTTATGGGCTGGTACGCGCTTGAGATTGGGTTCAAATAGGAGGAAGCTCTCGAATGTGCTCATTAGGAGGCTGGGATCCTTTACCGTGTGGTCTGACCCTTCTCACCTGTTGCGGGCACCAGACCGGAAGCAAGGCCACTAAACTTGAGGAGATGGACCATGAGGCCCGAACCGACGACTTTGTCGGATCTACCTCCAGCTGCTGGACAGCCTGCCGGACGCTTCAAAAGCTCCACTAGCTACGCTCAGGGCATTGGGAAACCTCGGAACTACGAAGGGTGGTGAAAGAGGGTGCGATGACGGCAGTGCCGTGCTCTCCTCTTCGTGTCGCATCGTTCTACTCTTATCACGACCATATATGATTTCTTTGATACCCGCAAAATGTCTATGCAGGTACACTAAGAATGCGGAAATGGCAGCGTTCTATGCACAACAAATCTCCAGACATGCATTTTCTTCCACCAGACTCACCGCTATCGAATGGTCTGTTTACGGGCACAGAGAATACTTAGAAATCTACCATCAATCACTACTCGCTTCCCAAAGCGCAATCCTTGTGGCTGTCACAGAGTTTCCAGCCACAAACCCTGTCTTGGCGCGAGACTTGTCCGTGCGTAATTGCCTTCTTAGTCATAAACGCGTCTTGTCGCGTGGCAGCGCGCCTCCCACCACGAAACTCTTTCTTGACATCGTCAATTCACTACTACAAACCTCCACTTCGCCGTTCTCACATAACTCATTCCTCTACCTCTCTGCCGCTACTCTCCGCTTCTACCCCTCTACTTCGCAGATATTCAATAGTATGTATCTTCCAACTTCAAAAGTTGCGTTGGCAATACTGACTTTCCCAGTGCTTGAAGCACGCCTAGAGCAAGCGAGCATCCTCAAGAAGGTCGGACAATAACGAATAGCCTTACTGACTAGCATTAACTCTTCGATAGGTGGTCGAAGCTATCAAGGACCTCGTCCAGGATTGCAACTTCGACTGCAATGACTCCGGGATTGCGTTGCAGGCTATGGACAACTCACACGTTGCACTCGTCTCAATGCTGCTGAGGTCCGATGCCTTCTCCCCTTTCCGATGCGACCGCAACATCGCCCTTGGTATCAACCTTGGATCGCTCACAAAGGTCCTTCGCGCATGTCAAACCGACGATATCCTCACATTGAAAGCTGAGGATGCCCCGGATGTCGTAAACCTAGTGTTTGAGAACAAGGAATCGGATAGGATCAGCGAGTACGATATCAAGCTCATGGACATTGACCAAGAGCATCTTGGTATCCCGGAGACGGAGTATGCGGCAACTGTCACAATGCCTGCTGCAGAGTTCCAGCGGATCTGCCGCGATCTTAACGCTATCTCTGAATCCGGTATGTGTATACAATGCTGCTTTCGCCTACACTCGCTGACAGCTACATATAGTTTCGATTGAATGCACAAAGGAAGGCGTTACATTCAAGTGCTCAGGCGACATCGGCTCAGGGTCCATCCAGCTGCGAGGCCACAGCGATGTCGAGAAGCCGGAGAACAACGTTGACATCGACCTTACGGAGCCCGTGTCGCTCACTTTCTCTCTCAAATACCTCGTCAACTTCTGCAAGGCAAGTGGTTTGTCTGCGCAGGTCAAGTTGTGCCTGTCGAACGAGGTGCCCTTGCTGGTCGAGTACTCCCTACAAGACAACAGCAACAGCTATCTGAGATTCTACCTCGCTCCCAAGGTAAGCTATCACGTCCTTCACAAAAGAACCACGTTAACGCTCTACAGATTGGGGATGAGGAATGAGCAATGGATGTTGCATCTTATGTATGAGGCCTTAGACTGTTTGTCTTTTCGGATACACGTCTGTCATCACAATATGTAATATCCTTCGTCTGCATCAGCGTTCGGTCGGTTCATGTATGATGTTCGGTGCGTTGAGGTGTGCCGCTTCTGGCACAGTTCCAAGGTTAGTTATGGACCTCGCATGCCTCGGCGCGAGGGGCACCGGACCGGGATGCCCCGCCGACGTCAGCGCGTCGGACGATCGATTACAGTGATGGAAAATTCAAGAATACACAACTCCATTGTCACCCGTGTTTAACTATCCGTCCGTTTGTGAAGTTCCTATATTTTGGACTGCTCATTCGCTTCCAGTCGATGGTGTCCGACATGATAGTGCCCGAAACCCGGGTTCTTGCTATCGCCAGCCATGTAAGAGTCATGCGAGCGAAATAAATGCGACTGAGTTGACGTTATGGTGACAGGTCGTCCACGGGTGAGTCTTCTGTTAAGGAAGGCTAGAATGCAGTGTCTTATCTTCCTTCAGATATGTGGGAAACAAGATGGCGACCTTCGTGATGCAGGCGCTTGGTTGCGACGTATCAGCAATCAACACCGTGAATTATAGTAGTTCTCCAGTCCCAGATACAAATTCTTGCCTATGCTGACGGGATGTGCAGGCAATCACACTGCATACAAGCAGGTGAAAGGCACCAAAACCAGCGCTGCAGAGATACAAGACCTATACGAAGGCCTGCAACAATCCAACCTCAACAACTTCGACGTTCTGTTGACGGGATATGTGCCCAGCGCGGAGGCGGTACAAGCAGTGGGCAAGATTGGAAGGGATCTGAAATACAACGCTGTCGGGAAGCCAGGCTCATTCTTCTGGGGTGAGTAACTGGAGAGAGCGAATTCTCATCTTGACTGATCGGGGTGCAGTACTTGACCCCGTGATGGGAGACAACGGAAAACTCTATATCCCCGAGGACGAAGTGCCGCAGTACAAAGCGCTTCTGAGGGAAGCGGACCTGATTCTGCCAAATCAGTTCGAGGCAGAGTACGCCACCGGAACTCTTAATCATAGGTCATTCAACATGCTGACCTGACCTAGGACGCTCTCTGATACCACGATAACCGATCTTGAGTCCCTGGCCGCTGCTGTTCAAATACTACACAAGACGTATCAGATTCCTCATATCATCATCACCTCACTCCGCCTTACGCGCGACAACCAGACCCTCTCCTCTAGGGCCCCTTCACGCCCACCCTCCAAGCCCGCATCCCAGCTACAAAGCCCCTCCGTTTCCCCCGCACGAAATGCAGAAACCTCGCACCCCTCCGCGTGGCCTACCTCCGATGGATCCAAACTGGAGGACCAACAAGAACCCCCATCAATCTCTCTCGACGAGGTGGAAAACCTCACCATAATCGGCTCCACCGCAACCTCGGACTTCAAACCTCGGCTCTTCCGCATCGACACCCCTCTCCTTCCGCTCTTCTTTTCCGGCACCGGCGACATGTTCGCCGCTCTCACGATCCCCCGCCTCATCGAGGCAGTGCACAATGCCTCAACGCCCAACCTCCGTTCGACCCCATCCTGGAAGTCTCCTGACGATGTACCCGCAGAGGAACTACCACTAGCCAAAGCCTGCCAAAAGGTTCTCGCATCCATGCAAACCATCCTAGCCAAAACGACGGAGAAATGTAAGGAGAAAATGGAAGCCTACGACAAACGCGCGGAGAAGGAAGGATGTGGGTCTGGAGAGGATGATAGGGCTGAGAGGGAGAAGCAGAGGCATTTGGCGCTCATGAATGCGAGTGAGGTCAGCGTTGTGAGGTTCGTGGACGATCTTCTGGATCCGCCGGATTTGGAGCGGTTTAAGCCTAGGAGGATCGAGGAGAGTGAGAAGGTGCCCGATGAGGTGGGGTTAAGGAGGCCGGATGAGTTGGGGGTGGTAAGGTTGGGGGTTGGGGACGGGGACGGGGCGGTGATGGTCGTTGGAGGTGAGGGAGGACGGAAGACTGGAGAGTAATACGGGTTAAGAGAAAGAACGGGGAAAAGATGGACGGACAGCATAGCCCGAGAGAGGGTGAGGGACAAGGCGCTGCGGAGAGAAGGAAAGTCAGTGTGATTGCTTCAAGAGCGGCATGAGCGATAGAATGTTGCTGTTTGATACTGTTTGATCTCGTTGCCATATACCACAGCGATGATTTTACACAGTTCATAATAGATATTTGGTATTTGTCGACTTCAGCTGAAGTATCCCGAATCTGGTATTCTCCGTTCAGATCCCGATAACGCCTGTTGTTTCCCTTCTTCGCCGTGGACAAATCCTGATCACTTGATTCCTTGCCTGAATTCCCCATACACTGGCGGTTCTTGATCGTCTCCCGCAGGACTCCCCGTTATGCCTCTCTAGACCTAGTTCGCAACCGCTCCTCCAAAACCTCCCGTACTTCCAAACCCACCGGCACCCCTCACACTCTCCTCCAACTTCTCCACCACCACAACCTCCGGCATCACAATCCTCTCAACAATGAGCTGTGCAATCCGATCCCCGGCCTTGATCTGAAAGTCCTCATCCGACAGATTCGCCAGGATAACGCCGACCTGACCGCGATAATCCGCATCAATGACACCGGCGAGCGTATCAATTCCGTGTTTCGCTGCAAGACCAGAGCGCGGGGCGATCCGCCCATCTATACCAAGTCACCCTGTTAGCAATCGGACCCCTAACTACACATGAGGGTAACAGCGAAACATACAAGTCCCCACCGGCACCGCAATCGAGATATCCGTATCCACTCTCGCCCTCCCTCTCGCGGGAACAACCACATCCCTCGCACTGTACAAATCGTGGCCTGCCGCGAACGCACTGCCTTTCGTCGGCGCCCGCGCTTTGTCGCTCAGCAATTGTACCTGCAGACTTGTCTCCGCTGCCGCCGCGCCAATTGACTGTCTGGGATGCGGGGTCGTCATTGCGGCGAGCGGTGTCGGTGTTGCGGTGCCAGAGTCGTCGTGGATGCGCGAGGGGAGGGTTGTGCCGGGCGAGCCGGAGGTGTTTTTGATGCGTTTTGGGTGTGGGGAGGAGGGGAGGGAGGGAGGTTCGTGGTGCGGGGCGGGAGTGGAGGCGGGTTCTGAGTTTGTGGGCATTGGGTTTGAGGAAGAGTTTGGATGGGAGGAGAGGTTGGTGGTGAAGTGGGTTGGAGCGCGGGTGCGGCGCGTCGCGTGAGTGGGGTTGATGGACGCGTTTGATTGGTGGTTGGGGTGGTGAATTGATGGAGGACTTGAGTGTGTTGGAAACTTTTGAAATTTTGACTCTTTTCGATGCTTGAATAGTTGTTATCAATTAAGGACATACTCGCCTTCAGTGAATTGCATTTCTCTTCTCTGGAGTGAGGTGGCAGGCGCTCCTTGTCCATCAGTAGCAAGAACGGTGCGCCGTCATGGTACGATGTTTTGAGCAGAGAAACATCATTACAGCTTATTTCAATACATAACTTTTTTCCTTTCAGACCCCTGTGCACATGTAATGCACATCTTGTATTTCGGACATGGTAGATAGTCTACATCAATCCCAATTCGCACATGTGAAAGCTTCCAGGATCGTAGGCACATTGTCTCCCAAATCTGACAACTCGCATTCGGTGGGTCTTGGATGTCTCTATAAAGCCTTTCTCCTCCTCTTCTGCTCTTAGCGCCACAAGTTTCCCTCCTTAGCAATTTAAACGGCCATTTTTGGCCATCATGCGAGCCTCTTCCCGTGGTTTCATTGTTACCGCTGTTTCGCACATGGCCCCAAAAAGCATTGATGATAATCGACCTCACCTTCATCACTGGCGCATAGATAGGAGTGACCTCATAGTATACCATAAAGCAAACCGCTACTACGCTTCTCATGTAAACGACAAAGTGACATCAATGTCTATCAGTCTTCTCCCGGTACTTATCTGCACGTATGGAGTACGATGGTGGATGGTGGATATCTGAGTACAAGCATTTTTGACATCAGGAAAAACCTGTCATGTTCCTCTTCTCCAATCTTTTCAGTCTCCAATCAATATATCACAACTCAATTGTCTCCTTCGCATCGTCTATATAAACCCTCCATCTTCCGCCTACTTCCTCTCCTCCTCCTTCACCACCGCCGGCCCCCTTTTTGCGATTAAAAACACACTGGATCCGTTACCATGTCGGGCTGTGTTCTTGTTTCTCAAAACCGTACCTGAGACATGTATGTTTGCTCGACTCGTGCAGGGTAAACATCATTACAAAAACCAAAATCTTTGTCTTTGATGTGTCCACTGCAGTCTTGCAACGGACTTTACGGATCATGAACGACGACTGTGGGCACGGAACATGATAGCATTATGGTACCGTTTCCTGTGAAAAGCATCCATAGCAAGGTTCATGTTCGCAAAGCTTCAGAGGCTCTGACCGAAAATAGAGGAAACTGTTGCCATGTTGTTGAAAGCCGGAAATTTTCGCAGAGGGAGCACGGAACGACATCGCGCATAGAACCCAAAACTGTCCAAGGACCCAAAATGTGACGAGGAAGAGACGTCAACTTTTGAAATTTCTAACTTCCGGCCTTATGGACATGTCAGTATTGAAATCACTTCCGTCACTGGTCCAAATGATTTGGACACAAATGGTTATGTTCCGATACCGAGTATGCAGCCAGTGAATGGTGAAATGTAATGGAGGTATTGAGAGGGAGCGTTGAAGGGACCGCCAATTCGTCAGAATCTCAAGAAAGAGTTCGTCCAGATTATGGCATTGTGTCTGGCGATGGCAGCTCAACCGATAGTCTTTCATTCCGATATGACGCTGGGCCCATCACTGCTCAAAACACTTCTCGGGACCCTCTCTCACGAGTGTACGCTTGATCAATTCCAAGCCTTCGAGATCTTTTCGTATTTGATAAGTTCGACATGCCGTCCCCATGGTTTTCCGTCCAGCTATTCAAAATACTCCGAGGAGCACTTGATGTCTGCGATCGTACAATCTAACAGGTGCGGAATGCAACCTATGATGCCGGGTTGGAATTTCATACAACCCTCTTCCCTGGCATAACAGAGCTACGCCAGCGCAATCATTCTCAGAAGTTTTCGATGAAGTGAAGCTCCTAGACGTTTACCTAATTTCAATCAACTCCTCAATGGGTTACTCGCGGAAATGATGTTGTTGGACGCACGTCGAGATAGCGAAGATCGTATCTATAACACGAGATTCAAAGAGATGGGCTATGTGCGGAAGCAGTCTGTGTCCTTTTAGTCTGAGACAACCACATCTCCTCTAAGCCACTCGCTCAACCAACAATAACAAGAAAAGCTTCATGAGTCGTGGGACCAAGTATCCATCTATGGATCCGTCAGTAAAGACACCGAAATCTTCGACCCCAAGATAGCTAGACAACTATCCTATGAACCTGAATTTCGACTTGAAGCAGCAAGATAATCCGGCATGCGCATCTGCACTATCCTCTTCCACGGTACTACCACACCTTTTTTTCATCAAGGCATACCTGAGTTCTTATGGCGCGTGATGGGTTTGGGTACTATCGTGGATATCAAACCTAAAGCTCAGAGAAAGAAATCTGAACGGGCGTAGACGGCGTCTCTAGAATATGAAAGTGCGACTGCTTTACACGACGAGTTATGCGGCTCCTTTGGCAGTAAACCTCGAAGCACCGTTCATAGCCGCGTATGTCTCTGGAGGCCCACGAAAAAGTCCAAGCGGGGTTTCAACTTTTCTGCTGTGCTGCTCCGAAAACCCAAGTGGCAGATCTGGGATGGGCGATATCTCTTGCACAATGATGATGATGATGCCCATTACTACTGACGATGAGTAGACACATGCCGTATGAATTAAGATCACAAGAATTGAAGAGCGAAGCATCGAAGGTTGGCTGATACGTCATTCTTGCTAATATACTATATGAGACTAACGGAGATGAGATGAACATGTCAAAAAGGGAATATCTGCACTTCACAATAGCACTATGTGTATCGTGATAGTGTAGGTATACGAATCTAGACAGACAGTTAGCTTTGCGAACTGCCAGCAGATGGAGTAACAAATAGCCAGAGAGTTCTTTCAGAAGTCCGTTTAGATCATCGACCTGCAAGCAGGTCTGACATAAGAGGTACCAGAAATATTGAAATGTATGGGTGTGGATCATCATGAGAAGGTTTGGAGGGCGGAAGATAATATAGAAGCGGAGACGTACCATCAAGCTGTTAGTGTCTGGGAGGTAGCGGCTGCAACTCCATGGAGCAGCATTATCTTCGGCCCTCAAATCGGAAAGCAGATGCAATGCTGCGATACGCGCTCTGAACGAGCCCTTCGGTGGTGTTGCATTGTCAATCGCTTGTCAGAAAAATTTAAAGAGAACTCCACGCCAAGACCGCCCGTGCACGCAAGCGAGAATTGCCCGCACACAATCCGCCAACATCACCTCACGAGCATTTGGGAAACCCCGAAGTCTTCAACCACCGCGAAAACCCCGTCCACCGTCGACTCCGTTCAACTAACCACCAGCAACCATGGGTCGCATGCACTCCAACGGCAAGGGCATATCGTCCTCGGCGATTCCCTACTCACGCAACCCTCCGGCGTGGTTGAAGACGACGCCCGAGCAGGTCGTTGACCAGATCTGCAAGCTCGCGAAGAAGGGTGCCACGCCCTCTCAGATCGGTGTCATTCTCCGTGACAGCCACGGTATTGCCCAGGTCAAGGGTACGTGAATTTGCGCAACAAAAGCATCTGCGAGAAAGGGAATGCATATGCTAACAACTCCACAGTCGTGACCGGTAACAAGATCCTCCGCATCCTCAAGAGCAACGGTATGGTGTACCCGATATGAAAAAAGCGCGAGTCGACCACAGCTCTGTCTTCTCAGGACATCTGTTGCGCTATATAAATCTGCCTCCATCGGTTCACGCTGACGGAGTGCCATTAGGACTTGCTCCCGAGATCCCCGAGGATCTCTACATGTTGATCAAGAAGGCTGTTGCCGTGCGCAAGCACCTCAGCACCAACCGCAAGGACAAGGACTCCAAGTTGTACGTTTGCGAACACACCTGGCTGGTTTAGGGAAGATAACTGACTTGTATGTGTAGCCGCCTCATTCTCATCGAGTCCCGTATCCACCGTCTCTCCCGCTACTATAAGACCGTCGGTGTCCTCCCCCCTACCTGGAGGTACGAGAGCGCTACCGCTTCCACCCTCGTCGCATAGAGGAGCAGTTGGTTGGTGGAGTGGATGGTGGAGGATGTCAAGCCCTCGGACGGAGTTTCATGGAATCATGGACACATGCATGCTTTTTAGGGTCATCTGCCCTTCTGGGATGGACATGGTTTGAAATGAATCAAAAAGTAATACCTGGCCATATCTGGAGCCTCATGCCGCCGTGTGCTGGCCGACTTGTGTGAAGATATTGCCGTCCCTCTCGACCTTGTTCCTGCCTGGGTATCATTTTCCAGATGCGCCGACTCGTGTGAATGTTCTCCCATACTTATTTGCCCCTTATTCTTATCTGCCGTACTCGCCCTTCTCCTCACTATGAGCCGCTCTCTCCCGAAAGCCCTTCCAAAACCGCAAATCTGCTCACGGCCCCTCCCCCTCCAACTCCCTACTTTTCTGCGCCAGATACTCACTCAGCCACTTCAGCGGTTTCTCGGGCCTAATAGCACATTCAAGTTAGCATACCTCGCTCGTCTCCTGCCCTCCACAGAGCAAGTGAAAAGGACCACTTACTCAATCGTAACCAAATGCTTCATGGCCTCCAACAGCGTCGGCGTAACCTTCTGATTCAAATACACTCTCGTCGGTGCTCCATGCGGTATGGGATGCGCGGGCGCGGTCGCAGTGGGATGCGCGGGCGCGGTCGCAGAGGGATGCGGCGAGTTACGCGAAGGCGTGTGGCTGGGTGTGTGTGCTAGGGGTTGAGGAGGCATTGGCGTGGGCGCAGGTGCTGGAGCAGCGGTAGGAGCAGGAGGATGAGAGGTCCCGTTGGTAATGGTATTTGTAGCGGATATGGTGGTCGGTTGTTGTTGTTGTTGTTGCGGCTGTTCTTGCGGCGGTTGTTGCTGTGTTTGCTGCTGAGGTGGTTGTTCGGAGGAGGAGAAGGTTTGTTGTTGCTGCTGGGAACGCCGTGTTACAGGGATTGCGACGTGAGAGAGGAAGAGAAGAGAGGGGCGGCGTACCGCTGAAGAGGAAGAGGAAGTGGCATCCGGCATTTCAATGTCTTGTCCTGCCGTTTGGGGTTCTTCCGCCTTGGATGGTTCTTCGGTGGTGTGGGTGGAGGGAGGTGGGGGTTGCGGTTCCGCCATATTTTTTTCCTTGGAAGGGATATATATGCGCAAGAATGGGGAAGCGTATTGAGCACTGAGTGTGTGTTAGTCCGCAATGCAATGGCGGGGAAACAGCTTTTGGGCGGGATGTGGTATTTTGTTGCAGGAGGGAGAGCTTGAGCATATGGACATGAACTAATCGGATAAAGTTCGGATCTCACTGAAAGTTCATCTAATCTTATCTCATTCATCATGCCTCCTGGACCACTGATATCCTCTTTTCATGGCCATCTCATTTGAGGAGTGGGACTCAGTATGACACCAATATATGTTTAATTCGACCCAACGTTGATGAATAATCTTTACGCCGTCTCTTCAATCACGGTGCAAATAATCTTCCCAAGAATGTATTGTACAATTTCCAGATCCAAATGGCCATATCGTACAACCCCGATAAGATTTCTTCACACCATCGACGGCACGACCGCAAGACTTAAACGCCTAGATCCTCTTCTATCTCAACAACCAGCCCGGCATGATCCTACCTATTAAGACAGTATGAAAATACAAGTGAGAAGGAGCCAGATAAGAGAACGCTGCCGACATATATCGCCCCTGATACGCCCCAAGCTATGTCATGTCAATGCTTAATGTCAACCTAGTCTATTCCTTTTGCGTAGACTCTTCAGTCTTGGGAGCGTCCTCAGTCTTGAAAGGGTCCTCCGGTTCGGTAACGCTCCCCTCCTTCCCGTCCGCGGGCTTCTTGTTTTTGGGGCTGTCGCTGAAGTCGATCTTCAGGCGACGGCCATAATAGACCTTTCCCTGCAGTTGATCGTACGCCTTCTGCGCACTAGCCCGATCAACAAAGTCGGCGTGGGCAAAGCCACGGGGTTGGCCTGTCCGCCTATCGACGGCGACACGGACGTCGGTGACATTGCGAATATCACGGAACAAGTCGTTGAGATCCTTGTCGGACATCTCGTAGGCAATGTTGCCGATGAAAAGGGTGCTGGTAGGCTGGCTGGCGGACAAAGGTTCGCGTCCGGGGCGCTTGTTTAATTTCGGCTTGTGGAATTGGACAACGAGGTTGCGTCCTTCGAAGATTTGCATGTCGAGGTTGTCGATGGCGGCGCGGGCGTCCTCTATGGTTTCGTATTCGACATATCCAAAGCTGTGCTACGGATTAGACATATCCGGGGGTGGACTATGATCTCTTGCGTGCACTCACCCTCTGCTCATGTGCCGGAAGTCACGGACAATTCTGACACTCTTAAGGTTGCCAAACCGCGAGAATATCCGCCTCAACTGTTCTTCACCCACTTCATAGAAAAGATTGCCGACATAGACCATAGTGTTAGGCTCATTAAGCGAGAGCCGACTCCGTCGAAGTCTTCCTTCGCTACTAACGTCCGAAACGCTCGACAACGCATCGGTAGGTTCTTGTTGAGTATTCTGCTGCGCCCGAGTCAGGTTCTCCTCGACTGGTGCCTCTGGCTTTGTCTGTGCAAGCTCCTCAGCTGCCACCGCAGCAGATTCGGCGCTCTCCGACTTCGCTGCCTCGTCGCTGGCAAATCGCCTCTGGAATTTCGACGGGATCCTTCGTTGCTGTGGTGCCTGGAAGGCTGGGGTGTATGTGGTGATGGAGCGCGGCTTGACGAACGGAGTCTTCAAGGGGGTAGCGCTCAGAGCGCGAGCTGCGCTACGGCGGAGGAGATACCTGAGGAGGGCTGTGAGTTGGTGTCAATTGAAATACGGCCTGACCGGGACTTACATATTGAGTGTTGATGTGGAAAAGCGATATCTGCGACTGGGAGAGGTGAACTCTCGGCGGAGGAACTTTTTTCGAAGTTTTTGTATCCCGACTTTCCGCGACGCGCTAACTCGCCCGACAGGCTTAGTCAAGAAGTCAGATCACGTGCGCGTACAGGGTACACCTGCCACCTCCAGGGCTCCCTAAAAGGAAATAGAATCTTTTATTAAAGTGTAGTTTGCTAATAACTGGGGTTCAATCGGTCTTAAGTGTACATGTTTCGCGAACTGACATATGTGTGGATCGATCGAGTCTGCCTTCGCTCTTTCAAATTCCAGGAGAAGTACTCTCAGTTCCATTCAACGACGCATTCCCAGACACAGCATAGGACCACGCATCCTTAAACGTGGCGCACTCGCGTCTATTTGCAGAATCTGGAAACTTGACAGGATGTATAGTGGGACTGCACTTGATCAGAGACGCTCCACCTCCTCAGTGAGCTCCAGTCAAGTCAGAAACGATCTCACAGCCATGAGTCTCCAGTCTCCCACTATCGCAATGCGCAATCCCATGCGGAACAACAGCCCTCACCCTTCCCTCGCCCTTACCTCGCCCTTCCAAAAGGCAAGATCAACCCATGGATCAGTCCACGTCCTCAAAACATGCCCGACGCCGTGCGATATATCTAGGTACAATTCCTGTCCACTACCATACTACCATCTCTTTACTCCTTAAACCTACTTCTAAAGGAATTACCAAGCCTCTCAGCAACTGGCCCAACTGCACCAAACCAAGCAATCAAATCCGCCGAGCATACTTCAACGGCTCCAGCCAAGAAAACAGTCCACACCACGGAGGCCGCACCTGATGCAGCACCTCATGCCGAAACGCGCAAATGATCGATGATAGTGCGTCCGGTGGAGACTCCTTCGAGCCATCCCTGAATGTTCGACATTGTCGTAGCTGTGAAGGCGACCACCCGCTTCGGAGAAATGAATGCCTCCTAAGGAACCTGTCCATCCATTGAAGGGTCCAGCTGACGGGTACCGGGCTTCCTAACAGGCACAGCAGCTGAGCGAGCACCCAGCATGGCCGATCGCCAGGCACAACAGGGAACTTGCGCGTTGTTGCTCTCGAGTCCCATGCGGGGGCATGGTCGACGGGAGGTCGAGTTCGTGGGAGATGAGCAGTGTGCGCCGGCCGTCGGGGGAAGACGGAGAGACAAATAAGGACGCATGTGTCAGTGTGGGCAGGTTTTCCGGGACGCGATTTTATCCCGGCTGTGACCAAGCGTCTTCGCCGAAGAGCTGCTAGCAGAGCGTCGTAAAGGTGGGATTCCGTAAAGGAGGGATTCCGTAAAGGAGCGATCCCAGAGGCTTGTGACGTGTAAGGCGTGTGCGAACCGCTTCGGCTTTCCCCCAAGGCTGCTTTAGAGCTCTTCCTCTCGTCAATTCCATCCCCCCGCCTCATCTCCCATCCACACTCTTCCGCCATCCCCCCCCTAAAAATACCTGCCATACCTTAACATCAACTACTCTCCCCAATCCCAAACCTCCAACCCACCTCTCCCCCACCCTTCTTCCCCTTCCCACTTCCCACAAAAAAACATCATCTTTCCCTCTTTCCCCCCCTATAATACCTCACCCACCCACACCCACGCCCGCAACAGCCCTCCTCGCCTCCTCCAACCCCCTCCCCAACTCCCCCCTCTTCTGCGCCTCACGAACCTCATAGTGCAATTTCACCAATTCCATCGCGCGACGGATATCCCTATCCTCTTCTTCCTCTCCCTCGTTATTCCCGGTCTTTGCCTCCAATTGCGTAGGACTCTCATTAGCGCTGGTTGCGCGTGCGGAAACGAGGGCGAGGGCGGCGGATGGGTCCTTGCGTTTGTTAGATTGAGTTGGGATGAGATGGAATGGGAAGAGGGAAGGGGACGTACGCAGACGCGGAGGGACGTTAGATCTGAGAGGATTTCTGCGAGGGGCATTGCAGGGGAGGGGGGAGTGGGCTGGGGCATGTTGAGCTGTTGTGGCGGTTGGTGTAGGGAGGAATTACTCCGTATTGGGCAGCTGGTTGGTCGGAGGAGGCCCAGACGTCTGTGAAAATGTAGATGTGTGCGATCAAACAGTTTCTCGATCGGCTTCGAAAGCGGAAATAAAAACTCAAGTGTTGGGAAGGAGACGTCTACCTATGCGATGATGTCGAATCTACTGCAGTATCGAACCCCCACGGCCTCGGCTGTCGGCTGAACACCTCATGACGAAAGCAGAGCCTCCACTCAGGGTCCGCCGGGACGGCTCAATGCGGAAATAGTTTGACGGGTGGGTTTCAACGTCGGTTGCTCAACCGTTCAACATCACAATCGTTCTTTTTTGGGTGATTGGACATTCTCTGGACTACTCCTTGCATTACTTTCCTGTTATTATACTTCTTGTATATATTTCAATTGCTAGACTTCGCCTCAAGACATGGCGAGTATACAGCGCGTAGCGCGGAACTGCCGCAAGGTACCTAATTCCACACCACAACTACACTACTACGGTCTTTTATGCTTATATCTTTCTTCCAGGTCATGTGTATAGGTCGGAACTATGCGTACGTTTCCCAGATACTCGGTCCTCAACGTCCCACCCTTTCTCCACAAATCCCATTTTCGACACGCATCTGAACCGTACATAGCGACCACGTAAAAGAACTCAACAACACCAAACCCAAGCAACCCTTCTTCTTCCTCAAGCCACCCAGCTCCATCTTGCTGCCTGGCGCGGGACCGGTGCTTAGGCCCAGAGGCGTAGCGATGCATTATGAGGTAGAGTTGGGTTTGGTCATGGGCAAGACGGTAAGGGATCTGGACCCTGAGGATACACAGGGTGCAATGGATGCTATTGAAGGTATGTAATACTCGCCGTCGAACCTGTTATCCTCTGCGGAGAATGAGAGTAAGGCGATTGACATGGCAGCACAGGCTACCTCCTCGCAATCGACATGACTGCTCGCAACGTCCAGGAAGAAGCGAAGAAGAAGGGTCTCCCATGGTCCATTGCCAAAGGCTTCGACACTTTTTTGCCAATCAGCAATTTGATCGCAAAGTCGCGCGTCCCGGATCCGCACAACGCTCATCTCTGGCTGAGCGTAAACGGCGAAATTAAGCAGTCTGATAACACGGGCCTTATGTTGTTCCGAATCCCCAGGCAGCTGAGCGATATCAGCAGGGTGATGACATTGGAAGCCGGAGACATTGTGCTCACAGGCACACCAAAAGGGGTGGGTCCCGTAACAACGGGAGACGTGATGAAAGCTGGGTTGCAAGTAGATGGTAAAGATATCAAGGATGCGACCATTGAAGTTCCAGTGAAGGACCGCGAAAGCCCATATGAGTTCAAAGAGACATAGGTATGTTCTAGATATCAAGATATTCATCGGATTTGTCTTCGGATGTGCCTCAGCTGGACCTTTCGTTCCAAGCTATGCGGGACGACTTGCCTTACGCCTTCAGGAACGATTTCAACGCTTCTAATTGCTCCATGTCTCTGCTATTGATTTTCGATTTTTGCTGCTTCGCTTTCCGCTTCTGTATGCTCGAGTTGGGCTTTGCGTCCCGTTTCTTGGCTACGAATCGACCATGTATATCTCTTTGACGTTCCCAAGCTGCCTTTCTTGCGCCGGCTGGCTGTGCCTGGCGTAGTGGTGGAGGAATAGACGAGATGGAAGGATCCTGCTTCCACGCGTCCGGCATTTTCAAGATGACCAACTTGGTAGGCCGACAATCCGCGACGTTCTCTATCCGACTGAGCTGTGATTTGACTTGACTACGAGTCTGAGGCGGGTAATACGTCGGCAATGCTTTCCTTCTCCTGCCCGAGTTTGGAACATGAGGACGGATGTATGGAGCGTCCAAGTCTTGGGTTTGCGTCGAGACCGGTGTCTTCGCTCGTGCATTTGTCCATGGGACATCGAGTCGCCGTGAGAGTGCCCCGGGTTCGACTGGCTGCTCTGTTCTATTGGTTCTCCTGAGCTGTGCATTGACAAGTGGAGACTCTTCACGGAGAGAAGCGGAGGTTCTGCAGGTAGTCAGCGAAAGGTAGAGACAGAATTTCGGAGACACTCACTGCGCTTGGGTCAGCTCTAATGATGAGGTCGCCGGTACTTGGACTTGTGCATCCGGAAGTGATGACGGTAGGACTTGCGTCGGCACCTCCATTGATAAAGGTGGTTGTGCCTGCGAGTCTATGATCATCCAAGCTGGGAGGGAATCTGTTGTCGATAACGTCGCCGGCGGAGGCATTGGTAATACTGAGGAGTCTACAACTTGGGTAGGGATCTGTGTATGCGAACCGGACCGCTCCTGCTGTAGAAGGATATTATCAAGACGAGCCTGCAACTCGGCATTCTGGGCTTCGTATGCGTTACATGTCCTTTCCAGAGCGTGGATCTTGTCTTGCATGGCTGTGGCCTGCTCCTGTCCTTGCGCCTGATGGTGTTCCAAAGTGCTGATACGCAATAGGAGCTCCCGTACATTCACAGCCTCATTCATCTGCATCAATCTGTCCACTTCGCTTTTCTTCAGCTGCAACTCCGCGTCGAAAGCCCTGATCTTCTGAAGAATGGATCGATGGTCTGACAACATCTGCTGGATCTGACCATCATTCACTTCGAACCGTGCCTCCAGCTCTGACAATTGCGGTTGCAAGGATTGGGTCTTCTTGGCCGCCTCTTCGAACTTGTCCAGACGTCCTTCTGCCGATGTAATCCAGGCTTTGGTTGCATCTTCCAGTCTGCCGTCTTCCTCGATCAGTCTATTGACATCTTTGACAGCCCCTCTCATAGCATCTGAAGATGTTTCAACCACCCTGATACGGGCGTCAAAGGCGTCATGCTCCCGCTCTACTTTCTTCATCCGCTCGAGCAGGTAGCCATGCTCTCGCTTCAGTTGATGGCCCCATAGGAGGGATGCGGGGGTTTGACTGGTCGACGCCAACGCTTCGTCTCGCTGCGCAGTGGAAGCTCGTGCCGGTGGCATGACTTACACGACAAAAATGAAGAAGTGCACGATGACAGAGAGGGGTAGTAAGAGTGTTCGAGGATGGTTAGTCAAGGTGTCCAGGCGGGGTGCAAGTTTGTGGCTCCCTTGGTCGGAGGTGAAGTTTAGGAAGGCACAACTGCGGCACCTTCCGCAAGTCCTACAAGTGCCATTGCTCAGGGCCCTCAATGAGAACTCATTCAGCCAGAAAAGTCGTGATAAAGATGCAGATTTTGAACTGGAATGTGAATTTGTTTTTCTCATTGTTTGAGTTAGTATACTGTCTGCACGCTTGGGTCTTCACAGACCAGCAGCTAATCTAGGACCTTTAGGAGCATCCAAGATTTCTTCTCTCTTCATGATTCTGACCTTGGTATCCTTGCCGGAAGCAGCCTCATTAACTGAATTCGCTTCACTCTCCTTCGACTTCTCTGCGGCCGCCTTGTCATAGCTGCTGGGATCGATACCGAGAATGCCGCCTACGTTGTTTCGGTCTCCAGGAACAGAGAATTCGCGGAAGGCATATCGCCATTCGGTGAGGAAAGCGCGAATTGCTTTGCCAACCTTATCTTTGCCATTCTTGGAGTGATGACCAGTCCCAGTGATAGCGTAGACGGGACGGGAGGATGAGCTGTGTTTGAGGAGAATACCTTCAAGGTAAGATACTGCTTCTTCAGGATGAAGACCTTGAACCCAGTTAGCCATCAGCCTGTAACAACGACACATTCAAACGTACCGTGAAGGTCGACATAGAGTTCCCGAGCATTCGGTCCAGTGTCTTTGTTCCGCTCTTCATAAAGATGACGGGCAGCTTCACGATGTGCTTCACGCATGAGATTGTTCTCACTCTGACCCCGAAGACTCAGAGCTTTTGCGGCGCGCGAATCATTCCGGTTCCAAGCCTGAGCGGCACTAAGAAATGGGTTAGCAAGCGGTCAGAACGACAAGGAGGAGCACCTACCTTTGCAGAAACTTATTCCGCAAACTACCATGCTTGAAAGCTTCAGCACGTGCTTGCAAATACGCCTTGTTTGCAGCATCACCAGTTTCAAGCCAGGGGATGTGTTCTGGAGCGGGAATGGCTTGCGCAGCGGCGCTATTCTCACGCGATCCATTGAAACTCTTCGCCGGCTTCACGGTTTTCCGCAGCTGCACTGGGTTAGGAGAAGGCGACATGCGTACCACATCCGCCAGGTTGGTGGGTACGGCCTGCTCTTTATTGCTGTGTCCGTGACCTCCGCGCTTGCCATGATGACGTTTTCCTGCTTTCGCTGCAGCGGAGCCGAGAGTCGGAAAGGCTTCATTGTCGTCCACCGAAGGTACTGATGGCGTCGCAGCGCGAGAGGGGTGCCTGCTGCTCGGTCGGGACTGAGGATGACTGAGATTACCTGGAGTGAATGTGGGAAGGGGGCCTAAGCCTGGTGGAGGACGCGTTAAGCCGTGAAGTTTGTACAACTGTTCGAGTGAAGCTGGTTCTGCGGTCGACATGCCAGAAGTGTACTTGGGGGAAGGCGAAACAGTTCTCCGCAGTGACGGAAATGCTTCGGTATCTTGCATGAAGTTGGGTACGACACTCTGCACAGGGGGAGTGCTGGCGTCCGAAATAGCCATACGTGCCATGAGCGCGGAAGGATCGTGAGAAAATAGGCACGTATCACCTGCGAGACAGTTACCGTTCAAGAAGTATCTATACACGAGTCAATCACCGAGCAAGATAATCGTAGAACAGTGTACTCACTTGCACAGCGTCTTGCTCGGATCGTGGCTGAACCTGCAGTCGGCTCTGGCGCAGTGGCCCGAGGAGAGAAAGTAGTTGCACACAATATTGCTCCTTGCCTGGCCAGCCGGAGTCGCAGGTCTGACCGCTGGACTCACGGACTTCCCAACGACGTAGGTGGTAGGCTCTGAGAGCGTCGTGGACATTGACTGAGCATCGAAGCCCTGATTGCCCGCCAGAGCTGATAACGCAGCAGTTAGGTCATAGCCATTTGCCTCGAGTGCCTTCTCAATCTCCTCGTCCGACCTGTGGTCTCTTAGGATGGAACGTAGCATGTCGTAGGGACCCATATCCATCGAAGACTGGATGAATTCTGGGGCGGCGCCATTGAGCATACCGTCGCCCATCAAGGACGAGGATTCGGTACTGCCGGAGTCATCATTCACGAGCCAGTCTACGGAATCGCTACCTAGGTCACCATATGTGTCCGGAGCGGGGCTACTTTCGCTGAACTGATAGGCGCTAAGGCTCGGGCTATGTGGGATGTGGGGGGTCGAGAAAGCCAACCTAGGCGAGGGACGCGGCGAGGTGAATGGAGAGGCATTGGAAGATTTGGCTCTGGTAAAGCCAGGCGGGACTATACCGAAGCCCGGCGGGGGATGTGTGGTTCGGGGGGATTGGTTCACGGGAGTAGGGACACGGTTGGCTTGCCAGGGGGCTGGGGACGGTCGACGGATGATGGTATGACGGCTCGGTGGAGGTGAGGTCGAGGAGCTGCCGGCTTCGCGGAAGCGCCACAAGCAATCCATGACAACGTTCTCGAGCGACTTGCCCGTCAGACCCGTCCTCTTGCGCAACAGCTCCTCCAGCTTGTCCGTCTTCTCATCGTCGTCGGACCCTTCATCCTGCAGGATCGGAAGACAAGCTTCGTAGATGTCGTCAGCGACCATTGTCGCTCAATGCATTGGAGAGGTCAAACTGAGTTGGGGGAAGCGCGCAGTTGCGCCGTCGAGACAGGTGGGTCAAGATGGGCGCTGCGCAAGAAGGAGAGGGCGCAAGCGGGGTGGAGAGAGAGGGAACCTTGAAAAGAACGGCGAGGGACGAAGGACACGCAGCAAGAGCGCGCAGCAGCGATTGTGTTGGGAAGATGCTAGAGAGGGAGTTGAGGAGACGGAGGGCAGAGGCAAGCTGGCGAGGCCGTAAGGAAGTAAGTCTTGGCTCTGGGGTATTATGTACTGCGTGATGAAGGTGGTCCGGAGCTGTTCCAGGGTTGAGGTCCAGCCTTACGGGTTGGGTGGGGGGCGGCGGCCCGATCGATTGATTAGGTTTGGGGCGGGCTCTCACCGGCGGGGGATCCAAGGGAGCAATGGTTGTGTACTGTGTATGGTTGACCTTTGGTGTTGACTCTGGGATTTACAAAGCGGGAGTGAGCGTCTGACCGGAAACAGGGAGTAGAGGCGGGAGTGTGGCACCGGCGGAGGTGAATGATGATGGAGAGATGTTCAAGGTGAGCCCTGCTGTTTGTCAATGAGGCCGGACTCACCCCGCTGCACATGTGCAGCGAGGTTGAAGTCACGTTGACATCTGCCTCTACAGCGCGGAGCATACACGTATAAGGGCTTCGAGACGATTACTTTTTCCGACTCACGAGCCTCCTATTTAACTCAGGGGAATCAATTGTTTGTACTGTTATGATGTGACTAGGTTCCACGGTCACGTGCCTGTGCGCAATGCCCAATGCGGCATACGTAAACGTTGGTACCCGCCTGCATACAGCCAGGGTCTTCAAACAAATGTTGCATACCGGTATAGTCGAGATGATGGAACCCAAGCACGTCGTGAATTCAGAACCAGCAAACTGGCAAATACTAAGAAATCCGGAGAGAGGTACCTAGGTAATGGCCTCGCAAGCAATGACTACCCGAACTTTGGACCTTTTCGGAACAAGAGAGCTCCGTCCGCTGACTGAGCGGTACGCGGCGGAGAGGGGGCGGTGCTTCTGACAGCTTCCTCACCCAAGATGAATCCACCACGCGTCTCCTTCAACATCCTATCACATTCACCACGCGCAATGCCCGTTTGCAGGACAGACTTCTAGGCAACTCGCTCAACCATCTCCATCCTCCTTTCCGTCCGCCGGCGCCTCTGCGCCCTCCGCGAGCCATCCTCCAGCACCCGATAGTCTCACCATGCCCGCAGACCATTATGACGCCCGCGCCCTGGCTCTGCCCATAGACGAGGAAAGGCCAGAAAGGGTGAACAGCCCAATATGGAGTCGCCGATCCTCTTCCTTCCGCCGCAATGATTCATTCTCCACCCATCCGCCGACATTGCGGGAACGGATGATGAAGAACGCGGGCAAACTCCAGCGGAGAGCGATGAGAACATACAACCATCTATCGCCTTGGCAAAGAGCCCTGCTGGTGACGGGAGGGTTGGCGTGCCTTGTCTTGTCGATATTATTCATCATATACAATGAGGCCATCTTCCGGGCGATACTACCCTATACCAAGAAATGGCGGGATTTGCCAGCCGGCTGGCTGATTCTCTGGGTGCTGATATTTGTCGTATCATTCCCTCCTCTGTTAGGTTACTCGACGCTTTTGACTATATGTGGATTCGTTTTTGGATTCCCCAACGGGTAAGGACAGCCACTCAACAATTGGACATCACATCCTAATTTTCTTCAGATGGTTCATCGCCGCCAGCGCATCGGTAGTTGGAAGCACCGTCTCGTTTATACTATCCCGCAGCGTTCTGAAGAACATGGTACACCGTCTGGTAGCTCACGACACGCGCTTTGCGGCGCTCGCTCTCACGCTGAAACACGACGGCATCAAACTCCTCGTCATGATTCGAATGTGTCCCCTCCCTTACTCGCTCTCCAACGGCGCCATTGCCACGTTCCCTACTGTACATTGGGCATCATACGCCTCCGCGACGGCAATAGTGTCTCCGAAGCTCATGCTTCATGTCTTCGTCGGCTCCCAGCTGGAGAAGATCGCCGAGGGCGGCGGCAAGATGGACGCCAAAACCAAGGCCATCAGCTATTTAAGCATCGTCATCGGTATTGTAGCGGGTTTGGCGACGGGCTGGATCATGTATCGCAAGACGAAAGAGAGGGCCGCGGAACTGGAGGCAGAGGAACGGGCCGGTGTAAGAAGAGCGTCAGTTGAGGACCTTGAGCGAGAGTATGCGGATGATCCGGATGCGCTAGAGGCCGCAGAAACATTGAGAGAAGAGGAGGATGACATCAGTCTTCGGTCTGGTTGGGGAGATGAGTACCATGATGACCCATCGGAGTTGGAAGACGATCTCGAGATAACGAATGATCCTTTCAAAGCCGGAGACGATGAGGAGGAGGAAAACGCTGGGAGGCGCTAAGAGTCCTCAGCGACGGGTGTTTCTGAAGTTAGGATCATCATTTTGCGGCAGGTTGTATTTTGAAGACGATCTTTTGTCGCCGCATCTATAACGGATAGAACTCAGGACTGGTCGGGTTGGATATTTTCAGACCTAATGAGCCTGTTTTGTGTCGCATAACTTAGATAACCCATTGGAGCATCTGTATGACCAATAGATACAGATACCATTGAATACCTGCAAGTGCTACATACTGTTCACCAGAATGCCAAACGGTCCAACAAGCCACACCCGGGCGCCAAAGCTCATTTACCGATCCATCCCTGTTTGTCCTAAGCGCTTTCGGCTAGTTCAATCTCAAGAGATCCGAGCTGCAGGGTCCGCCTCACCTCCGTACATTCCGCATGAGCTCCAACACACCAGAGAGATGCCGCTTCCGTGCTGCCTCCGCCATTTCCTCGGACGATGACGGCTTACGACGATTATGGGATGCCAGTGGATGCATACGGGGAACCCGAAAGTTTAGCGCATCAAGCATGGCGAGTCGCGCGCGCATTCGTTTTATACCGTCTGAAGCCGCGCTGGAACGAATCCAGAAGGAGATGGCGTTGGAGGAGCATTCTAAGTGTAGGAAGGATACTGATTGTTATTTGGCTGGTTGCACTGTACTACGGTGAAAGAGGCGTGTTTAAGAGCAGCGTTGCCTCTTGCGAATGGGAGAGATGGGAGAACTGGGTATTACCCCTAATCTCTACAGGTCGTTGCTATAGAACTAACAATAGTACAGCACAGCGATGCAAATCCACATAGAGTCGTCTTTATCGCCGACCCGCAGCTCGTCGACCCTCACACCTATCCCGGCCGTCCGTGGCCTCTGAATACTCTTACAGTCCAGTTCACTGATCAGTACCTTCGCCGAACCTACTCGCGGATACAACAAGTGCTATATCCAGACACTGTCATATTTCTCGGAGATTTATTTGACGGCGGAAGGGAATGGTCTACACGGACATCCAAGAGTCCTGAGCAGCAATACCGGAAATATGGGGATAGCTTCTGGTTAAGGGAATATGCACGCTTTTCGAATATCTTTTTCGCTCATTTTGGAGATGGAGGTTTGGATCCCAGACCGGGGCAGCCCGGAAGGAAAATCATCAGCAGTTTGCCGGGGAACCATGATCTGGGTTTTGGGAAAGGGATTCAGGCAGCTGTTCGGAAGCGCTTCAACGCTTATTTCGGTGACGGTAACAGGGTCGACATTATCGGAAACCATACTTTCGTGTCCCTGGATTCGGTATCATTGAGTGCGCTGGGACAAGCAAATCCCGAATCCGCGGAAGAGCTTTGGAGACCTACTGTGGATTTCTTGGATGGCGTAAGGAGGCAAAAGAAGAGGTTGGCACAGGAGGAGCTGAGGGTGAGAAGGGGATTGAAACGGACTGCACCCTTTCCTCACCATTGCATCGAAGCTGACGCGCTTGCCAAAGCCGAACTACCGAAATTGCAGGACGAGGCCAGGGAGTTTCCCACCATTCTTCTTTCCCACGTACCGCTTTATCGGGATGAGGGTACTCCTTGCGGACCACTACGCGAACACTGGCCACCTACTCCACCACCCAAAGGCCAGAAAGAACCCCTGGAAAAGGATGACCGGAACGCAATTGCTGTTAGAGGAGGTTACCAGTACCAAAACGTCCTCCATCGTGAGATTACAAAGGACCTCACTGAGAAAATCGGCAACATAGGATACGCCTTCTCGGGCGATGACCACGACTACTGCGAAGTAGTTCACCGAGGTTATGCTTCCGCTGGCGGGGGCATAAGGGAAATCACGGTCAAGTCAATCTCCTGGGCCATGGGCGTAAGAAAACCAGGTGTTGTTCTTGTCAGTCTATGGAATCCCGTCGACGAGCAAGGGAATCCGGTAGAGAAAGGTCTTGCTGCTCCCACACTTCAAACGCATCTATGTCTGCTTCCAGACCAACTCGGCATCTTCATTCGCTACGCCATGCTATTCCTCCTGACATTGTTTGTACTAATTGTTCGAGCTGCCCTGGTTGCTTCAGGCAGATTGTCACCGAAATTGGAAGTTGGCGATGCACCTCTTCTTCCCACAATCAAACCTACACCTCCGGCGGAGAAAGGATCTGTTGAATCCCATCAGAACGGCGTTTCTCATACCACAACTTCCTCCAACTCTTCTGCCACGTCCGACCGCGGAACTCTCCAAGTGCGCAACCCGAATGTCCGCACCCGCAGCACGAGTCCGGGAGGTGGATATGCTCTGCCTACATCACAATCACAGTACACGTACCCGCTCATCCAACACGCGGGATATTATGGAACAGATGATGGTCACGACCGAGGTGGAAATAGTAAGAAAGAGGTGAAGATCTGGGGTACTGCGGGACAGCAGAAGAGGCCTAGGAAGAAGGGAGTTGCGTTGTTCGTCCATGAATTATCGCAGAGCGTGCTTGGTGTAGGAGCTGTGGTGTTTGCTTGGTACTTCTGGTTAATCTGGAGATGGTAGCGTAAGTAAGGTTCTTCGTCATGGGAGCAGAGCATGGAGTTCAGGAGTTTTGGATTGTGGGATTGGTTTGGTCAATGGAATAATGCATGGGTAGTGTAAGAGTATCATGAGGAATAGAGAATTACGATCAATGTCTCTTTACCGCGTTTAAATCAACCCTGTGTTAATGTATTTGAATATAATACAGGATCATGCCGTCGTCGCCCAAGCCACAACCTGGAAAACGCCACAGCCACCCGAAACCCCCGCAACTCCGCTCACCCCCGAGCTCTCGACGAGATACCCAGAGCTTCCAACAAACTCGTGTTATAACCACCGTCATCCAACCCCATAAAATGCTCAGGTTATGGCATAATCCGCGATATCTCACTCCTATACCCCAGTCCCCTTAGAAACGGCATCCAACCAAGCTCCACAATCCTGCAACCGCCCAAGCGTTTCCAAGCTCCCCACACCATCCTTCCGCTCCGCAACCCGCAAACCTTCTATAATGGCTCCGCCAGAGCCAAATAGGGAGACAGACGATACCCTCCTCGCGCGCCTCAACGCCCTTAAAGGCACACCCATCTCTCCCTCCCGTACACCGCATGCCTCCATAACTCCAACGCGACCTACTCGTCCTACAACACAAGACGACGACCTCCTCGCGCGTTTCGCTAGACTCGGGTCTGCTAGTCCGATAGCGTCGGCTTCTTCGCCGCGGGCTTTGAAGAAAGGAGAAGGGGAAGGAGGAGGAGGAGGAGGAGGAAGCGCGCCCGTGATTGCTCCCGGCGCGGAGAGTTATCTTGAGGCTGTTGCTGAGGGTATTGGGTCTGCTGGTGATGAAACTCAGGTGAATGAGGAGGATGAGAGGAGTTTGGAGGAGTTGGTTAGGGAGTTGGATGTTGCTGGTGGGTTGGGAGGGGAGGCGAGAGGGTGGGATGTTTCGAGGGAGGAGGAGAGGGATTTGGGGAGGTTGGTGAGGGAGGTTAGGGGGGCGTTGCCGGGGGTGAGGAGGGGGAGTAGGGAGAGGTTGGGGGGTGCGAGGAGAGGAGGGGGTCGAGGGGTGGAAGAGGAGGACGGGGTGGATTGGGAGAATGTAGAGTTTGATGTTGGGAGTGGAGGGGTGAGGGTTGGGAAGGACGTATCTGAGAGGAATGGTCTTGATGGGAAGAGAAGTGACGAAGAGGCTAAAGCAGAGGAGGTTATTGAGGAAGCTCTTGACGACCCTGAGAGTAGAATACGGAATACAATAGAGGCGGAAAACGACCATCCTAAGAGTCCGCCAAACAACGACCCCAAGAAAGAAGACGAACGCACCAACCCGTACAAAACCGAGGAAGAAGAAGCAGAAGAACTGGTATCCCGCGTCCTCAACGAAACGCCCGAACCTCCGACTCCTCCAGCCAACAACGACCCGCAAAGCGACAACAACGAAAACAACAACAGCAACGATGAAGGCGACAGCGATGACGATCCCCTCACCCTCCCATCGGTCCCTTCAGACCCCTCCCCCCTCCCGCCCTCCTCCCTCCCCCAAACCCTCGCCACAGAAGAAGACCTCACCCGCCGCTTCGCCTCCCTCTTCTCGTCCCCAGCCCCATCAACCAACAACTCCGACGACCTCACTCTCCCCTCCGTACCCACAGCCTTTAAATCCAAATCCCAGTCCCACACCCTTTCCAACCTCCCCACCTTCACAGACGAGGAGATCGCCTCATGGTGCTGCATCTGCAACGACGATGCGACGCTCAAGTGTCTGGGTTGCGATGGGGATCTGTATTGTCGGGATTGTTGGATGGAGGGGCATAGGGGGGAGGGGGCCGGGTGGGAGGAGCGGACGCATAAGGCTGTTGTGTATGCGAGGGATAAGGATGGGGGGAAGGGGAGGGAGAGGAGGTTGGTTGGGGCGGGGTGAGAGGGATATAAGGGGAAGAGTGTGGAATAATATTGCGCTACGGTGGGTTGTTGCGTGGAGAGCATGCATTGAATGGTACCTCCTAACGACCCTGCCTTCGTCGAACCGGAGGGAAAGCACATGCTGAGCACCTCCTTACCATCCGAAGCCTACTTGACCTCTCCCATGTGAGGAGGTCCTGGGACCCATCAGTTATGCTCGTGACGAAGCAAGGCCAGGAAGAAAGCATTGAGAAGCTTGAGGAGGCAGGGCTCCTGAATTGCACATTGAATGCTAGATAGGGTATCTGTATGCAACGACCATAATGAAATCCCAGCACAAACCAACTTCATGAGCATTCCGCTCACAATCTACTCGTCCCTCCATTGCCCTCTCTAATAAGTTCAATAGGGAGGTCATCACTCCCTGTGGGTAGGAGTAGGCAACTTCTCGATCCGCTCCTCCAGCACTTTAACCCAGTCCCCAACAGTCTTCATATTGAGCTTCATACTCTCCTCGCACACCTTCATGTCATTCTGGACGACATCAAGCGCAGTCCTCCACTTCTTAATCTCATCTTCCTGCTTCGACTGGCGATTCTCCAGCTCTGTCAGAATCATGTCCGCCTCGAAAGCGCTCGTATGTACCAGGCGCAGCGCGCGGAGATGCTCCAGTACCAATGGCACGAAAGGTGCGAGTTTGTCGATGGTAGGTAGTGTGCCGTAGAGAGCATTGATCTTTGCTTCCTGCTCGGCGGTGAACAGCGGTGCGCCATTCATCCCGGAGCCCTCACCCTCGGTCTCCAACCTCAACTCCTTCAATTCCTCCGCATCCTGGATCATCTTCTTGACTTTCTCCGCCGCAACATCCAGATTCCCCGCACTCGCATCCGCCACCGCCACGATCAGCTGCTCCAACCGCTCCAGCGTCGTGAACACCGGAAACGTCGACTTCTCACTGATATCCGGCATCGTATTCCCATTCACCCCCAACGCCTTCTCCAACCCTTCCAACCTCTTGTCAAAATCCGCCGCCTGCTCCAACACAAAGTCCAACTGATTCTTCTGCACCTGACTCCCCGGCAACGGCGGCAACTCCCTAATCGCCTTGCCAATCCTCTCACTCGGCCCAAACGCCGTATACCCATCAAACCTCTCCATCGTCCTTTTTAGCAACGCCTCTGCACCCCTGACCCCGCCTCTCCGCCGCGCATAAATCATATCCACCTTATCACTTATCATTTCCAGAACCTCTTTCGGGTCCTGCTCCTCGATCTTGCTCTTATCACCCGATTCGACGCGGGCACGGTACTCGTCTTCCAGCTCCGTCAATTCGTGTCGCAAGCGCATCAACCGCCGACTAAACGACTCCTCTTCCTCCTCTCCTTCGCCGTCCTCCCCGCTCGCATCCCCCAACATCTCGCCCCGCCGCCGCCTTCGTGTAGACGTCTTATACGACCTCCGCTGCGCACTGATGTTGTCGGAGAAATCCACACCCTGGGCATCTACGCGCGACGGGCGGAATCGGTTCCGCGCTACGTCGGGCTGCAGGCGCTGATGTCGGATTGCGGATTCGTCTTCATCGTCGTCGGAGGGGTGGCCTGAGGACTCGGAGACGGCGGTCGAGGCTTGGATGGTGGACGTCTCGGCGTCGAGGTCGGGTGTTTCGTACACGTCGGGCGAGGTGTCGATGCCCGGGAGGTTTTCGTATTTGGGTTTGGAAGCTTCTGCCATTTTGGCGGTGAGGCAATTGGGTTCTGCTAGGTAGGGACGGGGTTTGATGGGAGTTGTCTTGGAAGTTGTGAGGTTATGAAGTTAGGGGACGCGTTCTCGGGATTCAGTGGTCGCGATTGGTCGAGGGCCCAGGGGAAGTCAAGCAGCGGAATCACGTGAATTGGATCTCCTCAGTGCTAGAGGGTCGGAGCATGCAGCACTGGTACCGCAGCTGGTCAATATGTATGGTTCGCGATGACAGGAGATTCAATCAAAAATTTGGATCCACTACTGTCGAGAGACTCTAGTCGGATCATACACCCGGTCGCGCTTCATATCCTCAACATAACGCACATTCACTCGCTTCAAACCCTCACAAACGCTTGCTCTAAAAATGCTTGATTCTCCATTCCATTCTCGCTCGAGGCAAGAACGCTAGTCTGAGACACTGCCCACCCTTTCAAGCCACGGTGCCATTCACCTCCCTCAAGATTGGACCTTGAATGTGCGTCCACTTGCAGTTCTGCGCTCCCTCTCTTCGGTCTCAGGTCTGGCTCTCCGCAGAACTAAAAATCGTAAGCTATGCCTGTCATGATGTCGAGTTCTCTTACCCTGAAGGAAGTCCGCAGTCCGTCGGCGCATCCTCGAATGGATGTAGGCTTTAGATGCTTTGATGTGGTAGTGGAAGTAATCTCGGAATGTCTGGATGTGGGATATGACCTCTTCACGTCTTTGCTTCGTCAAGTGACGGGGGAATAAGACTGGCTTGGTCAGCTTGGAGTCACGCGATATACCGGAAGAAAGCATACCAAACGTAATGTAACCGATCTCGCCAGCGCCAGAGGTGTTTAGGCCTGGAAGGCCTTGAAGCTCGAGCGGAGGCTCGTTGTGGAAGAGAACCTGAGGCGCATTCTGGATTGCCCGCCGTCTGGCATCAACGAATTCCTGTTCCGAACGGTTACGAATGACACATGAGTTCGAGATATGTATATGGACATACCTGCAAAAACACCTTGCCAAAGATCCTATCCGTCTCTTCACGGAAGATTGTAGAGAATATGACGGTAACGCGGTCGTGGCTGGCCTTGATGAATATCGCCTCCTCTTCTCGATAGTGGATAGCGCGCACTTCGCCCCCCTCCTTCACACCCTGAGGTGCTGATTCCGATGTGTACTTCGAGGCCTCTTCCTGCAAGTGGTGGAACTCATCGAATGCTTGCTCGAAAGGCGCCGCCATGGCATTACGCTTCAGGAGAGATATCCGGCGAATCAGGTCATCCCTGGCCTCTGGTTTCTTGTGAGTTTCCCTTCCATCGTCCCGACATAGTGATCGCACCTTGATCCTCAGGCAAACTCTCAAGGTCCACCTGTACTGAGAAGTCATAGCCTGACTCTGGTGCAACGATATATGGGCCATACTCGCGCTCGAGGACGGCCTGGGCGCCGTACTTTACGAGCTCGGGGAAGCATTTGACGGAGATGGAGACCAGGATCTTGGTCTTCGACTCCGGAGTGGATATGTGAAAGGTAACGCCGTCGAAGTCTGAGACTACCTGGTCAATCGAGACTGGATTTCCGCTGGATATGGTGAGCTATTGAAGCAGTATGCAGCGGGGTAAAGGCGTACCCTGCGAAGCGGTCCTTGAGTAAGGACTCGATTAACACATTTTGGTAGTCCAAAAGAAGCATCGTGGATGCGGGCAGTCGTTCGAGGCAGTGGAATGAAAAGACGCGAAATGCTGAGGTTGCGGTAGGACATTCAAGCTCATCGTTGTGGTGCTCAGTGAGTGCAGTCAAATATGTGGCTGTGGTGGCTGCTGTGGCTGAAATTGTGGGGATCTCCCGAGACCTCCGAGAAAAAGTTCCAACCTCCGAACGATTTGCAGTATCATGCCACCATTCCAGCGAATTGAAATCGCAGTGTACTGATCTGGGGTCGCAGTCGCTGTGAATCGCTTTATGTTCTGTTTACAGCATACTTCTCGGATTTATTAGATACCCTCTCTTTTCGCAAAATGGTCCGTTCATATAGGTATGTACCCACGCACAAGCTGCAGTTGACTTCACACTAAAGAAGACAGCAAGTACGAGCAGACCGATGCCTTTGGCGTGGTCGCCTCGGCCACATCCAACATTGTCTGGACTTCTGAAGGAGTCACCCAACCGGGATCTAGCCGTCCAGCCGGATCGGGTCGCGCATACGCTGCTGCAAACGAAGAGGTCTTATGTTGGGATGTCAAGAAAGGCGAACTTTTGAGCAGATGGCGGGATTCCTCGTGCACAGAAGAGGTCACTGTACTATGTCGGAGCGAAGTTGACCCTGATGTGTTCGCCGTCGGTTATGCGGACGGTAGCATCCGCATCTGGGACTCAAGGACGGCGACTGTCATCCTCAGCTTCAACGGCCACAAGTCCGCCGTTACTACACTCGCCTTCGATCAATCCGGCGTTCGTTTAGCAAGCGGATCAAAGGACACAGACATTGTAATCTGGGATTTGGTTTCTGAAGCGGGGCTCTTCAAGCTCCGTGGTCACAAAGGGCAAATAACTGGGCTTCATTTCTTGCATCCAGGGAAGGAGGCTGGAGAAGAGGGAGTCAACGGCGCCGGAGTCGATTCTGAGACAGACCAGGCTTTTCTCCTCTCAACGAGCAAGGATTCATTAATCAAGATCTGGGATGTCAACACGCAGCATTGCATAGAGACACATATCGCCCAGTCCAATGGAGAATGCTGGGCGCTAGGTGTAGCAGATGATGGAAGCGGCTGCATAACTGCTGGCAATGATGGAGAGCTGAAAGTTTGGGGTATTGACCTGGCCGGTTTAAGAAGAGCGGGAGCTTCCATTGGCGAAGGCGAAGGGCGATACCTGCACGAGCGAGGAATACTGTACCGGCAGGGTAAAGACAGGACACTCGAGATCTCCTTCAACGCCCACTCGGACTATATCGCTGTACACGGTTCGGAAAAATCAGTGGAACTCTGGAGAATAAGGTCGGAGGGAGAAATACAGAAAGCGCTTGCTAGAAAGAGGAAGAGGAGACGCGAGAAAGCGAAGAGCGAAGGTCAAGAACTGGCTGAAGAAAAGGAATCGGCAGAGAAGGTCAACATAGCGGATGCCGAGATAACCGACGTCATAGTACCCTATGTCACATTGAGGACGGCTGGCAAGGTGCGATCTGTGGCATGGATGCACATAAGAGGGTCCAAGAAACTGCATCTACTGGTGGGAACTAGTAACAACCTGATTGATGTGTATGAAGTCGCGATGAAGAGCAAGACCAAGAGCGAGGAGGTGCCGGATTACTCTAGGTCACTCTCTGTTGAACTTCCAGGCCATAGGAACGATATCCGCGCTCTTGCGCTTAGCTCGGACGACCGCATGCTTGCGTCGGCATGTAACGGAGGGCTGAAGATATGGAATACGCGCACACAAACCTGCCTCAGGACTTTGGAGTGCGGGTACGCGTTGTGTTGTGCTTTTCTTCCCGGTGACAAGATTGTCATCGTAGGCACCAAGGAAGGCAATCTGGAACTCTACGATATTGCTGCGTCATCTCTCCTTGACACCATTCCGGCGCACGAGGGAGCAGTGTGGACTCTGCAAGTGCACCCCGATGGCAAATCCGTTGTCAGTGGCAGCGCAGACAAGAGCGTCAAGTTTTGGAACTTCGAGATCGTTCAAGAGGAAATCCCAGGTACCAAGCGGACGACTCCTCGGCTCAAGCTGGTCCAGTCGCGAATTCTGAAGGTCAACGACGACGTCCTCAGCGTTTGCTTCTCTCCTGACTCTCGACTGCTTGCAGTGTCAACATTGGATAATACCGTAAAGGTATTCTTCGTTGACTCGCTCAAGCTTTTCTTGAACCTTTACGGTCACAAGTTACCGGTCTTGAACATGTCCATCTCCAGCGACAGCAAACTCATTGCCACCTGTAGCGCCGACAAGAACGTGCGGATATGGGGATTGGACTTTGGTGACTGCCACAAAGCCTTGTTTGGTCACGAGGACAGCATCATGCAGATTTCATTCATTGCTCATCCGGTTCAGCAAGACGAGAAGCATCTTTTCTTCAGCGCAAGTAAGGACAAGTTCGTCAAGAGCTGGGACGGCGACAAGTTTGAGCAGATTCAAAAGCTCAAAGGACACCACGGTGAGATATGGGCAATGGCAGTTTCGCGAACTGGAGATTTTGTTGTTACAGCCTCGCACGATAAGAGCATTAGGATATGGACCCGGTCAGACGAACCCATCTTTCTGGAAGAGGAACGGGAGCGCGAACTGGAGGAAATGTACGAGAAGGCGCTTGCTACTTCCCTCGAGGACGATGGACAGCTGGAGGGCCAGTCAGCCGAGGCGGTTGCGGCGTCTAACCAGACCATCAGCACACTGACAGCGGGAGAACGGATAGCAGAAGCGCTGGAGCTCGGTCTCGCAGATTTGGAACTGGTGCGCGAATGGGAGCTGCAGAAGAGGAGCAACCCGAAGCTCGCACCTCCACAACGAAATCCGCTCTTCCTTGCGCTGGGCAACATAAGCGCCGAACGGCACGTTCTCCAGGTCCTCGCGAGGATACCGGCTGCGCAGTTGCACGATGCGCTCCTCGTCCTCCCCTTCGCCACTCTGCCGGCGCTGTTCACGTTCATTTCGATATGGGTGCAAAGACAGTGGAACGTGACGCTGACGTGCCGAGTTCTGTTCTTCATGCTCAAGACGCATCACAAGCAGATAGTGGCGAGCAGGGAACTCAAAGGAATGCTGGAGTCAATGAGGGAGGACTTGAGACGCATGTTGGGCAGCGTCAAGGACATGATTGGCTTCAATATCGCAGCCATGAAGTTTGTGAGCGAGCGGGTAGATGAGGCGGCCATTGTCAGGCTCGAAGATGTTGAAAAGGAGGACGGCAAAGTGGCGAAGAAGAGAGGATTCGTCGACATTGCATGAAAGAGATGCAAAAGCATTGAGGTGGTGAATGATAGGCTATGGATAATTCAATTAAAGCAGTTGTGTGGCACGACTCTCGGCCAACCATCATGTGGCACACTTTTTGGACCATAGATGTGACAGTGTTGTACTAATCTATCTACACCCGCCTAACTGTGTACTTGTACCTGCGATGGGTTCGGCTGCTAATTTAGCCAGGAACGAAGTACTCGGTACCCCCATACAACTCTGCTTTGCGCCTTGGGAGTTTCTGAGGCTGCCCAGATGATGAAAGAGGCGTTCTCCGCGTGGCCTCGCAGCGACAGGGCAAGCATTATTCAAGCATCTACCAGAGACCTGCCCAGTGGGGAATGGTTCGCATGCCTTCTGGCTCGGAAACGGCCTAGCCCATTGTTGTGTTCCAGAGCTCGGTTGGACCCCGTTTCTCGAAGTGCCTTGCCTTGTTCCTCGCGTGGGTCGGGGTTTGTGGGGAGAAAGGGAGAATACCAGGTGCACGGCGCGCCACCCCCGATATTATTAGCAGTGAACGGCTCCCAGCCCGCTGGGCCGTCCTCTCCAAAACTGCCTTGACCTCGTCTGCCGCCTGTCCTCGAGTTTCGCCGCTCTGCTCCTCCCCTCCCATGCCGACCTCTTTCACTGCGCATCGGTTGCGCTCTCCTCCTCGCGTACTGGTTGCTGGGCTGATTCCGCCGATGTTTACGCCGCACCAACCGTGAAATCGATAATCAGATTGCCGACCACGCCCGGAAACCACTGTGACGACTCTCCCACCCAACCCTTTCGACCCCCATGCGACACCCCAGCCCATTGTGCGGCAACCCAGCTCCAGTCCACGGGCGCGAGGATACACGACGCTTCCCATCCCGTTTTGCTTCTCCGCAGCAGCTCCACGTCGAACGCGCCATTGCCGAAACCTTGTTCCACAGAGCTCGGTGACGCTCAGCAGAACACCCCCCCACCGCAGCACTCGAGTCCAGGCAGGGACCGAGTGCCATGACTTCATTCTTTGGCCGATTCAAAGCTGGCACTGTCCGTCTCTCCGTATCAGCCCTTCATCGGCCTTGTATAAATACCCAGAACTGACCCTCTGAGCAGAGTCCGGCGAACCCTGCCGCAAATGCCGCACCGCTGAAGAAGGATCCGAATGCCCCCCAGCCAACGCCGCTGGAGAGGCTCCTCGCCGATGCAGGTCCAATACGTGCAGACGGAAGCGATAAATTCTTTGGATTCGAGAATGTAATTATGCCTGGCTGCCGTAGCTGTCTCCGCTTGGTCTACTGTGTACTAACTCCGTCGGCCGTCTAGTTTGGGAGCACATGGTACACCTCTACCAATCGAGACTGCCTTTCAATTCACTAATTGCCTGCCAGCTATATCAATTCCATAGTGCAATCTCTGTACTACTCGGCACCCTTCCGAGAACACGTCATAAGCTATCCTACACGATCCCCGCCCGAAACGCTCCAAAGATCAGTGTCGGAATCCGCCGTCGCCCTTCCTAAGATAAATACCGATGTGCCCTCGACAAATGCACAGAACTCAGCACTCTCGCCGAAAGGCAGAGATTCGCTATCCCTTCCAAATGCGGCGGCGAGGAGAGGTCTTCTCAGCCCACCGGCGCTTCCAACGTCACCGGGCGTGAAACCGGAGGAGAATAAGGACTCGCCTGAATACAAGAAGAAGGCCGCTCTGGCGGCAGGGCCCGTGCTGGCTATGGACTATGAGAACTCGAGCGCATATGGCATGTCGGAATCGCTCTTCACATCGTTGAAGGATATCTTCGAAGCGATAATAGCTCACAAATCACGGATCGGCGTCGTGAGCCCGAACAAATTCCTCGAAGTGTTACGGAGGGAGAATGAGATGTTCCGGACCCCCGTACATCACGACGCGCACGAGTTTCTGAATTTTCTGCTCAACCAAGTGGTGGAACATGTGGAGCAGTTTCCTAAGCAGCGCCTCAGAGAAGCCGGCGAAGGGGACTCGGGAGCTCTGGCTCGTGCTATGGAACAGGTAGCAGATGCGACATCTACATCAGTGGCCAACAACACGAAATGGGTACACGACCTCTTCGAAGGAACTCTGACATCAGAAACCAGATGTCTAACCTGCGAAAAAACCTCTCAGAGAGACGAAGCGTTCCTCGACCTCTCCGTCGACCTCGAACAGCATTCCTCTGTAACCAGCTGCCTTCGCAAATTCTCCGAAGAAGAAATGCTCTGCGAACGCGACAAATTCCACTGCGACAACTGCGGCGGCCTCCAAGAAGCAGAAAAGCGGATGAAGGTCAAACGACTCCCGCGTATATTAGCTCTGCATCTCAAGCGCTTCAAGTACATTGGAGGGGATCTGCAGCGCCTCCATAAGCTGTTCCACCGCGTCGTCTATCCCTACTACCTCCGCCTCTTCAACACGACCGAGGATGCCGAGGACCCAGACCGCATCTACGAACTCTACGCCGTTGTGGTGCATATTGGCGGCGGACCATATCACGGGCACTATGTCTCCATCATCAAGACGCAGGATCGCGGCTGGCTCCTGTTCGACGATGAAATGGTCGAACCCGTCGACAAATCCTACGTGCGCAACTTCTTCGGCGGCGAAAACGTCCTCGCGTGCGCGTACGTCCTGTTCTACCAAGAAACCACCCTCGAGGCCATGCAGAAGGAGCAAGAGGCTGAAGCGCTGGCGGCTGAGCAGCAAGCTAGTAGTACTGCTGAGGTCCCAGTTCCCGCGACGACGTCGGAACCGACGGCAACCCTCCTGAAGCAGGATGTGAATGGGACTGCGGGCGTACCGAACGGACTGGCTCATGCGGCGACGCCACAGCTCGACCTCGACTCGGATGCTTCCTCCTTCGCAGTCCTGAACCACGCGGTTACGGCTCCGCCAGCGCTCTCGACCGAGAACACCAACATCGCAGCCACCACAAACCAACCACTCGACCACACCCACACCGTCTCCGTCCCTGTCCCCGCGCTGAGCCCCAAGAAATCCAAACACAATCTTTCCTCGTTCCACCTCAAGAAGGATAAAAGCGGCAAGTCGAAAGAGGAAAAGGAACGCAAAGCCGCGGAGAAGGCAGCGGAGAAGGAAAGAGACAAGGAGGCGAAGAGGGAGAGGAAGGAGAAGGAGAGGGAAGTCAAGGAGAGTATCAAGAGGCAGGAGGAGGAGCTGAAGATGGCGTTGGCGGCAAGCAAGCTCAGTGCTAAGACGGAGGAGGAATCGAGGAGGAGGGAAGCGCAATCGGCAGAGAAGGACGTGTCCGAGGCGGATCCCGGCAGGGAGAAGGAGAAAGAGAATGGCGCGGGGACTCCGACTGTGGGCACTTTTAGTAAAGCGAGTCTGGGCCGTTTCGGCAGGGGGAGTATGAGTTTCCGGCAGAAACCGAAGTTTTGGCCTGGAGGCAAGGAGAAGGGTGGGGGTGAAGAGGGTGGTGCCGGAGAGGATGCCGAGCATGATGGGGAGGAGAAGGAGAAGGAGAAGCAGGGGAAGAATCGGTTTAGTCTTGGGAGGAAGAAGTCGACGTTTCTTCATATGGGGTCGTCCGGGTCGTGAGGGGTGATGGGTTGAGGAGTGTGAGGAGGTGAGGTGGCATGTTGGACGAGGGGACTGGGAGTATGTTTTGTCGGATTACTATGGGAGGAGGAGCGGAAAGAAGAGACGAGAAGACGGCTCAAGACCAGGACAAGGAGACCTGCACGTGGTCCGTGACCAGAGGACCAAGGCCAAGCAAGAATTGGCACAGCGGTAGAAAGGCCAACGGCGAATATTTCTTCCCAGTAGATAAATATGGCAGCGTTTCTTCTCTGTACATCTACGCTGCTTTTCGGTCTATATACCTTTTCTTCGTTTTTCACCTCTTCTTCGTTTTCTCTTTTTCTTGTCCACTTCTTTATCCCATTTCGCTTTTCTTGCTTTACCAGTGCTGCTTTTGGAATGGGATAAGGAGGGAGGGGGTTATGATGGTGGGTTGGTTTGGAGATGTGGTAGGTTTTGCCGCTGATGATGATGATGGTGATGACGTTGGTGGTGGGCATTGATGCTGTTGCTGTTGCTGTTGCTTCGGCTTTCGTACGTAACTGAGTTGCCTGCTTGACCCTTTGCTTATCTAGCGATGGGTATAATTCCGTCATGGGTGTATGCGCTCATTGTCTTGGTTTGGTGTAAAAGAACGCTCTTTTGGACGAGCATGAAACCCCGAACTGCTGGTTTTCGATAGTAGTGGAGGTGTGAGGTGTAATAATCGAAGCTGGTGTAGGAATTGGTTCTTCTGCTTATGAAGTTTATATGGAGGATGTTGGGATTTTCGGAAGGTGGGTTGGGAGGGAAAACGTGATGATGGGTGGGTTTTCTTTCTTGCTCTTTCCCGCTGGGATTGGGATGGTGGTGGTGGTAATCGCTATTATCGTCGATATGTGCTTCCAAATGGGACACACCTCCCAGTCATGAGCTTGGGCGGGTTCTTTTAGGCAGTGGTGCGGGTGCGGTTGTGAGTATCCCGACATTAGCAGGGTTTTGGAAATTTTTAGATTAAACTCCTGCGAGAGTAGGCGTGGAGTTCGAGGAGGAGGACACTTTCGACGGTTTATATACTGCTCTGCCTAGGCCGCTGCGCCGCTGATACCAGCTTATTGTGCCACATATGCGGTCTAGTTTGAAAAGAGAGTTTACATAGTCATGGAGGCGGTTATTACTGTTTCTCACGGCGAGAGCAAGACGCATCGTGCAGAAGCTGATCAAATTTCCCAGCAGAAGAGCATGCCTCGCTGATAATCTAATTTGGCACATGGAGCAGGTTTTTGGGTTTTCTGTTTCATTTTCTTTGCTCTGTACCGCTTTTCTTTTCCCCTCGGCACCTGCGAGTGGAAAAGCATGGGGTTGTGATATATCATGCATCTCTGGTTGATTTTCGGAACTCGAGATATCTCCCCGACAAGTGCAACGACGCCGCTACACATGTCGTCGTCGTCTTATCTTTCTTCAACAGACTCCAGGAACATTCATCGTGCGCGTCAAGCTACCGTCAACGCAAAGAGCCCATGACGTTGAAGACACAGCTTGAATTACACATTTCATCGACAGCGGGTTTTTAACAGCTTTCCCTTTCGACGAGAAGATGCGTACAAAGGTATAGCTGTAGAAGACGTGGGGGTTCACATCCAGGACGTCCATGAATCCTTTTGTGATGTCTTGTCCCTAAGATTGGGCAAAGGGGAAAGGCCGCATCGGGAATTCCCTCGTTCTTTTTGCGCACACAGCATGATCGTGCTTCTGGGACAATTCTGCACAGTGTCTACCGAAACGGATATGGTCTCGCACATAGGCGTGTGAGCTGAGCATTTGTATGTAGCAGGCTTGGGTTTCGGTTCGGGACATCACAGGCCAGTGTATGGGATTTAGGGAAAAGAAAATGTCCTCTGAGAACATCAATCCCTGATACTGGATTTTCTGACAGAAGGATGATTTTGTGGAGGAAGTGAGGGGTTTTCCAATCCTAGACGGAATCCATATGGTAAAGTGAATGTGTTTGTTTTCTCTCCGCTCTCAACCCCTTTGCTTCGCTGAATCTGGGCAGGGAGGGGAACGGACATCCCGGCTGGAACTCGGTATCTGGATTTTCAGACATATCCTCGCAATATCGCTCATTGAGGAAGGTCCTCGTGCACTATTCTTTTTCTCCATCACTCCTGCCGTCGTCGATTTCTTCTTCCTCGAACATGCTTGGTAATGTTGTATCCTTGAGGGAAGAGAAAAACATGTGTCCAGTTCCAGTCGTTTATCTTTCAGCCAAAACATAGGAACGCGTGCTGGACAATATTTTAGACAGGGAGACACGGAGACATGCAGCGGGACGACTGCTTATCTTTCAGCGGAACATAAGATGTTGCTGGAGGAATTGTGATGAGAGTGAGATGTGCCAGGCGTGAGAAGAGACGTTGTTAAGAGAGATTGAGGGATTATATATGCCGCTTCTTGCCGGGTGCTAGAGGAGTGATGCTGTATCGCCTCCGGGTAAGCACGCGGAACTGATATGGAAGACATTGGAGGTATGCCATGTGGTCTGAAATGTTCGTATTAAAGATACCTGGTGTAACTTCCAGTTCTTTTTCAATGTCATCAATGTTTTTTTTTTAAGATTTATACATTTATTCCAGTACTGTCGCAACATCAGGGCCATCCCCACCGGTACCGCTGCTGAATGCTGCAACATTCCCATGGGGCATAAGGAGTAAATGAAGTTCAAAGGGCATCGCGAAAGAGGCCGTAGTTGTCCAGATCCAGCCAGCGCATGATTCGAACCTGACCAATTTGTAGGGACAGTTTTGTCATGTTGTTCTTCATCGTGGTATCGGACGTTAGAGTCTCTAGAGTGAAGACATTTATATGAAGTCTGCAGAGCTGGTGGTCGCCGACATTCAGCTTTAGCCTTGGGATTTTGGATCGATATTGGCCATTGGCAGGAGCCTCCGTCTTATGAACATCTGCAGATGCGGATAGCGCCCGGTTGAGCACTGACTGGGTTGACATCGGTGGCGGCGGTAGCTGTATTTCATGTTTTTTTTTTGGCCTTGTATTTGGATAAGATGGCCTCTGTGGGAAGCCTTCGTACCCATTTTCGTGGATGGTTGTCTTTCCGGTTGGTGGTTCGTTTTGACTTCCTCGGCCTTCCTATGGCTTGCAATGCCCCCGGCTGCCTTTGCTTTGCATGTTGACTGAGATTGGCTGTTCTGTGGTGCTGTCTTCACATACGTGTATTGGTTACCCGAAATTTGGAGCATAAGGAAAAAGGGTGGGAACTTTGAGATCCGCAGTGGCTCCCATAGCCATAGCCGCAGGTGGAGCGTTGTGGCCACATGCATAGCAACGTAATCTATAACGAATCCAAGACCGTCATCATAACGAACCTTCCAGTACTGCCGCCCTCGGCCAAGTTGGTTTCCATTGCATGGTCCATCAACGCTTTTCTTCGCCGCCTCATGTACTTTCGGTTTGAAGGTTGTTCAAGAGTTGCTTTTACATACTCGATACTCTGGCTCGTGTCATAGCTAACCTTCTCCTTACATGTGGTACTCCCACGTCCTTGTAGGTATTGTAAGGGACTGACATGGGTTCCCAACCCGCACATTTGATTGCCTGCTGGGCTTAGATGCTGTCTATGCATCTTCCAGTTTGCATAATTCTTCATTTCAGCGACAAGTTGTAGTACTTGAATAGCTCGAGTATGATCCCCACACAAACCCATGCGAAAGCGGATACGGAATATTCGAAGTATAGGTCGATTTGATGGTAGGGGGTTTGTCCTAGGAGGGACGGCAATGAGAACGCCATCCAATATTTTTGTTGCTGTTGCCGCTGTTCCATACGTTACTCCACCGTTACTTTGTTCCTGATGCTGGTAGGGCTGCCGCTACCGCCGCTGCCGCCGCCATTGCTTTTTGCCGTTGCTGTTGCGGTTGCTGAGGAGGAACAGGAGGAGAAGGAGAACGAGAGGTCTGCTAAGGAGAAAGGGGGAGAGGGAGTGGCATCAGTGGTTGTAGCTGTTGTTGTTGTTGCTGTAGTTCTACAATTTCTTTCATCAACCTCTTCTGTGTAGTTATCCTGCGCCGCGCTTTGCGGAGGAGGTCGTCGGCCTCCAGTCTGGAAACGCCTCAGGTATTGCTGAGCAGAGTGCGCCCGGCGTTGCTGAGTGGGCTCCATCCTTTTTAGGAATCCTTTGGCTTCGGCAGATTATGTGGTGGAGCTTTCATGTGTCGCGAATGTGACAGTTCTGTAGACTACATCAGGACCTCTTATGGATCCTTTTTTTTTTCCAGACATGTGAAATCATTGAAAGATTTCCGAAATATCCCATGCTGAATATCCATAGCTTAGTTCGAACAAATTGAACATCCTTCCTTGTCGAGAACATTTGCGAACTTGTCTTTGTTGTTTTAGAGGAGGAAAACACGGTGTAGAGGGTGCGAGAAGACGAATTCCGTTGAAGGAGATCGAGCGGACAGGTTGCTTTTCCGGAGTCTGTGTCTTATAGCATCTAGAGAAGCCAAAGGACAACATAGTGGGCAATCGATCGAAATTTCAGAAGACAAACTCCATAATCGGGCAATTGTAAAAGTTTGAACTCCGTGAGAGTTTTCGCCTGCAATAGCTGGACAGGGCGGACGAAAATTCCGTTCTCTTCCAGGACATATAAGTTGGTTAGGCGAAGTTTAGAGAAGAACGAAAGACAAAGTGACAAGTGTAGGAGGACAGAGCATGCTGAGGCAAGCTTGAGCGGTTTATATATGCCTCCCTGGGGTCGTTCTGCGTTTTGAAGCCGGGCAATGATACGAGACCACATTGCTATCTCACAATCTTGTTTTTACACATTTTCACACTGGCCCAATTTTTAGCTCTTTCCGCGCAATTTGCGACTGCGCAGTAGAAGCTCAAGACATGTTTAATGTCTCTGAGAATTTATTTTCCAACACCATTTTTTCTCATCGGGATTTTGGTCCTTATTCGCTATTTCACTGTAGAAAAGAACTCCGGAACATAGGCTGTGGGCGATAGAGTTTTGTAGGGAATACAGTACTCCTTAAACAGAGATATATAGTGTGCAGACCATGATCGAACGAGTGAGGTGAGAAGGGAGATAAAGGAGTTCAAATAAACCCCCGAATCCGCAAACGGAGCACATGAAACTTTTTGACTTTCTTTTTCGAACATTGGTTTGCAACGTGGAATTTTGAACTTGCCGCTGCGGACTGTCAATTGCCGAAGATCAAAAAAACTAATGCTCGTCTTTCCAGAACATCACCACATCTCCGATGGTTTTGAAGCGGGGAGAAAGCGCACACAACGCATGAAGACAGATACTAGCAGATTTTCGGAGTATATGTATCCATTGTCTCGCCGACGAGTCGCATGGCGCATTCGCCGAAGCACATATAGGTTCTTTAGAATCCCTGTGCTGGACATACTTAGCTCTGGGCCAAGGTTTGGACATTCGAATGCGGCCGGCCAGCTGCTCAACATAGCCACTGTTGAAGATTTTTCTTTTACCCGAAGCAACAATCAATCACTATGATTATCCATTTAGCAAAGTGAAAGACAGGTAGAAGACACTTGAAGTCGCGGTGTTGGTAGATCTGAGGGATCCATATGTGCGTCCCCTTGTTTCTCAGTTCCATGGCTCTGTTTCTACGTTCATCTAAGTAGGCGTGTCGGACACAAGCACACATTAGGGAGGCTGTGTAATATTCAACATTCGTTTAACTTAATATATATTGTTTGTAAAGAAGTTTAGGTACGACAAAGACTGCCAACTGCGCATACATGTTCTCTGCTGATGTTTGATTCGAAATATCGATGCAGACGCGAGGTTTTGGAAGAAATTGGTATGATGCCCAGTGTAAGGCAGTAAAGTTCGGGTTAAGAAACGTAAAACATGCTTGGATGAAGTTCGGATGTACACGGTTGCATGAAATGTTCGAACGTGAGTTCAAGATACGGATGATTCCAGCCCATGAAACGCTCAAACATGGGGTTCGGAGCTGATAGTAGAAGATTTCTATCAACATAATGGGGGATAAGGTCGTTTGCGGTTCGAAATGAAGACCAAGCTTATTTGTTGGCTATAGAATGCCACAGGAGGGGATGCACATAGATTTGTGTCAAGATGGTTGCTTGTATTCTGAACATGCGATTCTGGCTTCGATATTTATGAGGGGCTGTGGTTGCGTTTCTGGTGTTGTCGATAGGATGTGTATTTTGACACTTTAGGACATCGAGTAGATTCGCTGTACGCAAGCCTATATTGTCGCTGTTGTTTTTCGTTGATTTCTCGTACTCGATTTCAACAGCACTACTTGTCCATGGGAATCGCCACGCCTGCCGACATGACAAATGATGCACTGCACTACGATTTTTTTGGCCTTATTGTTCGCACAACATGAAGCGGGACCAAAATCTTTCTTGAGGACCGAGACAGGCCGCAAAACCTCAGTGAAGAATACTGTAGCCCTTAAAGAACTGGAGCAGGGTGTTTGCATGCGCTTTGCGTCTGTGGCTTTATCTTTCGACGTCTTTAGGTAGTGAGCAGGCGCCACATTAAGGTTTCGATGTGATTTCTGAAAACGCGTTTGTGATAGAGAATTTAGCAACCGTCACGGCACTGAATGTCCTTTTCATGATCTTTCGGATCCGGGTGCTTTACGGCAGCTTGCTCAATCATGTGATCCCACTGTTTAGGTAGCAAGCTGCGTGGTGAAGACGGAGTTTGGCTCTCAACGTGAAAGAAGTTGCCAGCCTTTTCTGAGTCGCTATGGCTGTGAGCGCTGCATGATCAACAAAGATGTTCACTAATGTGGCGGTTTCGACAAGATGCCAAACTTTCTTAAGCGCATGGACTGTAGCAGCTATTTCTCCTAGGATGGGAAGTATCATTTCTCTGCTGGTGGTAATCTCTCTGAATCAAACATGGTCGGTTGCATGGAACAGCTTCCCACTCTTCTGCTTTCTTCAATCGAGCGGTTGGAGAACCGGAATCGTTCCTATAACCTGCCAGTATATCTATATCTTCTGTGGATGGTTTTTCGATCCCCATTTACGTGGTAAGCCAGCACTACGTGGGTTCTGCCCGAGCGGTAGACAAACCGTAGATGGACCATTCCCACTGTTTGAATATAGCAAACGGCATAACGCAACCGGATGTTGGTCTCTCAGTGGATAATGTAGCCAACCTCTTCCAGGTAGCGATAGCCATAGGTGCAGCCTGGTCGACAAAGAATCGTTCACCGGCGGTGCTGTTTCAACCAGGCGGCCGAATTTCTTGAGGACGTGCACCATGACCGCCATCTCAATCTCTAATGGGAAATAACGCTTTTCCGCCGGGGACAACCATTCGAATAAAACATGATAGGCTGGATGGAGGGTCCCAATCCTTAGCTCTTCCCTCTCTCTGTCCCTTTCCCCGGCTTTGGTAGAGGCTACTCAGACGAGCGGCGCACATAAAGTAGGTTGTAGCGTTTTCTTGGAAGCATAAAGAATGCACAAAAGAAGTTTCAATAATGCATAGAAGAAGTGACATATATCTTGAAGCTATCGCGTTTATGACCTTGGTTCGAAGACAAAGGACATGGATTTTCGAACGATACTTAAGAAAGAACAGAGAGGTATTTGAATTCATTCGAGCACTTGCATCTACCTCGGCGATCCGGCATCTTCGACAGAACTCTCAAACGAATCCGCACATGTGAATATCGTAGGATCGTTTGGAAAACATGTCGCGTAAGCGCTTTCTTTATCGTTGTAAGCCCTCTCCTGTTTGTTTGAGTACAGAAGAGAGACATTGTTGTAGATTGTGCAGTTATCCCAGAAGGGTTTTATATACCCTTTCAGCCGTATACGGACTGCGCAGGCAAGCGCGAGACAAACATGGGTTGGCTTAACCATGTTTCCGGACATGTTGGCATAAGACATCGGTTTTGGTATCTCACACCTTGCTCTTCTACTCAGACAGAAATGCCGCCGAGGGAGCCGCGCACCCCAAAACTAACTGCGAGTGGCTTCTTCTTTTTATTTTTTTTTTTTTTTTTTTTTTGTATCAAATAT